ATAACTGTATAGTGTTGAAGGAAAGTTACGAAAAGTAGAGATCTCTTTGCTGACTTGAACTGCTGCAGTTCTCTCTGGAAAGTTCTACTGTTGAGTTCCATCAGTCAGTCCTTATTCTCCTGCCGATAAGTAACTATGCGCATAAGTCGTTTTAGTATACACTTTAGCAGAGTATAGCTTGAACAAAATTTCATTTTGTGAACAGGATGGCCCACTGATGTGTCCTGTGCAAAATTGAAACACTCTCAGTTAGCAAATACTTGATCCGTACGTTCTAACTTCGTCAGTTTGTGATATATTATTTATTTATTTATTGTTCCCTTGGGTTCCTAGTGGAACATAGGGCTTCAACTGCACGCCTTCACTTGCTTCTGTTTTGTGCTGTACTTTTCACTTGCATCCATGTTAGTCCATACTGTTTCAACTCCTCTTCACACGATCTCCTCCATGTCACCCTTTGACGTCCCACTCGCCGCTTCCCTTTCGGATTCCACTCGAGTGATGGCCTGACGCGCGATGTCACCCAGCGGAGGCCTCCTCAGCGAGTGTCCAATCCATCTCCACTTTCTCCTGCATATGTGTTGAGCGATTGGTTCTTGTTTTGTTTGTTCCCATAGTTTCTTGTTGGTGATTCTTTCCGGTGGCCATCTGATCTTCAGTATAGAGCGAAGACAGTTGTTGTTGATAAAGGTCTGCAACAGGCTGTTGGAAATATTCTGTGTGACCTGCCAAGTTTCTGATCCGTATAGAAGAACCGACTGACTTGACGTTTGTATTGAAAATCCGAAATTTGTTGTTGATGCTGAGTGACGAAGATTTCCAGATTGGTTTCAGGTTGATGAATGTGTTTCTCGCCTTCCCGATATATATATATATATATATATATATATATATATATATATATAACGTTATCCTCGATGACTAAATCTATATTGACATTAAATCTAAATACCTACAGAAATCCGTATTCTAAACTAGCAATTCGGTTCAGATATGTTTTGTTGACATTACAAAATATAGAATTAATCCGTGATCGAATAACCAACTGACCTACCGATTACAACACACATTTCTTTTACTTTATGACTTCAGATCAACTATTGAAATCATGTTCGCTGATCTGACTCATTGTTGTATTACGTAATAATAAAACACACACACACACTCAGCGTGAATGCAATCACACTAAATTATGAGGAATAGCTAAAAGATCAATTTTTTTAATGTAGTGAATTAAAGCACTCGACCTACAGTTTATAAGATGTGAGTGACCTTTTAAACTCGTATCATAATTTTTAATTATCGCTTCTGTGTTTAGGATACTGAAAGAGACATGCTGAAGTAGTCCGCTGTATACCCAACGTCGTTTATTTTAATAGCTCGCTAGTTTTCTAACCAGTTCCAAGCCCCGGTAAAGAGGGAGGGCTGCACGTGGGGCTTACGACCCTACAACACAAAACCAATCAAACCGCTACAGAAACTTCAACGCACAATAAAAGTACTAAAAATACAAAAAAATTAAAAGAAACTTCTTCTTCACTGGAATCGAGGAGGCGAAATGACACAGCGGGTGGCTGAAAGCCAGTCAGTCAGCCGATGTGTCTTCTTTCGATGAAAGCAAAAATAAGAATGGGGGACTTGGAATCTACGTTCAATATACGATGCAGGTCGGGAAGACTGTCCAGGTCGGCAAAGAAATGAGACGATATGGTATAGAAGTGCTCAAAATCTGCGAGAGCAGATGGAATGGAAGTTTATCAACAGCTGCCACCTTCACTTGCTTCATACTGAAGATCTAACGGCCAGTCAGGGAGAATTAGCAGCAACAAACCAACAGGCAAGAGCCGATTGCTGAACAAAAATTTAAGAGAAAATGGAGATGGATGGATCGAGAATACTTTGAGGAGGGCGTAGAATGACATCGCACGCAATGCAGGCCATTGCTCGACTGGAATCCTAATAGGAAGCGACGAGTGGGTTGTCGATGTGAGGATGACATGGAGGAGATGAGTGATTATGGGCAATCATGGAGCTTTCCAGTTGAAGAGAACATCAGAAAATAGAAGAAAGTGTAGATGTGTTGCTGAATCCGTATGTTCCACTTGGAACCCAAAGAAATAATATACATATATATATATATATATATATATATATATATATATATATAAAACATATGGATGGAAACGTTCCGTCTGTCAAGCCGAAAGTCTTCGATGCGATATCTAACAGTTAACCTATAGATGTATACTGCCGAAGGGTTCCAGTCCAAATCTAAACCTAACCAAGTGAAAATATAGCGAACATCCGGATGACCTTGAATGCATACTTGTCGTTGGATAACGGGACCTGCCATAATTATAGCTCAACTACGAACGCTGTGAGCAAATTTCATCCAGAACTCGTTTCTTTGTACCGTTCAGATAATGAATACTTTGATGGTTCATTAGGATAAAGTTTGGTTGTTTTATTTTTATTATCCGAAATTTTCTGGTAAACACAGTTGTCAACCCACTTACTGGAACTCATACTTATTCAGTTGAGAGCTTTTTGGGAAGACTTAAAAATAGGATAAGAGCGGAAATCAGGTCATAAAAAGGAACTCATCTTCAGTCACCTTGATGAATACATTGTACAGAAACTGGTTTCACCCAAAAACTAATACTTCTCATTATAATTGGGAGATACTGTTTTAATTCGCGTCAGGGAAAACACATCCTGTTTAATCATCCTACTCTTGTAGATAAACACCTTTTTCATACAAAAACCACTGGTATCAGTCAACCTCTACTATTACTGTTACCTATTGTTCTTTATTCCTACCCCTTAGTCTTTCATTGGCTACTCAAAAACGACTACGTCATATTGAGAAGAGTATTAAAGGTGGTTGTAAGCAGGGCAAGTAAGAAGTGTGTACCACTAAGTCAACCGACTAGTTACTAGTGTAGTCAACAGACACCTGAACTCATGTGAGAAATGAGCGGACTAAATCAAATCCATACTGCCTGACTCCACTCACCAACCTCTTTATTCACAACTCTCCCTGCCTTGCATCTCACTGGGTGACACTAGAAGGTTATAAACACCATAGAAGATTATATGCTTGCATAAAAAGTCAACTATACCTTAATTGGCCTGCGTTCTGTGTGATTTAGGATAGTGCTAACCGTGACACTTACAGCTTACTATGTAAACCTAAACATGCCGTCTGTCAATGAAATCCACAACAGTTAGTTTAAGTCACGTAGAAAGTTGTAGACTTCTTGGTTCGGGTCCTCGGGACGGTAAAAGCCAATGGCAGCTATAGACAATTAGTGATATGGCTCAAAATTGTTCTCGATCATGGCGCAGATGAATCCACTACCTTCTAACTTATAATTTCCAATGAGACTTTATTGATCTTCGATATTACTATTGTAACAACAGAAGACAAGGGTCAGGCAACAGATCGTTTATTAAGGAAATCAACACATATTTATAGATTTTAATGTACATTATTCTGGATTATTGTTAGTAGAAAACACAGTCTTTTGATTGGTTGTTTCTCACAGAAAGTTAACCTTGCATCTATTTGTGGCTGTGTCAGATCTTCCATATACTAACTGTATCCGCCTACGCAAAGCCTTTGTTCTCATTTACTCACCACCAATATTGGGGACATAAACATTGACGTCAATTACTGTCTACCAACTTTGGCTAGCAGCCAACTCTCACCACACTATTCTTTTTGCTTCATATCTCTGTTTATGTTTCATGTACTTTCTCCTCCTGCTTTGTGTGCTACCTGGAGTGTGGCGACTTGAACTGCTGCAAATCGGTGCAAAGTTCTATGTCGAAAACAGACAGACTTACTATGTGATTAGCGAAATAATCGGCTCGTTTATCTTCGCCTATTCGTAAATTATGGTGGTACTATTTCAATTATTTTATAATTGCAGTCAATATTATTATTATTATAACTATGATTATCATTCCATACTTCGTGGATAATTTTGACTTTGTTGTTACTGCTAATGCCGAAAAATGTTGTTACTATCAATTTTGGTTACCCATACCACTCTGTAATGCTTTTGTTGTTGAATAAATTAGATGCAATATTGTACGAAACGCCCAGAATTCCATGCTGTATCATGATTAATCTTTTGTAATAAAGCAAAGCACTACTATTATTTGTAGGAAAACCAGGTTTTCCAATGGTTATCTAGCTGGTATCAGCTCATGATGAAACCCTCCAACTAATCAGACAAACAAAATCTCTATAAAAACCAATACTTGAAAATTGATCTGATGCTCACTAGCGACTGGTCCTATTCAGGCCTAGTGACCTAGAATTCTAGCGGGATGCCATGACCAGTAGGGTACAGCAAGTTGAATGTGAGGCAGTAACTCATCGAAGAAGATATTGCGAAGTGGTCGCGCTATGTCATGAATTGGCAGAAGTTGGAATTCATGGACTGCCTATTGGATCGGGTCCTAGTGGCTTAATGGTCTACGAGCTCCCTCGCCTTGTAACCAGAAGGTCCTGGGTTTGAACCACACGATGTGAGTGCGTACTGATGAAGAGTTCCAAACTAGGACGAAGTGGGCAGCTGTCCAGTACTCAAGTGGTGTTTTTCCAATGGTTCTCTAACTGATGTCAGCTCATCATGATGAAATCCTCCGACCAGTCAAACGAAATCCTTACAAAAACCAACACTATCATTATTGTTATTATCATTAAATTACACCACCCCATTTTACTTAACAACAGACTACTTAGCATATGTTTTTCATAAACACAAATTCCTTAATTGGGGGTGGGTGGGTGGGTGGTTGAAGGCGTTTTCAAGCTTCACTAAGGAGAGTGTTGACAGTCAGGATTACGAATGCACTGGATCAAGAGTCGAATCACAACCTCTCTTCTGTGTGGCTGACTGGCTAGCTGGCAAGCATTCTACCACACTGAACAACCAGCAACGCAACCACCACCACAGTGCATCGAGATTGTTCATCACCACTAGTAGTAGTACATTACATACTTATATTATGTAAGAAATCAGAACAATCTATCAGAGAATGCATCCATTCGAGTTCATATCTTTTCATATTATCTTCCTACGCATACATACATATATGTACAGACAGAAAGCAGTACACAACAAGCTATAGAAAAAGAGAAGTTCTGCGTACGTAAAAAGAAAAAAAGGGATAGTTGAAACAATCTCGGTCGTCTATTGTGTCAATCAATTCCCCATCCACCCACCCACCCATACACACACACACACAGACATCCTGAAATGAACTTCTTCAACATAAAAAAACCATCGTTTTGTTAATAAAGGACAGTGTAATTTTCACGTACAAGAACACACATGATCGCGATCGTCATCATCAACGCCATCACCATCATCATCAGCTCGATGATATGTATATATATGTATATAAAAATTTCAAAATATTCAAAAGAATTCATCAGAATACAAAAGAAAGCAGGCAGGCAGGCCGGGCGGCCGACAGACAGACAAGCAATCAAGCAAGCAGAGCAAACAGACAAAGAGCAATAATAGTACGGGTTACACTGTCTCATCACCCCGATGAAATATTATTCATTCTCTGGTTTTTATGCATTTCGACCAGTTTGATATTTTAGATTTGAATGAAATTTAAGCAAGTTATTAATATAAACGATAGGTTCATCTTTGTCGAGTAGATTTTTATCCAAGGGATTATTATTATTATTGTTTTTATGATTATTGAAGAATTGATTAACTAACTTCTCGTCATAACCACAGGTGGTCAGTGCACTGGTTACATCAACACTTGAATAACTCTGGTACTCCTCCGCAATTGACTTATCATCAGTTTGTATAACATCGAAATTTAATAGATACGAATTTGATGATCCATTATTAATACCATTCATATCTGGTGTAGCAGTTGAATCAATCTGAAAATTACAATGACACAAAAAAAAACAATCAATATTATATATACATATTATATTTCAAAGAAAAACAATAGAATAGGGACGCTGATGCAACTAGAACTGCTGCACGTATCTGTGCAAAGTTCTATGTTGAAACCAGCCAGCCAGATCATGACCGATAGCTGCTACCTTGACGTGGTCACGGTGGTGTTTGGGCTTGCACATCGCAATGACCCAACAACCTACACTAGCTGGAATTATTTTTCCTGCAGGTTCTACCATGCCAGTAAGGTTGTTACGATAGCGATTTCGACTAAAAGCAGTTACCTGTATAGTGTAAGAATTTCTTTTTTACACTATACTGGGGGGTCTGTGAGCGAAGTTGTACTGCATGGGGGAACAGGGATGTAACAGCAGAGGGGGTGTTTCCCAGCCAGATGCTAGGATTCAGGGGTGTGTTGAGATCGTGAATACCGCTTGACTGTGCCCGAAAACAAAGACAAGAGATGTCATGTCCATAAAAGCGGAGAATTTCGGCTTGTTTATATGAAGAACTCAATTCGCAGCAGCATTGAGAGTAGTAGTAGTAGTGTTCTCCAAAAGCCTTAAGGACAAGATCTCGCATCTGATTACTTTATGCGTGCATAACAGTTCACCTGCTGTTGTGTGGGCGTCAGTGGCACAGCGGTAGAATGCTCACTAACCACACCATACGTGGTCTGCGGTTTGAGCCCCGGTGGACGACACACTCCTTTACATCGCTGAGCCAGTAATAAGACTAATGCAGGGGGAAGGTTGGGCATTTGAGGCTAGCAACTCCATCCTGTCATCGGTGGTGAGTATTTGTACTCACATCCGACCTGCTGCGTCCAACTGGTCACGGTTTACCACTAGAACCCCAGGTCACTGCTGGAATGTGGCCAGTCGCTAGTGAACATCAGATCAATTTTCAAGTATTGGTTTTTATAGAGATTTTGTTTGTCTGATTAGTTGGAGGGTTTCATCATGAGCTGATACCAGCTAGATAACCATTGGAAAACCTGGTTTTCCTACAAATAATAGTAGTGCTTTGCTTTATTACAAAAGATTAATCATGATACAGCATGGAATTCTGGGCGTTTCGTACAATATTGCATCTAATTTATTCAACAACAAAAGCATTACAGAGTGGTATGGGTAACCAAAATTGATAGTAACAACATTTTTCGGCATTAGCAGTAACAACAAAGTCAAAATTATCCACGAAGTATGGAATGATAATCATAGTTATAATAATAATAATATTGACTACAATTATAAAATAATTGAAATAGTACCACCATAAATTCAAAATAGGCGAAGATAAACGAGCCGATTATTTCGCTAATTACATACATAGTAAGTCTGTCTGTTTTCGACACAGAACTTTGCACCAATGTGCAGCAGTTCGAGTCACCACACTCCGTGTAGTACACAAAGAAAGTAAAAGGAAATGCAAAATAGTGACAATAAACAAAGATATGAAGCAAAAAGAATAGGAATATCGAAGAACTGTGTGATTTTATTGGATATTATAAGTCACAAGAAGTGGATACATCTGCGCCAGCCATTGAGAATGATTTTGAGCCATATCACCGTTTGTCTTCGGTCCTCATTGGTTCTTACCGTTATGAACACCCCAAACAGGAGGTATTCACCTTCTTAAATGGCCGGCTTAAACTAACTGTTGTGGATTTCATTGACGGACGACATGTTTAGGTTTACATAGTAAGTGGTGAGTTTCACGGTTAGCACTATCTCAATCACACAGAACGCAGGCCAATTAGGGTATTGTTGAGTTTTCGTACTTTCTTGTGCAAGCATATAATCTTTTGCAGTGCTTTTGTAACCTTCTAGTCTCACCCAGTGAGATGCAAGGCTAGGAGAGTTGTGAATAAAGAGGTTGTCGAGAGGAGTCAGGCAGCGTATGGATTTGATTTAGCCAGCTCATTTCTCACATGAGTTCAGGTGTCTGTCGACTACAATAGTAACCAGTAGACTGACTTAGTGGTACACACTACTTACTTGCCCTACTGACAACTACCTTTAATACTCTTCTCAATATGAAACAGTCGTTTTAGAGTAGCCCAAGAAAGATAAGGAGTGTGGCAGATTTCTATTTCTTCTCAAAAGGATTTTACTATGTAAATTCGTGTATTGACCATTCCATGTCGGCTTCGTGTAGACTCTGATTGATCTCTAAAGACAACCGTCGTCAGATGTTCATTGGGACTGGCTCTTCGTCGGTAAGCATCCACACCACGGGGTACGAACTCAGGACCTTCTGGTTTCAAGGCGAGCGAGCTCGTAGACCATTAAGCCACTAGTACCCGATCCAATAGGAAGTCCATGAATTCCAACTTCTGCCAATTCATGAGATTACGCGACCGCCAGCCAATGTCTTCGGCGAGTATTTGTCGTCAAACCCAACCCACTGCACCCTACTTGTCGCGGCTTCTCACTAAAGCCTCAGGTTAACTTCCTGAAGAAAGCCAGTGGCTACTGAGCATCTGATTGATTTTCAAGTATTGGTTTGTTGGGATTTAATTGATTGAAACTGTTATTAGATGGTTGGAGACAATCAGGAACAAGCCTCACCAGACCTAGGTTTTCTGGTTGTTGGCATTTACCAGTCAGGAAAGATGTATCTATCACCTAGGAGGGATTCATATCCCCTCTGAGAGAGAAGCAGTGTCAATCAGTGCTGCAGTCACAGAAGTTACAAATGAGCTATTCAGACTTGCAGTTGACCTCCTGTAGGACTGTATTGGATACTTGGATTGTAAGCAACTATTATCATGCGTTTAATCCCCTGTTCAGTGCTGACTGAATTCCTACAGTCACGTTTGCAATGTGGCAACCATACTAGGAGGATCACCATCACAATGTACTCTGAATTATTGTTAGACGGCTGGCTGGATGCAATCGGCAGGAAACCTTGAACATAGGGTTAGGCGTATCTGGGACGTTGAAGGAAAAAATCACTAAAGGCTTGACACTAGTTATGGCCTAGGATCTCAAATCCTAAAGAGAATTGCACAAGGGACCCAGTTCCCACTAAAATACCATTAGACATGTGATTCTTTAGGTAAGGGTTCGACTTATAGTCAACACACTCCTAAACCTTACGGATGTTACCAGCAGCTGGTAAGCTCGGAGAAGAAAGAAGGTTAGGCGTGACGATAGCTACCCTGTCTGATAAATATAAAACATTATAGTCACTGAAACTCCAAAAGCTGAAAGCTTGAAGCCTCACGTTCCATTCGAAACTCAAAAGAATGATTATATATTAACTGCTTATTTCGTCCTACTTTGAGACTCTTCGGCAGTACAGTACACGCCCACCCAGGATCTTCCGGTTACAAGTCAAGCTCGTAAACCATTCAGCCACTGGGACCCATTCGACTTAATGGCTCATGAATCCTAACTTTTACCGATTGCTGATTTTTGGTGTGACCATCACCAGTTAGTGTTATTGGCGAGTGAGTATCTGTCCTCATTGGCGACCGGGTGGACCCCACTGGTGACGACTTCTAACTCACACTAGACCTCCAAGAAACTTTGTACTGATCAAGAGACGAAATCTTATATCATAAAAAAACATGCATAAGAAAGACTCTTACCTGAATAAATAATGAACGTTGCTTTTTCGTATCCAAATACTCTGTTAAAAAGAAACTTAATAAACTTTCTTGAGTAATTGTTGACAGAATTTTAACCTAAAAATAAACAAGAATAGTAGATTATGTGTATTGTATTTGTTATATTGCATGATATGTATACTGGAAAAGCAACAAAGCATTCTGGTAGGCAGCTCACCAACCTACGATCTGTTGCCCAACACATGTATGCAGAGGAAAATTCGAATAGATTGGACAGACACACACTAAGAAAATAGATATTCAAGCGATGCCATACTTCGGTTCGGACCATGGATTGGAACCCCAGCGACAAGTGGTGAGTTATGCGTCGGGAATAGTTCCATGGAGAATCATAAGCATTTACTAGATGCACCTGAGTCACTGAAAACAAATTTGAGCGATATCATCAACAGTTCTCAAGGCACTGATTCCTCTTAACCTCTTGAAGCACAGAGTCAAACAATCTGAGCTACTCTAAATGAATCAAACAAACTGTCAGAAACTTGATGATGAATCGATTGCATATTTTCATTTGTCTGCGCCTCTAACTCTTTTGCAAACTAATCCTGTGTCAGCTAGAGCAAGCACAATGTTTGACAACGAAGATGGTGGCTCGACATGCATATAACAACACGTGTCCTAGGCATCTTAATCGATTGACTACTTACCCCCTCCTTATCTAACTCATTCTATGACGAACCTCAATATTACTCACCCAAAATTGGACCTTTTAAAGAAGGGGATGGAACGCTAAAATATATGGGGCCAAAGACAGCGTGCGTCGTCGGTACAGCGAGAAGATGTTCGCCAACCACGCCACACGTGATTCGGATTTCGATCCGGCCGCCAACGCACTCTTTTACCTCGCTAAGCCTGTAATAAGACTGGTGGTAAATAGGGAGGGTTGGGCATTAGGCTGGCTAGGAACCCCATCCCGTAAAAATAAAAAAAACACCACTACTACCGAAACTTAAAGCCTCTGACTTGAAGCCCTATTTTCCACTGGGAACGTAAAAGAATCATAAAAAAATACAATTATTTAGTCTCCTCATATCTTCCACGGTCGTAAAGAAGGCCAGCGGACTCCTGTGCAGTGCACACTTCATTTTGACCGATAACCTGATCTCGCAGACGCAAGCTTTTTATATCCATGCTGAAACTTTGTCAGTAATCAGTCGATTTGGGTTGACGTAACTTCCCGCCGCCGCCCCACACCACCACCACTCGTCAAGCAAACGAAGAAGTCAACACTCCCACAATCTTCAAATTAAGCATCGGTTCAGACTGGTCATACAGAGTCATCTTATATTTGACACGGATACATAAGTGTAATGTCAGTAAGTGAATGTCTGAAAATTAAAGTCTTTCATCATCAGTGGGAAGCTTCACACACAAAGAAGGATTTCATGGCTTTTAGCAATCATCTGAGAAGTGAAGAAATTCATTGTTCTCTAAAAAAATAACAAACAACCGGACGTGGTGACATTCGGTTATTTAAGAAGTGTGTACTGACATTATGCAGAAAGAAAAGACAAGTGTAGTGTGTGTGTGTGACCATTTAGTTGATTGATAACTGACTTTCACTCAAAACACTTGAGTCGAAACAACACCCTATATGAACACTGACAGGGGTAATTGCGATGCCTTTTTTTGTGTGAGAAAATATGAAAAATCAGTTAGGGGAATCTCCTGATTTTAGCATAAAGAACACCAATGTTAAGTAGAATGCTGAAGACTATCAGTAGGATGAGTGGTATCCCGGCGGACTACATAGTTAACGTCGTTGTCGATAGGCACTACTTGACTTCGTGCAATAAATTTGATAAAGGGATTTTGTCTGACTTTGAGCATCCACTTTACCCTCAGCTTTCACCTTGCATCTCCTCAGGTAGAACAAGAAGTAATTTCAGAAAACTGTATGCTCGCACGTCTAAGTATAAAAATTCTATGATACCATACTTGGCAGGGACGTATTTTATGTGATGAAAATGGTGTCAGGCAAGAATTGACTAACCTTTTTTCATCTAGTAAATAAACAATCTCCTCCATCCATCCTTATAAACCTTCAAGTTTTACTTTTATTATTTCTATTATATTTATGGTCCTGTTGCTTCTTGTTCTCACTTTCATAACTGCAAACACCAACTTATCTCTATGACTGCTGTAATCTTTCTTTTTTTCCCTCACCATATCATGTAAAGAGAACATTATATTCAATATTTTTTAATCATGCAAGGATTTGTATACCGCATCGACATTACTGTGTGAAACAAACCCACGGCAATTTTCACTTGTATTATTATCATTACCTTAGCTGCTATCATTATTATTATTATTTCCATTTTATATGCTGCATGTTTTCTTTTGACATTAACCCTATTGTAAATTTAGAAAAATTTTCTTTGATTAATTTCATTTATAATTTGAGGAAATTAGATGCAATATTGTGATTAATGCTGAAAATTCCATTCTGTATCACAAGTACTGTTTTTGGAATAAAGTAAATTATTATTATTATTAAACGTTCTACTCACATATGAGTCAGAAATTCAGCACACGCAACACTGAAAGCAGTTCTAGCACAGAGATTGTAAACTTTTATCAATAGTTGCCGTTTTCTCTCTGTACTGAAGCCCAGATAACTGACCAGAAAGGATTAACACCAGGGAACTCTGAGTCTATTATGGATAAAATTTCTGTATTTTGATAAAATCACACAATGTTGTTATACAGTAAGTAATATTTACTGATATGACCATGTTTCGAGCACAAATTATCATTGCTCCTCATAATCATCATATCAAGGCACTACTCACACAACTTTCTTGCTTCATTTATATACTTACATCAGTAAAAATTGATGATTAGACATTTGAATAAAAATCAACATAAGATAAAGTACATTCAGAAATAATAATATGAGTGTTATCAATGAAGAAACAACCAGATTGGAAATAAGACGAGTGTTTTTATAGTAAAATGAATAAATAACTTGTTAGAGTGTTATAATGTGTGAAGTGGAATACATGTTAACATTATTTATTATCCTCCTCTGATTTGACTTACTGGTGGTAATAATATCTTCCATATCTCTGGTATTTGTGTTGAGTCACTTGTATTGCATGTGTTGGGTGTAGACTCGATGAACAAAGATTCAATAATAAACCTCTCTTTCCCCCCACTTATATTCCTTTTTAGAATTTTGACTCTGTCCCATCCACCCTATTGTGTGGTTATTTGTTAATGCATGCATTGCAATTGCTGAGCTTTTTTCTAAATTACTTATCTTCCTTTGTGGGATCAATCATTCTAACCTTAGGTAAATTCTTATGTTCTGATAATCTGACTACTCCTGATCTACTAGTTTGACTGACCTATGTAGTTGACCAAACTCACAGTCATTGCAAGGTATTTTGTAAATTATATTATTTTGTCTAATTGGGTCAACCGACATCACCTTTTAGTGTACAGAGCTTGTGATTACTCATATTATTTCCCATCTGATTATGTTTTATTGATAACACTAATACCATTCCCGAATATACTATATCTTATATTGATTTTATTTAAATGAAGCAAAAAAGTTGCGTGAGAAGTGTCTTGATATAATGATTATGAGCAGTAATAAATTGTGCTCAAAATGTGGTCATCAGTAAATATTACTTATCGTATAACACCGCTCCTTTACCTCGCTAAGCCAAGTAATAAGAAGAAAGGTTGGGCATATGAGGCTAGCAACCTCATTCCGTAAATATAAAAAAACACCACTACTACCGAAACTTCAGGCCTCTAGCTTGAAGTCCGCACTATGTCCCACAAGGAAGGTGAAAGAATAAAAAAATGTGAATTTATCAAAATAAAATTTTATCCATAATGAAGTTATACTCTACCACCACCACAATGCCCAAGTTTTATCCTCATATCAATAAGGAACTCTGAGAACAGACCAAAACCAAACAACAAACCTATTCGACAACAAAAACTCCGAAGAAAATGAAGATGGATCGGAGACACATTGAGGAGACCGTCGAATGACATCACACACAAGTAGAATCGGAGGAGTGTGAAACGATAAGTCGGGAGTAACTACAAAGGTAACACGGAGAGCAGATGAAAGCTTATGGGTAATCGTGGCGTCAGCTGATGAGGACTGCAGAGAACAGTACGAAATGGATGTGACTAGAATCAATCAATGAGTACAGTATAGTACAGTACAGTTTTCAGCTACACTTACACATTCTTCTCTGTAATTAAAATTCGCTGTAGTCTGCATAATTTCATCCCAATTCCTTTCGAATTCTGTAGCCATATTAGGATCTTCTAGTTGATGGATTGATATAAGTGATTCCACCTGTAAAAGAGAAAGAAAAGGATGCACAAGAGATCAAACATTGTCAGTCAAGAAAATAAACTGATGGATTTTGCACTGCCTATGTGTGTGCTATGATCAAGCAAGTTCATCTCGTAAACTGAATTTTCTGGAGTTCAATCACCAATGAGGTTATGAGTGAGCACTGCTGAAGAGTTCCAAACTAGGATGAGTATTCTGTTGTTTCAATGGTTCTCTAACTGAAGTCGGTTCATTATCTATTTTGAAATTAATCTATTCACTGCAAATCATCACTTGAAAGTTGATCTAGTATTTACTGGTAATGAGGCTGCCTACTGTCTCCAGTGGTTTTCCTCATTGCAGGTTGTGGACTGGATAATGCGACACACAGTGAGCAACGAGGAAACAGGCATTAAAATGGACCCACACAAATACATTCGAAGTTCTGGACTTTGCCGATGATATATGTCTGATATTCCACAAACTGGAAGAGATGCAAGTGAAAAGCGATATGTTGGAGACAGAAGAAGCATCAAAGGTAGGACTCCAGGTGAACATAGAGAAAACAGAGGTAGGTGGTGAAGATTCCTGGCTAACAGTGACAGCAACAACAACAGACAACAATCAGCCAGCATAAATGGGATAAATCTGAAAGAAGCAACCTCCTTCACCTACCTACCTACCTACTAGGGAAGCATCGTTTCAACTACAGGCGGATCGAACTGATGAGGATATGAAAGCGAGGATCGGGAAAGCAAGGCAAGCTTTCATTACACTCAAGTATGAAAAATAAGATCCGGATTTTCAACTTCAATGTGAAGTCAGTCAGTACTACTATACGGATCAGAGACTTGGCACCGCTCCAACTCACGAAGGGCACTTCGAACAAACTACACACCTTCATCAACAGCTAGCTGTCTTCGCTCAATACTACTCAAGATCAGATGGCCGGCCAAAAAACGTCAGCAACAAGGATCCCGGGGAACGAAAGAACCGACCCAGCAGGAACCAAATGGGCAATAAATATGCAGAATAAATGAAGGTGGATTAGCCATACTCTGAGAAAACAAACCATCAAGTGAGTAACATCACATGCCAGGCGATCGCTCGAGTGGAACGCAAATGGGAAGCGGTAAGCTCATGGTCAGTGCGAGGGTGACAACATGGAGGAGGTCGTGTGAAGAGGGGATGAAAGCATGTGGGCATACATGGAGCCAGGTGAAAACGTTGGCAGAGGACCGCACGCAATAGAGACATGCGACTGAAGCCATATGTTCTTCTAGGAACTAAAGGTGATAATAATTACTGGTAACTGGACTACAGGATGAAGTCGCCTACAGTTCCAAGGTTCACAAAGTTTGATAACCACCGGGTGATATTCTCGCTAGTGGTAGCGACAAAAGTCGGAATTCATGGGCTATAGAATTCCATCTAAAGCAGCTGAATGCTCAATTTAGCTCACTTCACAGAACCTGAAAGTCTTGAGTTCGATTCCGGATGACTAAAGTCATGGATACGTACTCGTTGACGAGCTCTGTGGTGTTAGGAGAGAGAACACAGCTAGCTGTCAGTCGACACTCCCTGGTTTCCAATAGTCTTTGTCTTACTCATACCTTAGAAACCAATCACCAACAAACCATTTCTGGGAAATAACAGTTGAAAATTGTTTCAATGTTGTTTCTACAATAAAATGTTTAACTTATTCGTGGAAGGTATTGTAGCGTGATGTAGATTAACAGGAAACGATCAAAAACTGCAGTCAACACTTTAAATCAACCTGATTGGACAATTCGTACAACCTTGGGTCAATTGTCAACCAATCAGAACAATTTATTCTCTTCTAACCTGAACGAACTCTAATGTGGCTAAGAAATGTATAAATATGGTGTGATTTTATCATTAGTAAAGGTTCGTTACAAAGTCCTTTCACCTCCACATTGTCAACAGGAAAAATATTATAGAATGAAATGAAATAAAACAGAACAGAAAAAGCATCATTTACTACTTACCGAAGTTTTAAAATTTTCCGGTGGCATAGCAGCAATAATCCTAGGAGCAATTCGACGCCAGAAGGCAGTTAATCGGCCAGCAACAAAATTCACTGAAAATTTATTCGCAGGACTACATGCAACCAAACTTATACCTGAATGACAATTACCACCAGGCATGGATAGCCAATATCGAAGGTATACAGTGTATCCTAGGGATTCTTTTGTACGTAGGTAGTCGAAGGCTGGTTCAGATAGGATAAACTGAAAGTATTGATATAAAAAAGGGATCAATTTCTGTACCAGATATATACACTAATTAGTCTGATAACGTGAATTATTATTAGTAAACAAAAAAACTTGGTACATCAATATGGGCACCAAATGAAAAGGAGAGAAGAAAGAACGGAATGGTAACATGTTCTCGCCACTTACGATTTTTAGACATATCTGATCGAGTCGAACAATCGCTTGAACCAATCCCCCCCCAATCGGCAAGTCACAATTTACCAAACTAACAATTATGTAATTCCACAGCGCTAAGTCATATACTGACCACCTCTTCGCCTTTTCTATCCACAGCGAGCGAGGTTTAGGAGCGCCACTGGGGTGATAGGCGTGGTGCATGTCGACGCCACCATCACCACCACCACCTAAGCCGGTTGTTTCTATGTTACCACCACACTCAATGAGTGCTGACCTCTAGCGTGTTAGAACACATGCTACCGGAACTCAGAATCATTTACACGATGATGTCATCGGACGCAAGCTACTCTAAGGAATGATCGAATACACAGAGTTATCAAAAAGGCTAAGTTGCAAGACTGCTCGCACCGAAGCATTGCAGTCCCAACCTTTGACAGCTAGAGTGACGTTATGATGGCATCATTAAAGGTGGCTAGAAATCGGGTGTATATCAGCCTAAGTATCTCGTCCATCAAACCTCCACCAGCACTTACACAACTACCGAGATACACGAATTTATCGACAACTTCAAGCAGATCACTTGCAAGGATGAGAGTGTAGGTGTACAAATTCCAGTCAATTTTGCAACAACACTTTATGCTTAGACAGAGTAAAGCATATACCATACTGATAGACACTTATCGTCAACTGATTAAGTGCCAAACTGAATCCTATCAGTCAGGTTTACGCACCAAATGAGGTGACTTGCCATATTGGTGCAATGTGAATTAATACTGTTTATTCATTATTCCATCGGGTTCCGAGTGCAATATGAGGCTTTAACAAAACATCTACCGTTTTGTCCTGTTCTCTGTTATCCTCTTCAGCTGGCATTAACCACTGCCCAGAGGTTCTCAACTCCTCCCCAGACGATTCCCTTCATGCCATCATAGCATCTAAAACCAACTCGTTGTTTCCCACTCCAGCTACAAATTCGAAGGCCGGCATAGTGAGCCATATCATTCATTCAACGATTTCCTCAGCGTGTATCCAATCCAGGATATTTGTTGAGCAATAAGTTCTTGATTTATTCGTTATCGGAATCCCTTGTTGTTAATCTTATGTCTGCGACCAAATGATCTTCAGTATGGAGCCAGAGAAGAAGGCTGTTAGCAATTCCATTGATCACGCGCGCGCCAAGTTTCAGACCCATAGAGAAGAACTCATATTAGGCGGTTAGTTGTCGAATATATATATATTATTATTATTATTATTATTCATCCCTTAGATTATTATTTATTATTGTTTCCTTTAATTCCTAGACGAACATAGGGCTTCAGCCGTGCGTCTCCATTGCGTTCGGTTCTCTGCTACAGTCTTCACCTGGCTCCAAGTCTGCCCACACGTCTTCATCTCCTCTTCATATGACCTCCTCCAAGTCACCCTTGCACTGACGACCAAATCGCCACTTCCTTTTCGAGTTCCACTTAAGCAATGGTTTGTCTAGTGATGTCACTTGATGGTTTCCTCAGAGTATGGCCAGCCAATCCATCTCCATTTCTTCCTGCATATTTGTTTCACAATCGGTTCCTGCTGGGTTGGTTCGCTCACTGCCAGAGATCCCTGTTGCTGATCTTTTCTGGTCAGACATCTGATCTTGAGTATTGAACGAAGACAACTGTTAATGAAGGTCTGTAGTTTGTTTGAGGTGCTCTTTATGACGCGCAGTGCAAGTCTCTGATCCGTATAGTAGCACTGACTGACTTCACATTGGAGTTGAAAATCCCTATCTTATTTTTCATTCTGAGTGTTGGGTGTTGACCTCCACACAGACTTGAGAGTAGTGAAAGCTTGTCTTGCTTTTCCGATTCTTGCTTTGATATCCTCGTCAGTTCCGTTCGCCTGTAGTTGAAACGATGCTTCCAAGGTAGGTAAAAGAGGTTGTTTCTTTCAGGTCCCTTCCATTTATGCTGATTGTTGTCTGTTGTTGTTGCTGTTGGTAGTGTTGCCCAGGAATCTTCATCACCTACCTCTGTTTTCTCTATGTTCACCTGAAGTCCTATCTTCTCTGGATGCTTCTTCTGCCAACTTGTTGCTTCTCACTTGCATATCTTCCAGTTTGTGGGAAATCAGACATATATCATCGGCGAAGTCCAGATCCTCCAAGTTTTTGTGTGAGTCCATTTTATGCCTGTTTCCTCATTGCCCGCTGTCTGTCGCATAATCCAGTCTACCGCCATCAATCCGGAAAATCATTGGAGATAGTAGGCAGCCAGCTTGTCTTACTCCTGTCCTCACTTTGAAGGATTCCGTAAGTTTCCTATTGTGGATTACTTGGCATGCAGCATTGTCGTACGGCTGTTGGATGAGATGTATAATTTTCGGTGGCACTCCGTAATAGCGAAGTAGTTGTCAAAGCACCTCTCGATCGACGCTGTCGAATGCCTTAGATACCGAGTGGGAAATACAGATTCAGTAGCATGCCTCCATGACTGCCCACTATAAGCTTTCAACTTCTCTGCACATGATCTCCTTTTTTGTCACTCTCGAAGCAATGCACAGCTTGTTGGCTTGTCATTCAGGGTGTGGTCTTAAAATATCTTCATATCTTCATAGATTTTTGGTTATTTCCTTGTTGGGGATTTTAGTTGCTTGTCGAATGAAGATAGCCAGCCAGTTAGTAGTCTGCAATTGATGAAAGTTTTACAGCCTGTTCTTTTTTTTAATGACGCGTCAAGTATCCGAACCATCTATAAGCACTGAATGACTTGATATTGCTGAATGCTATAAGATTTCCACACCAACGACTTCAGAGTTATGAACTAATGGTTTCCCAGTTTAACTGATAGCTAGTCCTGAAAGCACAGAGAAAGAGAGAAGGAATATATTGATTTTGGCTGGTGAACTAGTGAGTGACTCACCCTACCTATGTAAAAATCCCTGAGAAAAAAACAACTAGCAATCCAATCGCTACACAGAACCTTTAAAATACGGTAAAAAAAACACAAAGTGGAGAATAAAAATAATGGGGTTAGATAGTTTAATTAAAGGGAAATAACTTACTGCTAATAATTTATTATAACATTGACGTTTAATATCCGATTCTCCGAGTATATGAACTCGAGCTAGACACATGTTTACATCGCTTGGATTACAATTCATTAAACGTAAGTGATAGGTTCCTGGATCGAGAATAGCAGGATCAGTCTAGACATTTGATGATGAGAGGGGCCGAGAGAGAGAGAGAGAGAGAAAGAGGAAAAATTCATGATTGCCAACAAGGTTATACGGAAACAAAATTAAAAAATTTTTAAAAAGTTTCACCACTTCTACAAACAAAAAAGTGTCATATAACCTGACCTACAACTTTACAACCGGCTTGCACGTATATGCAGTAGGGCGAATTTGACGGGGTGGGGGGGGGAAGATGAACTGACTGACTGGTTTCAACAAAGTACTTTGGACACACAATGGCAACAATCCCATGTGCTACACTTCCCCTTTACCATATATAAAGGCTGATAAAGGAGTGAAGAGAGATTAGAAACAGCAATAATAAGCTAAAATGTTGGGGAGAAAGGATAATACCATGAAAAAGCATGAGGATTTAATGCTTATGGGACAAGACTAACAGTGAATACATCTGCGCGCCAAACACTGAGAACGAGGATTTTAGACCACATCAGTAATACTCTCAAGTCATTGGGTCTTATAACATCCCCAGGACCCCAATCAGAAAGCCTACATATCCCCAAGTGGTTTGAACTAAAGATTTCATGGACTGATTCTTAGTTTCAATTCGAACATCATTAGCTCTTTTCCAACCTGATCCATCCTATATCAGTCAGCTAACATTGCCCGTTATCGAGGAAAGCGATGGCTAGACAGGCATGCGTAACACATGTCCTAACCATCTCTCTCTCAATCGATGTAACTTCACAGCCTCGTCTATTGATTTCCCCTCCCACCTACCTAGCACTCGACGTCTAACCTCAATATTGTTCACCCTATTATACCAATTAATACGGAAGATATAATGCAAGCACCTATGATCAAAGACAGTTCGCCAGGCTTTCCATGTCTTCCACTTTCAATGGTCAGGTCTCACAGCCATAAAGGAGGACGGAGTGGACTGCTGAGCAGTACACATATCATTTGGTCGATAGATAGCCGGATATCACGTCTACGCCAGAGACCGCGTAAACTGGCATATGCGAGACTAGCCCTCTGTATCCATGCTGAAATTTCGTCGGCGATCAATCCTCTGGAGTTGGCTGATTCAACTCCCCAAATAAGTGAAGTGGTTCACACCCTCCATCAACCACTTCACTCTCTATATTTAAGCTAGCAGTGAGTCAATGTAGTCAAGTCCTGTAGCATCATCTTACATTCGACAGGAGCGAAATGCATGCCAAACATTGTTGCTCAAGGTGTGTTCAGAAGACTATGGATTTTACCAACGCCTTCACCTAGGAGGAGAAGGAGGACTATATCATACGCATATTCTAATTCAACAAGACTATTATTATTAACTGGAGAAAATTCAACTCCTGAATCACTGAAGTCAGTTAGGGTCAATTCGATTACTGTATTTATGATGAAATATAAAAACCCAAAGGGGGACAGTTGGCATCTCTAAGTGACAGCAATGCATTGGTTGTCCTCACTTCAGATGATGTGTAATAAGACAAGGAAACACAAGTCATGGATTTCGCTGCTGGCCATTACACACTACAATTCTACAGTAGACACTTGAGTAGTCTATTTGATCTCAGCTTCCTGACATCGTGACTGGTCAGCTGATTACGCAAAATTAGTCCTCTGCCGCTTATCTAAACATGACAGGTTTTTATTTCAAACATACGAGTGGAGTAGTAGGGAGAGAGAATTAATGTATATGAGTCAAACTGTTAGGGATATGCGTGAAAACTACACTCACTGTATGTGCATAGAGGAGTGATAAGGTCAAGTTTAAGAAGAAGAATGCCTGAATTGCGCTATACTATTCGAATTGAAGACTCACTCTTTGAAAAACAAAACAAATGTATTATTTTAACCTATAAACTAATTTTCATGCATTAAGGTGTAATTCACAATTAAAACATAATCAAGACGCAAAAGATTAAAGGGGGGGACTGAAGGGGGCTCAATTTTATTTAACTGAGATTCAAGTACTTCAGCTAATGAATGAACACCATCCACAGTCGACTAACCTACTGTTCTTTTGTATATATATATATATATATATATATATATATATATATATATCTTAAGAACACCATTCGACTGCGTTGGACAAATATTCATCTTCTGCCTTCTCTATATGAAGATCTTCTCGAGTCAGGCATACTACTGTAGATATGTGTTGAAGACAGGATATTATGACAGAGTACTCTTACTGAGATTATAAACTGAATTGCGATGCCATATTAGTTTGTTTATCAGATATATCACACAATGGAACAGTATTGTTTACTAGATGACGTTTCGAACAAAATTTATTGTTTATAATCATATCAATTATACACATAAAAGAAGCCTTGAAACTTAATAATTAACCGTATAAATTAGTCAGGAAATATGTAAGGAAATGTAAAAATAAAATAAATAATGATAGTAGCGATAGTGATAATAACAATAATAATGATAATAATAACAATAATAATAATGACGACACTAACAATAAACAATCTAAATCATCAGTAATTATTCCATACAAGGAAGGAACCTCGGAAGCCTTACGCAGAATTCTTAACAAGGCAGTAATAAAAGTGGCATTCAAACCCACAAACTCAATTAGAAACAAGCTTTGTCGGTTAAAGGATCCTCTAGAGCCTTTAAAACAAAACAATTTAGTTTACCTAATACCCCGCCTGCAATGATTGTCAGGTCAAATACATAGGTCAAACTAGTAGAACAGGTGCAGTCAGACTGGCTGAACATAAAAACCTAGCAAAATCTAGATTGGTTGACCCGAATAAAATAAGAAATCTAGAGAATAGTTCAGCTGTACCACTCACTACATGCAGTTACACACAACCACACAATAGGATGGGATAGGATGACAGTTTTAAAATCTAATGTCACAGGGTATAGGGAGAGATTGATAACAGAAGCTTTGTTTATCGAGTCAACTGCAAATACATGTAATAGGAATGATTCATCAGCTGTCCCAGATATCTGGAAAATTCTACTACCCCAACGACGACAAATAGGAGAAAACAAAGAAAACGAGGAAACTCAAGTTTCGAAGTCGTGTGATTACAATTGATGATATGATTATGAACAATAAATTTCGTTCGAAACGTCATCCAGTAAATAATACTGTTTCGCTGTATGATGCATCTAATAAACGAACTAATACGAAATTACTACTACAGTGCCCAAGTTTTACACATATATTAATATGATTTGTGATGAATCATGAATGTAGGAAAAATCTTTTATGCACCAGTCTATATGAGCCACACTAATTTTTTTGTGTGTTTAAGGGCTTATGACACTACTAAGCTGTCGATGTGACAATGTAGGTGCGTAGGGTGTCGAACTCAGGACCCTGTAGTTGCAAGTCAAGTGTTTAAGCTGATGTGAGTGATATCTCTGTCTGTCTTTTTCCAACATAGAACTTTGCACCGATGTGCAGCAGTTCAATTTACCACTCTCCCTGCATGTAGCACACAGAGCAGGAGAAGAAAGTAGAAGAAATGCATAATAGAGACAGTAGACAGGGATATGAGACACAAGGAATAGTAATATTGGAGAACGATATGGTCTCATTGGATATTATGAATCACGAGGAGTGGATGCATCAACGCCAGCCATCAAGAACGAGGACTTTGAGCCATATCACCAACTGTCTCCAACCTTCATTGGATTTTAACGTCCCGAGGATCCCAACCAGGAAGACTACACCTTCCTACGTGGATTCCACTGACTGGTGTTATGTTCTGGTTTCACCACCACTGGCTAACTCTTTTCCAGCCTGACCCCATATCAGCTAACATTGTCCGTCGAGGAAGGCAGTCGATGGCTAGGCATACGTAAAACTTGTCCTAATCATCTCAGTCGATGTAACTTTACAGCCTCGTTGATTGATTTCCCCTCTGCGAAGCTATTAGTGCAATCGACGACGTGCCTTTTAACATACTTCGGATTTATCAGTTGAATGTGACTGTATCATCCTCAAATGAGTGATGATGTTCTCCATACATGTAGAATTTGAACCTATTGTCCATCGGTTCAAACATTGAAGCGTTATCACCTACTACGCTACATATTGCTGATATGATTATAAATTGTTAAACTATCTATAATAAACAACATATGGAATACATTTCATTCCTTGAATCAATATCGATTTATTCTCTCAGTGGGTCAGTTGAATGTAGTAAGTGGTGGAGGCGGGGAAGGGGGTGGCTAGGAGGTGGAATCGACTTTAGTCAATTCAAATCCTTCCATAAAATAAGTTAATTAAATAATAAACTAAATATTGATGTCAGTGTGAACGTTAGCATAGATTTATTTGTCTTAATAACTAATATTGGAACACATATATTGAATCCTGAACATGTTCAGTGTTTCAGTATACGTGAATGAAAAGAACTCAATTTAACTCAACCTTTATTATGCCAAAAGAAAAGATTAATAATTATAGCATGAGTTTCTCTTCGTGGGAATTTGGGTCGACTTCAATTGCTAGATTTTGTTACAGACGAACAATTACAGTTAAAAAGACTATTGTAAACCAGGGAATACAGTAGACAGCTGACCATTTCTTCCTAGTTTGGGATTTGGCAGAAGTGTACACTAATGATGACATCACAACAGGAATGAAGTCAGAGACCTAAGGGTTGCATACACTTATATATATAAATATGACGTAACAGCTACCTCTGCCCAGTGATTCCTGGTTGTGAAGATTTTATACTTCGTCGGCCGAGTATACAGTCTTCTATAGTCGGTTTTACTTCTACCCGATGAGATTCAAGGAGAGATTTGTGTATATAGAAGAGATGCTCAGGGCTTGACAAGATAATATTTGCTAATTTCTTGTATGAGTTCATCATGTGTGTCTGTCTACAACAGTGTTCAGCAATTGTCTGGTTTGACATCAACGCACCCGCCACACTGACAGCTAAGAGTGCCTTTTGTAGTGTAACAAAGTCTTTCTTAAGTAGTCTAGAAAAGATTAAGGTGGAGCAATAGAGTAGATAGAATACATGACTTAAGTAAAAAACTATTGAATTTTAACGTATTATCTTTGTAGAACATGGACTAACATGATGTGAGAAGACCAGGAATTAACAATCAACTGAATTAGTTTTAAGTATTGGTTTGTAGAGATTTGATTGATTGGTTACAGGATTTTATCATGATTTCACACTGGTTAGAGAACCATTGGAAAACCTGAGAGTACTGGACAGCTGCCTACTTCGTCCTAGTTTGGGACTCTTCATCAGTACGCACCCACAGAAGTTCGAACCCAAAAGCTTCTGGTTACAAGGGGAGCTCATAGACCTGGGTTCGATGATGAAGAGTCCCAAACTAGGACGAAATAGGCAGCTGTCCAATACTCCCAGGTTTTCTAGTGGTTCTCTAACCAATGTCAGCTCATGATGAAATCCTATGACTTAGTTTTGACTTCAATGTCATCTTCGTGATAGTAAAATTATACAAGTGAACAAGTCACAAGCCAGTTACAATGTTAATCAACACCAGAATTCCTTAAATGCTTCCTTTCATATTAGATAAGTTTATTTGATATAATGCGCACAATGAGGAGTGAAATAGAGTGTTATTAACTGGATAATGGTTCAAATACAGCTTGTTGTTCATTAAGTATATCTCAATGTATCCCCTCTGTTTTGTTGACTTAGATTTCACAGCCTTACATCAATTCTGTTTTCTGTTACAATTTTCCGTGTAGGCATGGTGCGCTATTTAAACTGCACGTGTTTGGTAATGACTCAAAGGTCAAAGACTGTGATTAACCTTTCTTCCTCTATGCCTACATAATTATATATAACTCTTTTATTAATTTTACCCTTTCCCACTTTAAAATGAGTAATTACACGCAAGCAAATGCATTGTGCGTGTATGTGACCAGGATTTTTTCCAGATTATTTAACTTAGTAGGTCAATCACCCTACTTGTAGGTAGATTCTTACGTTCCGATAATCCAATTGATACCAATCTACTTAGGTTTATCCGTATAACTGACGCCACAGTTATTAGCACGCTAGCGTTTATAAAAAGGCAACGCACACTAATATTGAATATTTAGACTTCAATTCATCTTATCTGTTATCTATCTGTAAAGGCAGGCTTAGTTAAGTGTCTAACAATCCCAGCAGTAGCACTAAGTAGTACAACAAAAACCTAAACGATGAAATAAAACAGATAGAAGAGGCATTGGTGTCAAATAACTAACTATCCTATAAATTTCATTAGGAATATCAAGAAAGGTCAAAAGCAAAATAAAAATAATTGTAAAATTAATAATGATAACATAAATAAGAGAGAATATAAGGCATATGCTATTGTACCATATAAGGAGGGGACATCTGAGACCCTACGTAGGATTCGCAATAAAGCAGGAATAAGGGTGGCATTCAGACCTACAAACTCACTCAGAGACAAGCTCTGTAAGCTAAAGGACCCGGTGGACTCAATTAAACAAAATAATATCATTTACATAATGCTTTGTAATGACTGTGAGTTAGGTCAACTACATAGGTCAGTCAAACTAGTAGATCGGAGTTAGTCAGATTGTCGGAACATAAGAATTTAGATGAGGCTAGAATGATTGACCCCACTGGCGAAGATAAGTGATTTAGAAAAAAGCACTCAGCAATAGCACTGCATGCATTAACAAACAACTATACAATAGAGTGGGTGGGACAGACTCAAAATTCTAGAAAGTAATATAGGTAGATAGGTAGAGAGAGAAGTGGCTGATTACTAAATCCTGGTTCATCGAGTCGACGCCCAATACATGCAACATAAGTGACTCAACGTAAATACCAGAGATATGAAAGATATTATTAACAGTCAAATCAGAGGAGGAAAATAAATAATGTTAAAATGCATTCAATTCATATTGTAACATTCTAACAAGTTCCTTATTTTCACTGAGAACAACATCTTATTTCCCATCCTATTGTATTTCATTGATAACACTAATATTATTATTTCCGAATGTGCTTTATCTTATATTCATTTTATTCAAATGTCTAATCATCAATTTTTACTCATGTATATAAATGAAACAAGAAAGTTGTGTGAGTAGTGCCTTGATATGATTATGAGTGGTATCCATTTGTGCTTGAAGCGTGGTCATCAGTAAATATTACTGTAGACGTAACATTGTGTGATTTTATCAAAATAAAATCTTATCCATAATGGAGTTATACTCTACCCCAGTGCCTAATTTTGATAATAACATCAAGTCACTGTCATTACATGGTATTATTTTTGCCAATTGGATACATCAAGTTCTTAAGCCGATAGAGTTTGTGTCTGAACGAGTCGGTTGTCTTAAATGTCACCGTGATTCCATCCAGTCTTATTAAGCAACCTATTTTTTAAGGGCCTCTGATGATATTCTTTCTTTATATAGCTCAGTATCTAAGTGAGGTGTTGAATTCCTAATTATTGATATTATTCCCATTACTACTCTTATGCTTCTCATGGATCTGGATGGTACTTAACAGCCAAAAACATATCCATACAGTTCGGTAATAAGTAATGATACACCTATAGTGTAAGGCCTAATGCGATAACGCTGTCTGAACTACACAAATTTCCTTGGGTGGAAAGGGGTTCAAACCAGTGACCTAATTGATAGGTGATAGGAAAGCACGCAGGCTAATGAGCCACAATTCCACAACTGATGATATCGTTTTTTAACGGTGTGCGGTTGCCAGCCTCACACACACAAAACCTTCCTTCTTATCCAGACTTAATGATACATCGGTTAAGCCAGGTTCATGAGTAATGTCACGACACAATCTGCCTACCTTTTCAAAATTTCTCTCATAGTCAAGCTTCGCATTTCCGATGCATATACACGCGTTGAGCACCCACTCCGAAACACTTGATTTGTTCTTTTTTCACAAGACTACACACACATACATTGGCCTAAGCACTAGATTTCTAACTAGTGTGTCACGAGTTCGAACACTGCCCTTACTAACTAAAATTCGGACAACCACTTACTTGGTTTCAGGCTCAAAATCTTTCCCCTCCCTCCCCATTCACATACACACATCGAGGTTTAGACAGTTGTTAAATGGTTTCACTAATCGTTGTAGGAAAAGTATGAAGGCTTGTTTTATATTTTAACGCTTAGTTGTCTTTTTCATACATTGGTGCCCTGTTATACACACACACACACAGAAGCATGAATACATTTAAACAGCACCATAACAAACGGAAATGATACATACATATATAAATACATTCCTCAACAGGGTTGACTTACCAATTTTCGTTTTGCAATAGGCACAGGATTAATTTTCTTTACGGTGTAATCAAAGAAATTTATAGCATCCTATTGTACATCACCGCAACCGCAACCGCCGCCACCACATAGTGAAAGGGAATAAAAGCAAGAGGGAGAATAAATAGTCATGTATAACAACAGAAAGCAATAATAGCTTGTCAATTAAAACAAAACAATGAATAGTCGAACGGCGGTCAGAAGGTTGCTTTTGAACGCAGCATTCATGTATAAGTATTTCCTTCGGCATATAGATATGGCGTATATCTACTTTGTGGGTTTTAGGGCTTTATGTGTTTCTGTTTATAATTATGATGATTGTACAGCTAAATGCATCTCTTCACTGAACTGTTTGTTCTTACATGCATATTTGGATGGGTAATTTTCTTTTCCAAGTGAATATTGTAAATGACTTTTAAGCCCTCACTCACTTTCAAATTTAATTTGATTATAACAATAAAGAATATTAATACGACAGGGTATCAGTTATCAAGATAGGTAGTAGGTCGATTTTTTTTATTCCTTCACGTTCCCAGTGGAACATAGGGCTTCAAGCTAGAGGCTTGAAGTTTATGTAGCAGGGATGATTATTTTTACAGGTTGGGGTCGCCACCCAGCCTCATGCCCAACCTTTTTTTCTTTACCAGCTTTATTTCTGGCTTAGCGAGCGAGGTAAAAGAGTGCCTCGTCGACCGGGGATCGAACCCCGGACTATGTGCATGAAGTCCAGCTATGAAGACTTAAAATCTTCAACCTCACACACTCACACTTGCCTCTTATTATTAACTAACAGAACAACGCCAATAGTAGTGCGGAATGAAGCGTTCATCTCCTTCTACAGTCGGGGAAAGCCTTACTAATATTATTATTAGGCATTGATTCTATGAGTAAACTCATGTACATCGGTGGTTCCACGACAGAATATACTCTGTAGCCACACACACACATATATGTTAAGGGTTCGATTACTGGCCGGCAGGCGCACTCATAATTGAGTTTGTGGGTTTGAATGCCTTGTTAAGAATTCTACGTAAGGTTTATGAGGTTCCTTCCTTGTATGGAATTACTACTGAAACAAGCTTTGTCGGTTAAAGGATCGATCCTGTGAAGCCAATTAAACAAAACAATTTAGTTTATCTAGTACCCAGCCTGCAATGACTATCAGGTCAAATACAAAGATCAAAGTAGTAGAACAAGTGCAGTCAGTCAGACTAACAGAGCATTAAAACCTAGCAGGAAAATCTAGATTTGTTGACTCGAATTAGATAAGAAATAAAGAGCATAGTTCAGCTATGCCACTCACTACATGCAATAGGATTCGATAAGATGACAGTTTTAAAATCTAATGTAACAGGGTGGAGGGAGAGATTGATAACGGAGGCTTTGTTTATCGAATCAAATGAGGCGAATACGTGTAAGAGGAGTGATTCAACATCTGTCCACCCAGATATCTGGAAAATTCTACTACTCCAACGACGACGAATAGGAGAGAATAAAGAAAACAATAAAACTCAAGTTTCGAAGTCGTATGATTATAATTGATGAAATGATTATGAACAATAATAAATTGTGTTCGAAACTGTGTCATCCAGTGAACAATAATACTGTTTCAGAGGCTGTGTGATATATCTAATAAGCAAACTAATATGGAATTACTTACTACCACAGTGTCCATGTTTTGCACATATATTAATAAGGGTTTGGCTAATTTATCGACCACTTTTAACGATTTCCTTTAGAGAGTGAGTGTAGGTACAAGCTCCTTCCAAACTTGCAACAGTACTTTCCACTTGGACGGGGCAAAGGAAATACAGTACTTACAGACACTGATCGCCATCTGTCGTACAGTAAGACAATATCGTCTGCATACTCGAGGTTAAAGTCTTTCTCCAAGTAACGCGTCTACAACGCCATCACAGGTAAATCCCTCAGAGCTGTCCCCATAGTGTTGTGGATGGTAAAAAATTACAGGAAAACATTGACGGTGGTCAAACATGCTGTTGATCGAGAACAGCATTCATAACCGGTTGTATGCCCTCATTCTATCTGAAATGCTTCAGTACAGACATTTCAAGACGTTAACAATTTTCTTAGGAACAGCCTCACTCTCTCTCTACAACAGACACTTCTAAGAAGCAGTTCTGTACAACGAATTGAAGGCAGTCCGTATATACAGAAAACACAACACTTGTTGGCCTGTAATACGCGTAACAGTATTTTAGAAGCTAACAAAAGGTAAACAGATAATCGATGAATCCACTGCCTGAACTAAACCCAGCACACTCTTCATAAATCAGTCCCTCACATATTTTCACAGTCTGTGAAGCAAGACAGCTGTCAGTATGTAAGACGCGACCGGTAGGACATTATTATTCATTTGACTGCTACACGTAATATGTAGACGGCTTTTAAAGATGGGCACAACGATGTCTCCATTTCACATCGATGGAATGTCCTCTCGTCAGTCAAATCACTAACGAGAATCTCACTGTCATCTTTAAAAATCGTCGGGTATAGGCTATCTAGGCGGCAGGCGACATGTAGCGTTCCACTACTTACAGTTCCATTCAGATAGACCATAATATTTGGCGCTGACTGTGTTGGCCAGCTAGTTGAACTGCTCTCTTGAAGTGCCCTGCCCAGCGTCCATAGGCGGATTTTTCAGGTCTCAGGATAGCAGTTCTGACCAAAGAATCTAAAGCCGTCATAATATCAAGAAATACAACGACTGTTGGCTTACCTCTTTTCTAATATTACCATAAGCATATACAGTTATATGCAGATTTGAGAAGAACTGTTGTTTGTAGGCTGCTAAATCAGCTACAGACAGATCTTTCAGTGCATTCAATATATCTGGTAGCAGGTAGACTTCACGACGAAGAAGATAAATTTGAAGATGTCTGTTAAAAAGAGAGAAAAAAAAGCGATGAGAAGAAAGAAACAGAGAAAGCCAGAAAACACTGTTTATTGAAAATCAGCTGGGAATGCTGGAAAGCTGTTTCATAAGCCCAGGTTGAGATTCGTCGGCAGTATGCACCCACACCCTGGGGTTGGAACATAAGGCCTACCGTTACAAGGCAAGCTCGTATACCATTCACTCACTGGGATCCGATTCCATAACCCATGAATTCCAACTTCTCCGATAACTATTTATTTTGAATAGAATGCATTATAATTATTATTATAAAAGATTTTGAATTTCACAATGAATGAATGAATGAAAAACAAAACGATATTATTGTTTTTACTGATGTTTCGCTATTTAATACGGTTGCTAATGGCGTTATTTAAACAGTAATATTAAACCACAATTTGTAAATTCCACTCAGCTAATATATAGCGACTTAATCATCCTTCATCATCATGCGGTAATATTTACGTTGTCAAGTTGGCCAGTTGGTAAAGATAACAAAACCAAGTGTAGACTGTCGGATTTGATAAGTGTGTAAAATTGTAAAAGTAACATGTGTTAACATCATGAAATTGCTTATCAGATTCGTGTTCACTTTGTCATTTCATGTGGGAGGGGGTCTTTGTAACCAGGTCATTTTTCTGTTTTACTCCAAAATTCCTATTCAGACAATTTGGATTCAATTTCATATGAAGTGCCTCTGATGAAATGACTTTCTGTGTGATTTCTGAAATTTTATTCCTGGATTATTTCAATATTGTCGAAATCTACTGAAACCACATAGCTCGAGTCCTAAAGCCATATTTTCCACTGGGAATTCAAGGAGTGAAAAACAGTGTGAATACCAAACAATCAGATAATAAATAGTCTAATTTAAGATAAAAATTCCCAATGGTATCAGTAGGACAGAGGTACTGTGACTGGTACAGTCTACGAAAACAGTAGGGTTGGTGGCACTTATTATTATTATTATTCCTTCACATTCCCAGTGGAACACAGGGCTTCAGGCTAGAGCTTTTTTGAAGTTTCGGTAGCAGTGGTATTTACTTTAGCAGGATGAGGTTGCTAACCGCATACCCAACCTTCCCTCTTTACCAGTCTAATTGCTGGCTTACCGAGGTAAAGGAGTGCGTAATCGGCCGGGGAACGAACTCCAAACTACCTGCATAGTTGTCGAGCATTCTACCGCTGCACCACCGACGCACTGGTGGCACTTAACAACTAATGCATAACTTTGAGTGATGGTAACTGAGAATCGATAAGTAAATTATCATTTTACGTGAGTAAGCGAACATCTGAGCGCTAACCAGAAAATTCCTGCAGTAAAATGTGAATACGTCGTACCACCACCCACAAGTTAGTTTGTGAAAAGAAAAACTTCTCTGAATAAAACACAGACTAACATATGAGCCGAAGTTAAGCAGCATTGGGCCCAGTAGTACTTGCATGGGTGACCGGATGGGAATACCTAGGGTGTTGCCAGCAGTAGAAATCTCGTCCGCCAAGCCTCAGTTGGTCCATAGTTCGATCCCCGGCCGATGCACTCCTAATTCTTGCTTAGCCGACGACAGTAATCCTGTTAAAGAGGTATTGATGACTGTTAGGCTAGCAAATTAATCCCGTAGAAATAAAACACTACCGCTACTAGAACTTCATAATTCGAAGTTTGAAGCCCTATGTTTCTACTCAGAATGTAAAGAAATAAAAAGAAAATATATGAGTAGAGCAGAATGATCTAGAGTCAGTAATCCACCCCCCTATTGATGCACTTTTAAACCTTGCTTAATTCACTAGGCAATGGCAGCAAGCACGGAAAACAGAGCGGAGAGGTTGGGCGTGAAATACGCAACCTGAATATGAGAGGAGTAAATCAACCGCCTCCTCATTCTCGGAAACGGGAATCAAATCTACTATGCATAAATGTAGCGCACATTTGACCAAACGTCAGTGGGCGAATTCAAGTAATCTAGAGAATCATATGGTAGTCGATAGACAATCTGGAGATATATACCAATCAGAATTCGGCCCACATAGAGGTGATCGATATCCAGTCTGGAAATTAGCCAATCAGAATGGGACCATCTTGAAATAACGCCCAATATTTTATTGATCAAGATTAGAGACTGATTAACGTAACCTTGGTGATATTTTGATTCACACATCATAACTGCAGTTCACGTCTTTGTGTGTTTTCGTTTAAGCAATACGAGCTGGGGAAACAGGTAGCCATCAGATAATGTTGTGATGACATAACCAATCGATAGTCGTGATCAGTACGTCTCTATCCAACTTGGTGTCCCTATTTCATGTCAGTTGATGTAGATTTCCAACCAAACAAACTATTTACAACATATAAGGATTGAAGAGCAAAGCAAAAACAAAACAGCAGATGTTTTTTCAAATACATTTCACTTACGTGTTAAGTGCACTTGGTTTAAGTCCCTCATTATAGTATAACTTAAGAGCAGCATCACGATATGATTCAAAAAATTCCTTAGATAAATCATTTGTTTGATCCATAATATGATCCAGAACAGTTGAATAGAAAGACTGTTAATTATGAAAAGTTAACAAAAAGTTAGAACAATTTAGTTAATAATTAACCGAAGAGACAGAATAATTAGGTTCTTTTCACAGAGTAAAACCTGAGATCGTCAAGGTTACGAGACCGGGCACATTGAGAATTCAGCTAGTTGGGTTGGAATTCAACGACGCGTGAATTTATGATATGTAGCGCTGCCGTAAATCAAGACCTTGACAGCAGGAATAGAATCTGGCACCTTTACATTGTGAAGCAGGCATGTTGACTACTCTTCACTCATTGAATTACAGTTCAATGACTTGTGAAATCTAACCATCGCCATTGATGGGCACCCGCTACATCTTGACATAGTGGAACCTACCGGTTACAACTGATTAAAACGTGAGGATATCTATTATATATAACCGGCAATGAGTTTGTGATTGATATTCACATTTCTTGAGTTTTGTAGGGATTTATATTAATCTCAATTCAAATCCAGTGTGGTGTGTCATAGTTTCAAAGATTCGCTAAACTTGTGATGAAGTACTACGCCACACACGTATTATCATTATTTACTATTATTATTATTATTACTCCTTGGGTTCGGGGAGTGGAACACAGCGCTTGAACAACACACTATCATTTTATGCTGTTTTCTGCCCTCCTCTTTAGTTGACTTCAAGTGTACCTACAAGCTTTCATCTCCTCGTCGTCACACTCGGATAGTCGACTCTCTGTTCCCCATTCGTGTTCTACTTGAGGTGATGGCTTGGCATACAATATCACTGAATGGTCTTCTCAGAGTGTGTCTGATCAATGTGTATTTCCTTCTTCCGGCATATTTATACGGTAATAGGCTTTTGGTTGATTCGTTTCCAACGTTCCCTGTTGCTTATCCTTCCTGACAGTTTGATCTTGAGTAATGAGTGAAATGCTTACTAGCCAATGGCCCTATTCAGGTAGGTAGTTACCTACGGTTCTAGTGGGAAGCCGTGACCAGGAGGGTACAGCAGGTTGAAGGTGAGGCAGTAATTCATCGAAGAAGACATTGCAAAGTGGTTGCGGTATGTCATGAATTGGCAGAAGTTAAAATTCATGGACTGGGCATTGGATTGGCGGGTCCCAGTGGCTTAATGGTCTATGAGCTAGTTCTCCTTGTAACTATAAAGTCCTGGGTTTAACCCCCACGATGTGGGTGCATACTGCTGAAGAGCCAGTCCCAAGTGAGGATGAAACCGCCAGCTGTCCAGTACTCCAGTGGTGGTTTTCCAATGGTTCTCTAACTGATGTCAGCTCATCATGATGAAATCCTCCAACCAATCAAACACACACAAAAATCCCCACAAAACCAATACTTGAAAATGTGAAGCTGGTGATAAAAAATCTTCAGTCCGCTTATGATGACATCAATACTCCATGAACCACAATAGAAACAATGGCTGATAGGATATTAGTGTTGAAGAAGATCCGAATCTTGTTATCTAAACTGAATGTAGCAGATTTCCACACTGATCTCAGATTGAGCGAGGTTTGTCTTGCCTTTATGGTTCTGGCTAGCAGTGCAAACGCTTGTAGTTCAAAAGTAAGCTGCCCAAATCAGTGACCTCCTTCAAATTTCATCCATTGAATAGTGACTAATGCTTGTTGCTTTTGCTGTTGATTGATTAGCTATGTATGCATTACACAACTGTTGACTATAGAATCACCACCACTTTAAACAAAATGTCTAGTTTATAGTCAATAACTAATCTGTTAATCGACCAACCATTATCCAGGTCTTTTGATTGAACACTAGTCAGTAACTAGTGTAATGTACGTGTATCTGTGTCTAGCCCTATCGTTGGTGCAGACTGAATTTTATCAGTCAAGTTTGCAGTGTGACTACTATGCCACTAGGTGGCTCACCATCACGGTTCACTTTGAATTGTTCGTATTAAATGTCTGGAGGCAATCGGCCACAGGAAGCCTCGCCTGACCTAGGCTTCGTGCTTGATGGCACTCACCAGTCGTCACCAAGGCGTATCTGCAACCTTGAAGGAACTCATGTCCCTTCTGAGAGTCGAATTCGCGTCACTCAGTGAGTACTGTAGTCAGAGACGTTACCACTGACCTAGTCGGGCGCGTAATGGGAAGCTACCTAGAATGTTGGCCACTCACTGGACGACTCGGCATCGAATCTCAGAAGGGATATAAGTTCCTTCAAGGTAGCAGGTACGTGCCTTGTTGACTGGTGAGTGCTAGCTACCACGAAACCTAGGTCAGATGAGGCTTTCTGTGGCTGATTGCCTCCAACCATCTAATACCAACAATCATCCAGGTCCATTTGTTGAACCTATCTTGAATGGTTTAGAGACTACAATAAGTTGCACAAGAAGACGAAGAAATCCCTGAACTGTTTCAAAAGCAACTGGAAATACTGGACAGCTGCTTGTTTCGTCCTAGAGTGGGACTCATCAGTAATACATTATTATACACCCACCGGTTTTCGAATCCAGTACCTACCGGTCACAAGATAAGCTCGATCATTCAGCTATCCAGCTAGTGACTGAAAGCATGATGAAGTTGACTGGAGAACTAGTGAGGGGTCTATCGGGTCAGGAGTGAGGACAAATATTCGTTAATGATATTGGCTAGTGCCAGTCGCGAAACGACAGTCTGTCGTCCACTATGTCTAGACCACTTCTACCTGACAGGCTAGCAAGCACCACTGGTAAATGTGAGTGGTACCCACCCACTGCCATTACTCAGTCATATACTATCATGTATCAATATATCCGAATATACACATACTTCAGACGGTCAATAATCAAGAGCTCACACCGAACGTAGACGGACAAATATTGAAAACTTATGTGTAGCTGAAATTCATTATGCATGTTGGATTTAAGTCTAACTAGCATGTAGATGTATCCAGTTCAGAGGTTTTCCGGTGGATTCAAAAACGCAAAAATGTCTGATTGCAACCCAGTGATCCGAGTTCAATTCTCAAATGAAACATGACTTTCTTCGAGACTGTAGGATACACCTTTCCGCTGATAAGTAGCAAGAAGCTCCAACCACCTAAACATCAATTTAGAGTGCACCATGATGGTCAGCCACCTAGCTCGAAGGCTACATTGTAGACATGGCGGAGAAAAAATTCAGTCTGCACCAAACAAAAGACTAGACACCTTACACTAGCTATAACCTAGTGTCCAATCAAAGTATCTAATACAGGCAGTCAATCATGAACCCGAATAGCTCAGTGTTAGAGTCTTTGGCTGCAGCACTGGGTGGCACGGGTCCGAATCCCAGGAGGGAGATGAATTCCTTCAAGATTGCGTATACGTCTTGCTGACGAGTGAAGCAAACACAGAACCTGGATTAAAGGCTTTCTGTCGATTGCTTCCGACCATCCAACACTAATTAGGAGAGTGTGTTTGTGTGCGTATATGCACCGCACAATGCCAAGCCATCCAGCTTGAAGGACTACATTGTAAAAATTGACTGATAGAATTCAGTCGCTACTAAACCAAGAACCAATAGGCATGAATGACATGGGGGAGGGCGATACTGCCTAGTACTGCCAGAGTAATAAAGCTAAAAATCGCTTTTAATTCACAAACTTACAAATAGTTTCTCGTTGAAACCACTGACATGAATACATAAACCAGTGTCACGGAATCTAACATCTTGTCTATAAAGGAATTAAATAAAATAAAAAGTAAAGTTAGAAGAGTGGTAGTCACAAGAACATAGTAGAATGAGACTAAAAAGCGTCAAAATATAGCGCAATTGTCAGACAATGGTATAGGCGAGTAATTGTTTTACTTACCAACCTGACTTGATGGACTCTGTTAGATACGACTTCTTACTCCAGGTAACTTTTTGCATTAAGACCAATCACCACTAAGCGAGCATCAGATTAATCATGAAGTTTTGGTTTCCAGAGATATGACTGCCTACAGACTTCATCGCAAGCTGACATCACTTAGAGAGCCATTGGAAAACCAGCAGGGAGTTACTGGACACCAGTTTCGTCCTACTTGGGGGATTCCAAGATGGTACCAACCCACTGGAGTTCACACCTAGGAACTTCAGGTTACAATGCGAGCTCGTAGACCATCCAGCTACTGGAACCTCCAATAGTTCCCTACTTTATGTAAACAATAATCAATTCCTTGCAAACCATCACTAGATATTTTCAATTCAAATGTGCCTCTTCAACCAAAGGAAATATTCATTGGCATAATCAAGACACCCTTTTGTCAGAGGAAATCGATAATCGCTGTAATCAAAATGCTCTACCTCCTCCCCCTTCTCTCTCTCTATTTCCGAACAGTTCACTAATCAAATTCTTGGGAACTTTTAAAGTTAGAAAAAAAGTTCACACGAATTAGAGAACAACTGAAATGCGGGGATTACGGTAGAGCTATTTCTTCCTCCCAGTCTGCCTCACTTCAGCAGTACACAGATCAGCTAACCGATCCATCAGGAAGGACATTTAAGCCACAAGGCGAACTCGTTGAGCATTCACTCAGCCACTGGGACGGAGAGACCAATTTCCAATCGGGAAATTCTAACTTCTTCGTCTATTCGAGAGAGAAATGTATAGCGTCATCGCCAGCCAATATCAACTGCCAGTATTTGTCCTGATTGCAGACTTTCACTCTACACGAACTCAGATAGCCAGGTAAGAGCTTACAGAGAATTTTCATCTGGGAGGGGTGATGAAGACAACCATAGCAGTGGTGTCCCTCAACGAGGTACCCATTATCCCCAATTCTGTTTAATGTCATCATAGATGCACTAATGCAATTAGGCTGAACTAACTTCAGCGATTTACGCATTGACTTGTAACCTGAGAATAATAGACTTGTTGAATTTGAATCTACAGATATATATTCCTGCTAGGTGAGGATGCTGATAAAATGCAGAGTCTTCGAATGCTTAGCATGCGATCACCTACTGTCAAATGTAAGATGATGGGGTAGCTACAGGATTGGATAGTGTTGATACGCAGCTTAAAGATACGAAGCCCCAACGGGTTGATCTCCGACGAAATCTCAGTACGAATACAGAGGGCTAGTTTCGCATATGCCAGTTTACGCCGTCTCTGGCGTAGACGTGATATCCGACTATCGACCAAAGGGCGTGTGTACTGCTCATCAGTCCACTCCATCCTCCTTTATGGTTGTAAGACGTGGCCATTGAGAGCGGAAGCCATGAAAAGATTAGCTGTCTTCGATCATAGGTGCCTACGTTCTATCTCCCGCGTGAAGTGGTATAATAAGGTGAGCAATATTGAGGTTAGGCATCAGTCGAGTGCTAGGTAAGGTGGGGAAATCAGTCGACGAGACTGTGAAATTACATCGACTGAGATGGTTAGAACACGTGCTACGCATGCCTAGTCATCGCCTTCCTCGACAATGGGCAATGTTAGCTGATATAGGGTCAGGCTAGAAAAGAGCTAGCAGCAGTCAAACCAAAACACCAGTAAATGAAATCCACAACAGTTAGTTTAAGCCACCTAGGAAGGTGTAGACTTCCTGACTGGCTGAGGTCCTCGGGACGGTAAAAACCAATGAAGGCTGGAAACAATTGGTGACATGGCTCATAATCGTTCTCCGTGATGGCTGGCGCAGATGCATCCACTCCTTGTGAATTATGATTCCCAATGAAACTGTTTTGTTCTCCGTTATTACTATACCTTTGTCTCACACCTCTGTTTACTGTCTATATTATGCATTTCTTCTACTTTCTTCTCTTGCTTTGTGTTCTGAGTGAAGTGTGGCGACTTGAACTGCGGCACATCGGTGCAAAGTTCTATGTCGAAAACAGACAGAGCGTGTTGACCATTTCAATAATTTGGGAAGTTGTACCAGCGCCAAAGGGGTGATTACTGCTGACGCAATTTTAACTCGGATTGAAAATGCCTTTATAGGATTTCTCAACTTGTACCATCTTTGGCGTCGATGTGATTATCCAGGTATGTATCGATCATAGGGCATGTGTACTGCACACCACCAGTTCTCTCCACCCTCCTTTAAGGCTAGGAGACATGGCCATTGAAAGTGGAAGATATGAAAAGACTAGCTAACTGTGTCTTTGACTACACATGTTTGCATCCTGTCTCACATGTTACTTAGTATAATTTTTAGGTTAGGCGAAGAGTGTTAGGTTACGAGGGACAGTCATTGATCAATGAGGTTGTGAAGCTAAATCTATTGAGATGGTTGGGACGGGTATTACGTATACCTAGCCATAGCCTCCCTAAACCACTAACATTAACTGATATCGGGTCAGGTTGGGAAGGAGCTAGTGGTGGTTAAACCAGAATTTGGAATCAGTCCACAAAATCTTTAACAAAAATCTGAGCCAAACAGAGAGGTGTAAACTGTCTGATTGGAGTCATCGGAATTCTAAGAATCAATAGCTGAAGACAATCGGTCATACGGCTAAAAATCGTTCTCTCTTTGATCCCCTATATCCAATAAAATCCTACTGTCTTTTCCATGCTACTCTTCGTTCTTCCACACATTTCTGCTTACCATCGTCCTTTCGAATCTATCTCCCTTTCTCTCTTTATCTCTCTTGTTTTCTTTGTGTGGTACATGAAGTGTGGCAAGTGGAACTGCTGCCTTTGTGAGTAAAGCTCTAGGTAGAAACCAGTTGGTCAGAAGGTCAGCCACTTATAACGCAAATATAAAGCTGTACACTACAAGTAGAAACGCTATTTGCATTCGTGTTCGCGATTTCCTGTGTGTGACCAGGACTGATAAGCTTCAGTCTGATGCATGGACTCCTTGTGAACGAACTGTCTAGATGATCACAAGGACTAACCACTCGAAATTGTTTGTTACATGGTAGTTAGAAGTGGAATTCAGGAGGCACGTATCATCATCCAACTTTGGACTCACCATCAGATGGTTACATACAGTACATCCTTAATAAGTGGTAATATTCCCTGACTGAGACTCAATCCCTGTGCGTCAGTGTCATAGTGGTAGAATGCTCGCTAACCACGCAAGTGGTCCGGGATTCGATCCCCGGTAAAGAGGGAGAGTTGGGCATGAGGTTAGCAACCTCATCCCGTAAAATTGAATACCACTGCTACCAAAACTTCAAAAAAGCTCTACCTTGAAGCCCTGTGTTCCACTGGGAACGTAAAGGAATATTTTTTTCTTCAGATTCGAGACCAGTACCCGCATCGATTAATACGTGAAAAGATTATCGCCTACGCCATTGAGTCACCACCAAGAAAAAATATTTAACTATATACATAAGCAAATATTTCCAGTTGAATCAAACTCACTCTAATCCTGCTTCACTAGCTTCATAAGTTATCGTGCTTAGAGACTGATTTAAACCGAAGACCATTAGTGCATGCAGTGATGCGCTGTAAATTGAAAATGTACAAGTGAAACAAAAATTACACAGAGAATAATGAAAATTTAATGAATCTACACGGAGGATCACACAAAGAGTGAATACATCTAAGGCATTGAAAGCGATTTATAGCCGTGTCCGTTCGTGCCCACTACCCACAGTTTCTGCAGCAACTCAAGTGCTAACTTCATATAGGCTCAAAAATCATCCTTCAAAATCAGTTCGTAAGACTATCTTCGCAATGAAACTTCAACTCACCTTCACCCACCTACGGATGTTCTTCGTCTCTAATATAAAAGATAAGCTGTCTGCCTCATCTGATCACCTCCATGTGCATCTAACAATTCACCTGCTTATGTGGAACAAGGTACATCGGTCGTAGCCAGAGAATGCATTCCACACAGAAACAAGAGCGTATTCTAGCATGGTTTTACAAGAGAGAGAGAGGAAGAAAGGCCGTCAGAACTTCTATCCTGCATTACACTTGATCCATTTGTATTACTCTACCAACCCTCACCATGATTTCACCATGATTTATCTATGGAATTCATGCTAACTTGACGCGTTTTACTTCATTACAAACATCCAAAGACAGCAGAGGTAGAGACTATCTATGAATTCAACTCAGACGTTTGTATACACAAAAGAAGTAAGTGCAACCCCCCTCCTTGACAGCAGGGGGATAAACATTTATTTATCTGATAGGTTGGAGGACTTCATCATGAAGTGACGTCAGTTAAAGAAAACCGGCTAGGAGTACCGGACAGCTGGCGGCTTCGTCCTAGTTTGAGAATAGCTCTTCAACAGTACCCATCCACCGAGGTTCGACCTCAGGACCTTCTGGTTACAACGTGAGCTTGCTCGTAGACCATTAAGCCACTGGGACCCGATCCAATGGCACATGAATTCTAACTTCTGCCAATTCACGACATAGCGCGACCCCTAGCCAATGTTTTCGGCGAGTATTTATTGAATGTCAATTTAACAAGTGTGACGAGGGTGTGAAAATGTACAAAAGGAACTTTTAGTTTGCTATTGCTTTAATAATTAATTCACTGTTATCACTCGCATTTGTTCCTTTTGTACATTTTCACACTCTCTTCACACTTGTTAAGTGGTCTCTCAACTACCACCTTTATTCTGACTCAATAGCAATTTTAACCATATCAAATTTCTGTCTTTGTGCCGTTGAGTACCACGTAATCTACAAGTTTTAACTTTCACTTCTAAAGCCACTTCCGAGTAATTATATCGATTATGTCACCCCTTATTACTTAATAATAGACCACTATATATTTTTTGGTAAGTATAAATACGACTGTACGGCAGCCTGTGAAGATGACAGACAGGTCCTCAGAGTGGAACGGGAATGAGACGAGCAACTAGTTGGTGCGATGACATCTCATATGTACATATATGCCGTTGGCAAGCAAATAAACAATACTTGTCCAACTTACTTTTCTTTTGTCTTTGTTACAAGACCAGACCATAGATGAACTGCTACATCGGCTGTAAATTAAATACAAAAAAAGTAAAATTACAATAGTGAAAATAAATATTAATATACAATATAATATATATATATAAATACTTTGAATATAACATATGATCAAATAGTATTGAATACCCGCCGCTGAGGTTATACACCATCTTAGCAATGCTTATCATACCGAAATTCTGATAAATTAAAAATAATAAGACGCCTGTTTGACCACGGATTGATATCACTTAGGGAACCACTGAAAACCAGGGGGGAGTACCGGGCATCTGTGTTTTCTTAGTTGAGGACTCGTCACCAGAACGCATCTACTACCACCTTCGAAACCCAGAACATTTCACTTACAAGGAAAACTCACAGACCATTCAGCTACTGGTGTAACAACGGAAGACTAGGGCCAGGCAACAGATCGTTTATTGAGGAAAATCAACACATATTTATAGATTATAATGTACATTACTGTAGATTATTGTTAGTAGAAAATACAGTCTTTTGATTGGTTGTCTTCCACAGATAGTTAACCTTGCATCTCTTTGTGGCTGTGTCAGATCATCTATATGCTAACTGCATCTGCCTACGCAAAGCCTTTGTTCTCATTTTCTCACCACCAATATTGGGGACATAAACATTGACGTCAATTACTGTCTACCAACTATGGCTAGCAGCCAGCTCTCACCACACTGGGAGCCAACTTGATGGTCCATGAATTCGAACTCCCACATTGATGCGTCAAGAATAATAACCTATTAAAATCATCCTCTCAGGCAATCTGTGTCTTTTCATAACGTCTGACAACTTGAAGTGCTGTGCATATTCTTATCTATAAAACGTGGTCTGATCTTCAGTAAAGAGGCAGCGAAGTGGGCAGTTGTTGATAAAAAGTCTCAAAAGCCTGTTATAATCGTGACACCTACGCCATATAAAAGGAGTGACTAACTTAAGATTAGTGTTGAAAATCCGAATTTTGCTTTTTTTATGCTGGTGAGTTTAGAAGACTGTAAAAACTGATTTCAGAGGGAAGAGGATCCACTTTACTTTCCGACTCTGCTTTTGATAACCTCATCCAGCCGGTTGTCTGTAGTTGGAAGGATACTGCCCAAATAAGTGTAGGAAGTGATCTCTTGTGGTTGATTGGTTGGTTGCCTTCATCGGCTCCATAATCTCTAAATTTACTTGAATTCCTGTCTTTTCTACCTGTCTCTTCGACCTACTTGTTGGTTTTCGCCTGAAATTCTTCGAGTTTCTGTGACACCGGACATAAATCTTCCGCGATATCCGGATATTTTCAATTATTGGTTTTGTAGGGATTTTTTTTGTTTGATTGGTTGGAGGATTTCATCATCATGAGCTGACATCAGTTGGAGAATCACTGGAAAACCTGGGAGTATTGGACAGCCATGACTAGTAGGGTACAGCAGATCAAAGATGAGGCAGTAATTCATCGCAGAAGACATTGCGAAATGATCACGCTATGTCATGAAATTGGCTGAAGTTAGAATTCAAGAACCATTGGATTGGCGGGTCCCAGTGGCTCAATGGTCTACGAGCTCGCCTTGTAACCAGAAGGTCCTGGGTTCGAACCCCGGCGGGTACGTACGGCTGAGGAGTCCCAAACTAGGACGAAACAGCTGTCCAGTACTTCCAGGTTTTCCAGAGGTTCTCTAACTGATGTCAGCTCATGATGATATCCAGATATCGCCTAGAGTATTCTTATCGGTGGTCCAACACATTGCTGTCTTCTCGCTCTCCCCAAGTGCTCGCTATCTTTCGCAAAATTCACAGCACCACAATAAAGAATATATATATATATATATATTATCCGAGAATTAAGTCAGCTATAATTTATCTCAAAGGGCGTATACAGATATATATATATATATATGCTTATCTTTAAGCTGTCGTCCTCTTTCTTTTATTTAACATTTCGTAAATTCAGTTCAGTTATCAAAAAGCTGTAATACATTTACACTAGAATAAATCGCTAAAATAAACACCTATTGACTACAATTCAATTGATATTGAATAAAGAATTATTATTGATATTATTATTATTATGATTAATATTAAATTTGTTTTGCGATTCGAGATGAAATGAATTCAAAAGATAACAAACACGGAATGTATCGAAAATCAAACAAATCATACAATAGATTTAGGAATTTATAGATATAATAAACAAAGGTAATAATAAAAATAATAGCTGTAATAGGATAATCATTATTATGAGTAAGAAACACCTGTTCATAATGACCATCATGCAGTCAAAAGTTGGGCCTGCTTCTCTTCATCTTTTGAATCGCTAGTGCTTCAAGCTATATATATGCCCAGATGCTGCCTTGATATGAGAAACTCTTGTTGGATAGTGTTCCCGAGCGTGTTTTATAAGCTAAGGGGGCATGGAAAACTCCATTCAGCCTGGTTACCAATAGGAGAATGTAGGTGTGTCTATGTGTGTGTGTGTGTGTCTGCGTAGCTTGGTAAGAGAACATCTGGTGAACACTCAGGACATTCAACTCTATTTGATGAAAAGTCCTTCAAAATGCTATACACGATTCAATTAAACCATTCATTAAAGGCAGTCAGAACAAGGCATCTGGACATATAGCTGAGGCACTAGCGATGCAAAAGTCGAAGCCCAGGGGTTTCGTCATTTGTCACGGGGTCATCATAAACAGTAATAATAATAATTGCAATTCAAAATATTCAGTAATACTGCCTTTTGTTAGTTTATTACTTAGCTAGCTAGTCAGGTAGTTAGCTTCTTGAACACTGCTTAATTTAGGAAGATTTTAAGCTGACATCTAGTCATAAACACTTTTGGGCGGTCATCAACTGAAAACTCTTCCAGAATTCCAAGAGGGGTAACAAATTCACAAAAAAGGGATCGGAAGGTGCTGGGTCAGAAAAATAATAATAATAAAAGTCAGTGACCGGAAATACGACCTAGTAGATTATGAGAGAATATACTAAATTTAATGCGCTGGCTGATCTGACCCAATCGCATGACATAAACAACAGCAACAGCGATAAGTTCGCCAAGCCACAAAGACAGAAGAAAAGACTGGATGTTGGTAAAAGAGCTTTAAGCGTCCCACTTGCATATATATGTATATCTATGTTTAAAATGACCTTGAGAAGCACTAATGTCATTGATAAATTAAGACGGTGAACAACCAATAGGATTTCAAAAGTCATAAGTAGGGTGAGAGAAAATTTAATCATAAATCAATAAGTGTAGGGTGAGAGAAGTACAAACAGCCGTATAAAAATGACATGTAGGAAGTTAGGTTTGCATATATATCAGTTAATTAATGGGATATGGCTAAAAAATGAAGGAAATTTTCAGTTGACACTTGGTTGTATTGTGACTACAGATTCACACAGTATTTTAACAGAGGATAGTGGAAGAAAAGTTCACAGTATTTTGTACCATTGGTGTTTTACTTCTCCTAGTACCTAATTATTTTTCTCACAACTCTAGCTCTAATTCAATATGACTCTTTCAAGTGAACACAATTCTAATCGAATAATTCTAATTAGCATTTTAAAAAATAGGACATTAAAAGTCAATCTGAAAGAACAATATTCTTTTCTATTATATATAGGGCGTACTATTAGGCAGGTTCGTCTACAGGTTCGAGAACATTTACCAGCTTGGTTCAGCAAGAGGGAAATTAAATTGCATAAAAATCTCGATTCTGTCACACTTGGTCAAGATACTGGACATCGCATTGACGCCACAACACAGCCTACAGGGTTGGTTATACACCGAATTCCGAAGTCGGTATCACATACACTTCACTTACATCTCCTACACATATAACTGAAGCTGTTGCAATAAGATCGACTAAACAGGAAATTTGTATCCAAAAGGAACACATTCAGACGCTGTTCCTACCATGGTGAAACTTGGATTAATGATTCTTCTGCTCAACAAGAGTGCTCCTTCCCCTTAAACCTCAGGGTTTTTTTCTTTGCTTATTATTACGATTATTATTGTTATTCGTCATAATTTATACACTTCATGCAAAAATTCACTTGATACTATCGAATTTTCCATTTATACTATCCGGAAATTTTATTAATTGATATTATCTCTTTTCTCAATATAGGCCTCCATCTGTTTCATTTCATATATTGGTTATGTCATGATGAACTTCTTATTGCAGTCTTACTATCTCCACGCTCTTTAAAACATACCAATTTGTACTAGCCATTGAATCAACTCACACCTTGTATAACCTTGAATTGACATTCTACGAATCTATTACGACTAATCACCACCACTGTCTCCCATTTTACCGAAATATTTTGTAATTGATTTCAGCCCAGAGCAAGCTAGTAACACAAATACGACTATTTATTTTGACACCCCATAACTAATCTGTTGTTCTACGTAAAAAAATGTATCCGCCACGTTACTGGCTATCATTATTGTAACGACAACAAATATTATTGAGACAAAGCAATAAGAAGGCGTAATTTGTATGAACTGTGTGTGTAATGTATTTGCGCCACACATCCTAAATGACTCCAGAAGCAAATAGAATCCACGGAGCCCATTAATGGTGATAACAGAAGATTTAGCTCCTCTACTGTGACATAAAATTGGTGTTTACACATCTTTTAAACCTATCTATAAAACGTGTTTGGGGCATATCCCAGAGTTTATGGAAGCCCTAGCAATTAGGAAGTTTAAACCTGACAGATAAATGTGTCATGAGATTATTGAATTAAATTTTAGATTTTCAAGTCGATTGACTGTACTGAAGTGCTCGGTCTCAGATTGTTCAAAATGTACAGTGTAAATACATCACATCACTTTTCAGATAATCTCGGTCTTTTAATAACACACTAGCCAAGTGTAAACTATCTTAACGTGTTGAAAGCAACAATTCATCATCACACTAACTAAACCTTCCGATGCACTAATACCTGTTTCATTTGGTTTAGCGAACTTCATTGTTATTTTGACCCAAGTTTATTTTCTCACCTCTTTATTGATTATTATTATTGTTTCCTTCAATTCCTAGAGGAACATAGGGCTTCAGCCGTGCGTCTCCATTGCATTCGGTTCTCTGCCAGAGTCTTCACCTTGCTCCAAGTCTCCCCACACAATTTCATCTTCTCCTCAAATGACCTCATCCATGTCACCCTTACACTGACGACCAACTCGCCGCTTCCCTTTCGGGTTCCACTCGAGCAATGGCCTGTCTAGTGATGTCACTTCATGGCTTGTTTCCTCAGAGTATGGCCAGCCAATCCATCTCCATTTCTTCCCCCTATTTGTTTCACAAACGGTTCCTGCTGTGTTGGTTCGCTCATTGCCAGAGATCTCTGTTACTGATCTTTTCTGGCCGGTCATCTGATCTTCAGTATTGAGCGAAGACAGCTGTTAATGAAGGCCTGTAGATTGTTTGAGATGCTCTTCATGACGCGCTGGCCAAGTCTCTGATCCGTATAGTGAGTAGCACTGACTGACTTCACATTGGAGTTGGAAATCCGGATCCTATTTTTGATGCTGAGTGCCGAGTGTTGACCTCCACACAGACTTGAGAGTAGTGAAAGCTTGTCTTGCTTTGATATCCTCGTCAGTTCCGTCTGCCTGTAGTTGAAACGATGCTTCCTAGGTCGTTAGGTAAAAGAGGTTGTTTCTTTCAGGTTCCTCCCATTTATGCTGATCGTTGTCTGTTGTTGTTGTTGCTGTTGGTGGTGTTGCCCAGGAATCTTCATCACCTACCTCTGACTTCTCGATGTTCACCTGAAGTCCTATCTTTGATGCTTCTTCTGCCAACTTGTTGTTTTTCGCTTGCACATCTTCCAGTTTGTGGGAAATCAGATATATATCATCGGCGAAGTCTAGATCCTCCAAGTGGGAATATTTCATACTATTAAAAAATAGGAAACCTGAAGAAACAAAATGCAACATACAGTCAGTCATTCACTGACTGACTCACTCACCTTTAGGACATTTGAAACGTGTACTTTGTTGAAACCATAAATGACCATATTGTAAACGAGATTCTGCGCCTGGTTCTAAGTTTAAATCTTTCGGTTGCTGAAAATAATAAACAACAAACAGAGAAATAAGGGGGGGGGGGAGAAAAATAAGCAGTGCTCAGTTTGTACACAGAGAATGATATACGCTCATAGCTTGTTATTTGCCTGATGGTTTCGTATATCTGATTAGCTAAACTTAGCATAGAGAGTATATCAATCCGACTTGCATCACATTGTAGTATAACAACACGAAATAACAGAACAGAAATAAAATGATAAAACACAACAAGTATAGTGTACTACATCTATAGAGTGTAGATGTTAAGGAATTAGTTAATAGATCTACCACCTATTGAACCACTTTACCAACACAGCCTCTGACAATTGACGTTCAGTGTCTCAATCTATCCCAACCAGGAAACCAGCATCCCACCTACTATATAGATAGTTTTAAGCGGGGGCACATGACTTCAAGAACTGATGATATGTCTTGTACCTGAATGCCTTTAGAGCCTTCTCTCAAATGAATTACACTTGTGCAAACTTTAGTTGCCATGGTAACAATGAACTCGCAGCATTATATCTATATATGTACTGGCTATTTCAATCAATGGATCTTCAATGACTCCAGTCAGACAGTTTACACCTCCCTACGTAGCCAAACTCTTTTCCAACTTATCAAATGTCAGGCGAGGAAGGACACGAGTTGCAGTCTGTAACATTTGCCCTAGATATCTCAATAGATACACCAGCACAACTTCCTCACCTTACCTAATACTCACTATACGCCTGACCTCAATATTACCCACTATATTTTACCACTTAACGAAGAGGAAAGGGAAAGCTTATATCTTGTACTTTCAACGGTTATATCTACTCATAGGTACAAGGAAGGACAACGAGAACTACTGTGAAGTGCACATGGCCTATAGTCGACAGTTATTATTATTATTTATTTTATTTATCATAGCTTGATTTCACACCGTATTTTTGGTACAAGTATGGAATTTTCAGCATGTGATATCGGTAGCCCAATTTTGCAGGCCGACCATAGATATCGGGTGTTGGATATCACCTATACACTGGTGGACAAGAAGGTTAGTAAATGCCACACAACCCTCTTGTGTCCGTGTTTGGATTTGATCGATAATCAATCCATTTAGGCTGATGCAAAATCCTCCTCCCCCTCTCGCCCGGCCGCCCGCCTATAATAAGTGACATTCTCAACAAGCTCAACTACCTATACACTCTCGATCATCTTTAAACAACAAGGAGTCGGTGCAGAATTCTGGTTCGAGTATTAAAAAAGCAAGAAGAAAAAGTAATCGATTACTGTTTGTGAATATACAAAAAACGAGGCCTACTTTCATATCATTTGCCGAATCCAAAAGACTGAAATCTGTAGCTAAATAATATGGGATGATAAACGAAAAGAACAAGGAAAGAAATAGTATAAATTATCAGCTACACACGAGTATATGGGGGACAGCACTTATATAAACACAAACATTTATACGACATTTAACTGAATTTTAGCTTTATCCCGTCGATTGATTGGATTAAAATGTTTGGTCTCAGGTTGACATGTTGGCTTCTTGAGCAGATGCTTTGACGATGTCTGGGCATGTAATTAGAATTTAATTGGTGGATGGTGACTAGCAGTGGAATCCAGGACAACGCACACTTTGTCCTATTTGGGACTCGCGTCATTTTGATGTACCTGCATTCCCCAGTGAGTGATGTTGTTCCCACCGAGGCTCTAGCCCAGTGCCCATAGTTTCAAATGCCAAAGCGTTATCCACTGGACAAACTTGGGCCACGAGAGCCACCTCTTCTGCAAAGGGTCATATTAATTATTTGATTGAATTTTTGGACCGAGCCTCGGTGGGAAAAACATCACTCACTGCGGAATGCAGGTACATCCGGCTGACGAGTCCCTAACAGGACGAAATACCCGTTGCGTGGGATTCCACTGCTAGTCACCATCCACAAATTAAATTTATAAGACATTTAGAGATATAAATAGTGAACAAAAACTATACATTCATTCATATTTCCGATAACTCCCTCTTCTTCAGAGTTAACAGTTACGTCTGTATAACAGTTAAAGCATAAGTGTTTTACTGACAACATTATTTCAAAAGATTGATTGTTGAAACAAAGAAATATTCATCCTTTCGATAACCCCATTCTTCATCAAGTTCTACAGTTAGTGAATGAAAGAATGTCTGTCTCGTTTCAACACAGAACTCTGCACTGGTGTGCAGCAGTTCCAGTCGCCACACTTCACTCACAACACAAAGCCAGAGAAGAAGAAAGTAAAAAGAAACGGAAAATAGAGACAGTAAACAGCGATATGAGGTGAAAAGAATAGTAATATCGAAGAACAATACAGTTTAATTAGGTATTATAAGTCACAAGGAGTGGATGCATCTGAGCCAGCCATATCACCAATTGTCTCCAGTCTTCATTGGTGTGTACCGTCATGAGGATCCCAACCAGTTGGGAAGTCTACACTTTACGAAGTGGCTGGCTCAAACTAGCAGTTGTGGATTTTATTGACCGATAAAGCTATGTTTTGGTTTGACCACTTCTGGTTCTTTTCCAACCTGACCTTATGTCAGCTAATAAATGAAAGAATGATTGTTATTGACAAAATTAGTAGGTTTTTAAAAAAAAGAGAGTAACATCGAATCATGCTGATCAGAATTCCAAAAGTTGTTAGATTATAGTCCAAAATATATGTGTGTATGTTATTATTATTATTGTTCCCTTGGGTTGCCAATGGAACATAGGGCTACAACTGCATGCCTCCACTTGCTTCTGTCTTCTGCTGTACTTTTCACTTGCATCCATGTTAGTCCACACTGTTTCAACTCCTCTTCACTCGATCTCCTCCATGTCACCCTTGGACGTCCCACTCGCCGCTTCCCTTTCGGGTTCCACTCGAGCTATAGCCTGACGCGCGATGTCACCCAGCGGCCTCCCCAGCTCAGCGAGTGTCCAATCCATCTCCACTTCCTCCTGCATATTTGTTGGGCGATTGGTTCTTGTTTTGTTTGTTCCCATAGTTTCTTGTTGGTGATTCTTTCCGGTGGCCATCTGATCTTGAGTATAGAGCGAAGACAGTTGTTGATAAAGGTCTGCAACACGCTGTTGGAATTATTCTTTGTGACTCGCCAAGTTTCTCATCCGTATAGAAGTGACTTGACGTTTGTATTGAAAATCCGAGTTTTGTTGTTGATGTTGAGTGACGAAGATTTCCAGATTGGTTGGTTTCAGGTTGATGAATGTGTTTCTCGCCTTCCCGATTCTCGATTTGTCATCTTCGTCCGTTCCTCCTGTAGTTGAAACAATGCTCCCTAAATAAATGTGTATGTGGTAATATAGTTGTACGTATAATATTAAAAAGAACACCAATATTACAAAGTAAATGATTATGAATGACACCGAATGTAGGGTAGTAAATTTTCATGAGTCACGCTGATATTAAGTTCCAGTCACATTGATCACTGATCCATTTGAAGTTTATAATCAATATGAAAGAAACCTATTATGAACGTGACTTATGAGAATTTATTACCCTACATTCAGTGACATTCATAATCATTTACTTTGTAAAAATTGGTGTTCTTTTTAATGTTATACGTACAATTATACATATTACCACATACACACATATATTTTGGACTATAATCTAACAACTTTTGGAATTCTGATCAGCATGATTCGATGTTACTCTCTTTTTTTAAAAAACCTACTAATTTTGTCAATAACAATCATTCTTTCATTTATTAGCTGACATAAGGTCAGGTTGGAAAAGAACCAGAAGTGGTCAAACCAAAACATAGCTTTATCGGTCAATAAAATCCACAACTGCTAGTTTGAGCCAGCCACTTCGTAAAGTGTAGACTTCCCAACTGGTTGGGATCCTCATGACGGTACACACCAATGAAGACTGGAGACAATTGGTGATATGGCTGGCTCAGATGCATCCACTCCTTGTGACTTATAATACCTAATTAAACTGTATTGTTCTTCGATATTACTATTCTTTTCACCTCATATCGCTGTTTACTGTCTCTATTTTCCGTTTCTTTTTACTTTCTTCTTCTCTGGCTTTGTGTTGTGAGTGAAGTGTGGCGACTGGAACTGCTGCACACCAGTGCAGAGTTCTGTGTTGAAACGAGACAGACATTCTTTCATTCACTAACTGTAGAACTTGATGAAGAATGGGGTTATCGAAAGGATGAATATTTCTTTGTTTCAACAATCAATCTTTTGAAATTTCTAATGGACAACATGATTGGTTAAAATAACACCAGTAGAAAAAGTACCTAGACTAGCCATCTCTTCTTTCGTGTATCCATTCAATACCTTATCTAGAGTCAGTTTTTTTTATCAGCCCATTGCTCCATGAACTTAGTTATTTCATGCTCTATACCACTTACCAGTGTGTAGTGAAAACGAATAAAAGCCCAATATTAGACCACCTGACCTAAGAGTTCAAACAGACCATTAAAGAGTCTTTTTCTACCATATTTTTATCGAATACACCAAATACAAAAACTGCAGAAAGTTTCTAGATACAGAATTCTTCAAACAGTAGAAGGCTATTGTGAAAACAAATGGAACTCGGCGTGCTGTCTGTCTGTCTTTGCACAGATGTGCGGCAGTTCAAGTCGCCACACTCCCTCCATGTAGCACACAAAGCAAGAGAAGAAAGTAGGAGAAATGCATAATATAGTCAGTAAACAGACGTGGGAGACAAAGGAACAGTACTAACGAAGAACAAAACAGTTTCATTGGAAATCAAAAGTCACAAGGAGTGGATGCATCTGCGCCACTGAGAACGATTTTGAGCCATGTCGCCAATTGTTTCCAACCATTGGTTTTTACCGTCCCGAGGACCCCAGCCAGTCAGGAAGTCTACACGTTCCTACGTGGCTTAGACTAACTGTTGTGGAATTCATTGACTGGTGCCGTGTTTTCGTTTGACCGCCGCTAGTTCTTTTCCAGCCTGACCCTATATCAGCTAATATGGTCCATTGTCGAGGAAGGCGATAACTAGGCATACGTAGCATATGTCCTAACCATCTCAGTCGATGTAATTTCACAGTCTCGTCTATTGATTTCCCCGCCTTACCTAGCACTGGGCGCCTAACCTCAATTGTTCGGCGTGCGAAAGAAACACATCCAGACACTATTACTGCCTTACTCTGTTATAGAACTTACATATTACATAATAGGTTGACCCTATTCATCCAATATTATTTGAAACATTATTGTTAATAACAACAATAATTCCTTGATTATTACAGACATATATACAGATAAAACATATTGAAGTTATTGAAACTGTGAATATTCTTTGTTGACTACTAATCAGTCTTTTGAAATTTGTATAATAGATAGAGATCATTACTCAAAGGAACACCTACAATTATCGCGCGTCGGTGGCACAGCGGTTAGGACGTCCGGCCGAACATGCACATGGTCCGGGGATCAATCCCCACCCGGCCAACGACGCACTCCTTTACCTCGCTAAGCCAGTGATAACAAAAAAGCTGGTATAAAGGAAAGGTTGTGCATAAGACTAGCAATCCCATCCTGTAAAATTAATCACCACTAGCTACAGAAACTTCAAGCCTCTAGCTTGAAGTGCTCGCTATGTTCCACTGGGAATGTGAAGGAATAAAAAGAAAAAGAAAATTATCACGCTTAATTCACCTTGTAGGAATTACGGTAGGCGTTTAGACTATGCACTGGCGAACATCAACTTCGGAATCGCATTAAACTATATGCAATTAACAGGCCAATGCCAGAGACAAAAATACATATTACTGTGAATAAATGAATTGCTACACAATTCCCGAATATGGTTAGATTTGATAATACTACTAGCTACTTACAAAAAATAGTAATAATAATCCAAGCTGGCGTTGGAAGCTACTTCAACATTACGGAGTGTTCCAAATCCAGGTTAACCTCATTCAACGGCTGGTTACATGACAGTGCCACATGTCAAGTGACCCACAAGAGAAAACTTAGCGAAGCCTTTGCAGTGAAGACAGGAGTAAGATAAGGCTGCAGCAGACAAACTATCACCGATATTCTTTTTATTCCTTCGCATTCCCAGTAGAACATAGCGAGCACTTCAAGCTAGAGGCTTGAAGTTTCGGCAGCAGTGGTAATTAATTTTACAGGATGGGGTCGCCACCCAGTCTCATGCCCAACCTTCCCTCTTTACCAGTCTTTTTCTTTGTTTGGCGAGGTTTGGGACGCGGACCACCCTGCATGGCCTGCGAGCAATCTACCGCTGTGCCACCGACGCACACTATCACCGGTAATAATCCTAACTTTGATGGACTGGATTATACAGCAAACTGTGTGGAAAGAGAAGACAGGAAGAAGCTGCACCAACCAACAAGAAGACTCTAAAAGATCTGGATTTCGTGCGTGAATGATTTATGTTTAGTGTCACACAAAATCGAAGGCTTGCAGGCAGGCGAAAACCAACAAACTGGAAAAGGAAGTAGGCAGCGAACATAGAACTTCAGGTGAACATAAAGAAGACGAAGAGGATGAAGATACCGATCACCAACAACAACGACAACAAACACCTATCACTATCAACGGAACGCGTTTGAAAGAGGTCGCTCCCTTTATTTTTCTAAACAGAGTCGTTTAACTTATAGCCAATTGACAAGGTTGATGATGGTAAAGCCAGAATCGGAAAGACAAAAGAGACCTTCATCACTCTGAAATCAGTTTTACTGCAATATACGGATTTTCAACACCAATGTTAAGTCTTGGGACCCGGGTTCGAACTCCGCAGTCTGGGTGCGCGTACTGATGAAGAGTCCCAAAATTGGACGAAACAGCCAACTAGTTTCCTCAGATTTTCCAATGACTCTTTAACTGATAGCAGCTCATGATGAAATCCTGTAACCAATCAAATCAAATCCCTGCAAACAAATACTTGAATGTTAATTCAGTCACTTCTTCTGTATGGGTGAGAAACTTGGCACCCGCGTCACAAAAAGCATTTTTTACTGGTTTCAGACCTTTATCGAAAGCTTCTTTCTCTTGTTTCATGCTAAAGATTAGATAGAAACTCTGGGAACGAGCCATATGCTCAACAAATATTCCTGAATGAGAAACAACGAGTTGAGCGTACGAGGGTGACATGGAGGAGGTCAGAGATTACGAGAAACTGTAGGACCAACTAAAGAGAAATGCAGAAAGTAGGACAGAGTGGAGATGTGCTGTTGCAGCCCTATGTTCCACTTGGAACCCAAAGGAACAATAATAATAATATGTGTGTGTGTATGTCACCTTGTGGTGTGTTCCTGTTCGTGTAGAGGGTTGAGAAATCAGGTAGTTGTTGTATACGTTATTGGAGTAGGATAAGAGATATATGAGTGATCACTAACACGGGCGTCCCTATTCAATCCAACACCGCACAAAATATAAAAGTGTCATTTAGAACACAGAACAACATACGACAGGAACATTATAAGAATTAGTGAGTGAACTGAACAAGAGAGTTGACAGACGTTTGTCACTACTAAACTTGATTATTACGTAACGACGTAAGAAAAAAGGTTACCACTCCACAAACATGCATTGCTATACAGTTGGCAGTGATATTAACTACCTGACCAACCTGCTCAGCGTACACGAAGTGGGAGTCGAACCCATGACCCAGTATTTGGAATTTCGATGTATTTACTCTAATGAGTAACAGCCCCACGTAAAGATAAAGACTTTATAATCGATGATGAGACGATTGTGTCAGTGTAGAATCAATGGAAATAAAACTCCAAGGGTAGTATATATGATGTGATGACCTCACTTAGAAAAAACAATATGGATACAAAATATACAAAAAATACTTACTGAGAAACTTATTTTTGTATGGGAGATGTAATTTTTCATTAGGCTTTGAAGTCTTCCAATTATTCATTACATCGTTAGGAATAGCTTCATTGAAGGGAGAAAAAATATATATTTTAAAAAAATTGGAAATACACACACAAAGTTAATTAAATAAAACAAAAGACAGTAGTAGTAGTAGTAGTACTCAGTTACTTATTGGATCAAAAACGGGCTTGACACACATATAGGGCTTGCCCATATCAAGGATATCCAAGAATATAGGGTAACCAACTCGATACCAACATCCAGTTTGAAAACCTCCTCCTACAAACAAAAGATTTGACCCCGACATCAGACGATGAAGTCGCTAGGTTTAAAAGTACACTAGTTGACAGTTGTCAACAGTATAAAAACAGTAGTCATTCTAGTAAGAGTTTGCTGACTAAACAGCATCGAGAAGTCCTAAGAAAATTAAGGAACGACGAAAACATTATAATCAGTAGACCTGATAAAGGAGCCGGAATAGTACTGAAGAATAAGTGTGATTATGTTGATAAAATGAATTTCCTTTTTAACGGATGAAACGAAGTTCCAAAAGCTTACCAACCCAATAGATCTGCACGGAAAGGCTAAAAAGCAGTTAACTAACACGCTTAAGGAACTGAGTAACAGTAATCTCAGAAGCAGCCTTTAACCGTCTTAAACCTACTGGAAGTAATACTTCACGTCTGTACAGTCTGCCCAAAGTACAAAAACCAGGACTTCCTCTTCACCCAGTCCTGGATATGTCAAATTCTACCTACCATGGAGTGGCAAAGTGGTTAGGTGAACTCTTGAAACCGCTATACAAGTTGGTAGTAAATCATAGTGTTAAAGATGTTTTTGAATTTATTGCCCATATCAATCAATATAATAATAAAACCAATGAAAATTCACTATAAATAGAGAAGATTTGTAGCTCAGGTGGATGATTTGCAATTAGTAGTGTTGTTCTCTGAGCTGATTGGTTTACTTGTCCAGAAGGACGACGAAAGCTCCGCAACTAAAATCGACCAGCTTAGAGAACACTACTACTAACTGAAAATTCACTATGATGATATTCAATGAAGATTTTAGATAAGCATCAAAGAACTTTGTCAGACAATGAACCAACCAAGAACCTACTGGCAAACAAACATACAGAAGGAAATAGGGGTGGGGGGGTTGGATAGGACAAACACTAAGGAAGACCACCCCCTCTGCGAGTCGAATCCCGGTCGCCCAATGCTACAGTCAGAAATGTTAACACTGAGCTGTTCAGGCTCACGATCAACTTCAAGTAGGGAATGTAATAAGTACTTAGATTAGACATATGTCTAGCACTTTCTTCAGTTGATAGAATTCAATCTGAACTCCGAAGACGATACTCATCTCTTCATTACGGTGGTTTAGAAAACTGAGTTTTTATAGTACATAGGGAAGAGAGAGAATAGCACAGATACTTTCATAACACTTCATAATTAAATGAAAGCTTGGCTACAGTATATAATCCACACCAAGCAGACAGATAATTTAGTGATAATGTAACTTTTGAATACATGTTTGTGACTACCGATTGTGACACTGAGCACCATTAGTTTGGGTAATCAGCTCCTTGAACAGATGGAGAACGCTTTGATATGTTTGAAACGCCGGGTGCAAGGGTTTGAGTTCCCACTGACTGAGGAGGAACAAGTGCACCTCTAGTCAACACAAGTCCCAACATAGGACGCAAAGAGAGCCCCAGACTCTATTACTAGCCATGAATGGCCAAACAAGCGAATTCGGATGAAAATAATCCGTTATTCTACTGAGTATAACTCGAGTGTGCGTCGGTGGCACAGTGGTTAGGACTCTCGCCGACCATGCACATGGTCCGGGTTTTGATCCCCTGCCGACGCACACCCGATATCTATGGTCGACCTGCAAAATTTGGGCTACCGATATCACATGCTGAAAATTCCATACTTGTTCTGAAAATACGGTGTGGCATCAAGCTGTAATCAAAATCAAATAAAATAAATAAATCTGTTCGACTTGATATGATCACGAAATAAAATACCGAAATCGGAAGTAATGAAAAACTGGTGTGACCGGAGCTACGACCTAGTGGACTATGAGCAAATACTAACTTAATGCTCTGGCTAATCTGTCCTAATCGCACGACAACAACAACAATGATAACACCACTGGGTTACAAAAATACAGCAGAAAAACACTGGACGTTGGTAAGTGAGCTTTTACTGTCTCAAAACAACAGTCAAAAAAGATTTATGTATAAATGACCTTGAGAAGCACTAATGGCACTGATAAACTAAGACAGTCAACTACCAATAGGATTCCAGAGGTCATAAGTAGGGTGACAGAAAGTCACGTCGCAAATCAATAAGTGGGGTGAGAGAAGTACAAACGGACATGTAAAATTGACATGTAGGAAATTAGATCTGTATAAATCAAAAACGCTTACTAACACAGAATTCACTTAACAAACATAACAGGACGTATCACCACTCAAACATCACTCAGCGGAATTATCGAAGACCTTAACCTATGACAAAATTAGTTTAAAAACACACTTTAGCATTTTGCATAGGTTATACAAAAATCCATTTCCACTGAAGAGGGTGGGGGAAAAAGTCTACAGAGAAGATTTCATAGACCACCTCTTTAAAGTAAATGAACCAAGGAGAGATACTTGGGGACGACATCGACTATCGACGGTACTATATATATATATATATATATATATATATATATACACTCAGACCGATTTCTACTATCACGTGGTGGTCGGGGAGATGTAACAGGAGTAAGTTATTTCCCACAATTGACCAACATGCCAGCTGCGGTGCTGTCTCTCCACTCTGGACAGCGAGGGAGGGTTCTAAAAATTGTATGTCCCGACTTTTGCTACGGCGGTCCGTAGTCGCCGATAAGCTCCTAATGCATAAACAACTTTAAAAACTATTCCACACAGTTCATATACGACAGCCCCAAACAGTTATCCCCTGGGCTCTACGGCCATACAACATTAATTCTCTTTATGTTGCAGGTATCCCAAGAAAAAACTGTGAGTAGCCGGGAAATAACAACCGCCCACACACACACACACACACATCTTAAAAAGCCACCGAAGCTCTCATCTTGATAGGCATATATACAAAATATCACAAATCGGCAGAAACTAGAACCGCAACAAGTATGCAAGTGGTCAACGAATTCATCTCATAACCTGAGGTTCTCCGTAGACATGGAATGATGCTAAAACTAGGACGAAACAGCTATCGAATGAGTACTTTTCAATTTCTGATAGGGAGTATTATGAATCCACCTTTGGAAACATGATTAGCATAGAAGCAAAACATGTATAAAACATAGAAAAGAGAAGAGAACCAGGAGTAAGCGCACAAATTTAAAAAAGTCTTACTTTCTTTTCGATAGGCTACATTGCACCATGGTTCATGATCTAGTTTCGACTCATCACCAACTGATGATGCAAATGAAGACGATAAAAAGAAGATAGCAGCTCTCTCAGGTGTCATCAGTTTGAGTAGGTCAATATACAACTACAGGGAAAAAGAAAGGAGACAAGAAAACAAAAGATAATGAAAACGTTGTTTTATTACTTATGAAAAGAAGAGAAAGAAGCATAGACTGAAGATAATGCAGCATTCACCACAAGATTGAATCCTAGAGGCGACAATAAATGTAACGCCACAAGACAGTAGTATTAGAACTTAGCAGCAGAATAGTTTATTTGGCAAAATGATTTATGGAGGATATAAGGAGGACACTATCCTGCGTGGTTACCACGACGAGGTGGAAGTAGGGCTATAAGAAGCTCAATAATTGGTGATCTGGTCGATACACAGATGATCACTTTATCTTTACAGCCTCCGCCTTTAAAGTTATCTACAAAGCGGAAAACAACAACCTGACTGAATCATTACGTATCCAACTCATCTGTACTGCTAAAGCTTTGGCCATCGCGCAATAGGGAAGCCAGATCTCTGTTCGTTCAACCCCTCCCCATCTACCATGGTCTGACACCGCCTATGCTAAGGTATGATAATCCCCACTCATACTTTGGGGTCCTGTTTATTTTCGTCTTGTTTATTTAATTTCTATATCCTTCCCTTATTATGCCGATTATTACTATTGGTATTATTATAATTACTATTATTCTTACTGTGAACTGTTTCCAGCATTATTTCACTTGTCTCACATGTCATTCTAAGCTAAAACATTTTTGTACCATGTAAAATTCTATCTCCAATAGTTGATTAACGGGTATTTGACTTATATTTTCAAGTTTGACCGCAGATTGATATCAGTTGGAGAGAACCATTGGAAACCAGTTGGGAGTACAGGACAGCCCTTTCGTCTTGTCTTGGGACTCATCGGTAGTAGGCATCCACCGAGTTTCGAACCAAAGCCCTTCTGGCAACTAGGCAAACTCATAGACTACTCAGCCACTGGAAACCGACTCACTGGTTAGCCCATGAGTTCTAACTTCTACCGATTCGTGATTTTAGCTCGACTGACACACCAGCTAATGTCATCGGTGAGCATTTATCCTCACTCCGGACAGGATAGGCCAACTGCTCACAACTTCTCACTAAGAATCCAGGAAACTCCGTCATGCAGCCAGTAACTAGCGAGCTTGCCTTGTAACCGGACGGGCCTGGGTTCGAAGCCCCAGGTGGGTGCGCACTGCCAATGAGTCCCAAGCTCGGACGAAACAGATGTCCAGTACTCCCAACCGGTTGTTTTTTTCAATGGTTCTCTGAGTGATATCTGTTTGACTCCTTAGTTGTGGTTTTTCTTTTACATTCTTTATATAATTTTCATTTTCATTAGTGAAAAACCATCATTTCAATTTGTGTCCATGCTCGTCCCCTTCACACATGTCGTCGTTAAAAATTGTTTCACATATTACGCAATTATCTTCTAAAATTGCGTAATTTTATTCCATATCCATTGGAGTATAAGATATATCAGACGGTGAAACAGTACTATTTGCTGGATGACGTTTCAATCAAAATTTATTGGTCATGATCATATCAATTATAATCACACGACTGTGAAACTTGAGTTTTATAGTCTTCTTTGTTCTCTCCTGTTTATCATCGTTGGGGTAGTGGAATTTTCCAGATATCTGTGTGGACAGGTGTTGTATCATTCCTATTACACGTATTCGCCTCAGTTGACTCAATAAACAAAGCTTCTGTTATCAATCTCCCCCTCCACCCTGTTATATTAGATTTTAAAACTGTCATCTTGTTTGGAACAACAAAACTTGGCGTGTCACGAAAAGGATTTCCAACAGGTCACTGAAGACTTTTATCAGCAGCTGCCACCTTCGCTGACTCCATTCTGAAGGTCAAATGGTCAGCCGACTGGACAGAAAGAATTGGTAACGAGAAACTCTGGCTGGGAAAAAAACCAACCAAGTGCCGATTGCTCAACAAACATGTAGGAGAAAATGGAGATGGATCGGGAATATGTTGAGAAAGCCATCAAATGACATTGCACACCAGCCAGGCCATCGCTCTAGTGGAATCTCAACGGAAATCAACGAATGGGTCATCCTAGGGTGAAATGGAGGAGTTGAGAGATTATGGGCGCAACCATGGACCTAGCCAGCTGAAGAGGACAGTGCCAAATAGAACAAAGTGGGGTTGTGTTGTTGAAGCCCTATGTTCTAATCGGAAACCGTAGGAACATTAATAATAATAATAATAATAATAGTGATATGGAAGAACAAACATAACCAAAGTCAACTTACTTGCATATTTGGCTTTTTAAGCAATCGATAACCAGAGTAAACATGTTCTGGTTTAACAAGATGTAATTTATTCGCCAGACTAACAACAGTATCCTCAGCATTACTAGGCTCTGTATATAAAAAGCTTGCTTCTGTAGTTAACTGATATTCTGGAAGATAGGTGGCAAAAGTATGCACATCTGGCATGTTGTTGTTGACGCCAGACGAATTAATATTACTGCCCGATGATGGTGATGATAATGATGAGGTAGCAGAATGTAATAGAAGTTTGATATAATCAAATAGTATACCACAAACCTAATGAGCATATAAAAAAGGAAAGGTAAATAGTAAAGAGATTGAATACAGAAAAAAGGAAAGAAAGTTATGAATTAATGTGTATCTTGAAACTATAATACCTAATCCACTAACGCTTATAGAGAACAAATCACCTAATTCTGATCGGTGACTGATTCTTGAAAAGACAACTCTCAAATATAGAACAACCATTTCTGATTGCACACTAGTCAGTAACTAGTGTAATGTGTCTAGTCCTATCTTCGGTGCAGACTGGTGTCCAATCAGAAATATCCAATACATTCCTATAGGAGGTCAGTCGAGAGCCTGAATAGCTCAGTGGTAACGTCTCTGACTGCAGCATTGGGTGACGCGGGTTCGAATCTCAGAAGGGACATCAGTTCCTTCAAGGTTTCAGATACGCCTTGCTGATGAGTGCCAACTAGCACGAAACCTAGGTCCAAGGCTTCCTGTGGCCGATTGCCTCCAACTACCTGAAAGAACAACCATATCAGAAATGATAAAAAATAACAAATAAATAAGAATTTACAAGGGTTACTCCACAGAGGAATTGATATATATTTCAAGAATGATGACTAGTTGACATTAAATTAGAGAATTATTGGACACGGTGGCTAAGAGTACCTGACAGTTGACTGTCTTCTCCTACTCTTCAGCAGTAAGCACACGCCAGGATTCGAACCAACCAGAAGTTGTAAGCTCGTAGACTATCCTCAGCAAACGAATCCGTTTCATTTATTGACTGAATGACTAGTTTCAACATAGAATTTGGCACAGATGTTCAGCAGTTCAAGTTGACCCACTCTCCCTCCATGTAGCACACAGAGCACACGAAGACAGATAATAAACAGAAGTTTGAGGCGAAAAGAATAGTAATATGGAAGAACATTATAGTTTTATTGGATGAATCACAAAAAGTGAATGCATCTGCGCCAACTATTGACAACGATTTTCAGCCATATCACCAATTGTCACCACCTACCATTGATTCTTAAAATCCCAAGAGCCCAAACCTGGAAGCCAGTTTACACCTCCCAAAGTGGATGGTTTAAATTAACTGATATGGATTTCATTGACTGATAAAGCCATGTTTTGGTTTAACCGCTGCTAGCTCCTTTCCAGCTTGACCTTATGTCACCTAACATTGCCCCTCTGTTGAGGAAGGCGATGGCTAGGGATGAATGCGTAACTCATATCCTAACCATCTCTGTCGACGTCAATGTAGCTTCACAGCCTCGTCGATTGTTTCCCCCTCCCACCTACCTAGCACTCCACCGAAACCTAGCCTCAATATTGTTCACCTTATAATGCCATTTCACATGGGAGATAGAACGCAGGCACCTATGATCAAAGACAGCTAGCCGGCCTTTTCATGTCTTCCACTCTCAATGGCCATGCTTTGCTCACAGTAATAAAGTAGGACGATGATATCTATTGAGCAGTACACGCGCCCTTTGGTTGACAGCCAGTCGGATATCATGTCTACTAAGCCAGAGACGGTGTAAACTGGCATATTCCAAACGATCTCTCTCTGTGTCCGTGTTGAGATTTCATCAGCGATCAACCCATTGTGAGGCTGGCTGATGCAACTTCCCAAATAAGTGACGCGGTCAACACACTCTACCACTTCACACCTGGTCTTTAAGCTAACAGTGAGTCAATTTAGTCCAGTCCTGTAGCATCCATCACTCAATGGCCGGTTCATGAATTCCTACTTCTAACAATTCGTGGATTTTTATGGCGGGATCACCAGCAACCAATGTCATTGCTCAGTATTTTTCCTCACCACCGACATACCATATCGGATATCACTGGTCACAACTCTCCCCACCCAGTAGAACTCCAAAGCACTTCCGTCAAGTAGCCGATTAGTCACTACGCAGCATCAGATAAATTTTCAGGAGTTTGTTTGTAGGAATTCGATTTGTTGTTTTACATTTTGATCACGAATAAAAAGCAAACCAAAAACTATCGTAAGAGAAAGAATACCTCCACTACAAGAAGAATCATTTAGTGGATATATTTGAGATGACAGACAGTGAATATATATATCTGCGTTATTAAAAAAAATTTTGGGTCAACAACTCTAGTCAGACATTCTACAGCTTTCACAATGTGACTTAGAACAGTCAATAGCACCGCTCCAAGAGAAACACCATAGGTTGGAACGCATAACGTGTGTCCTGTAGGCATGCTAAACAGTGGAAATTCACAACCTCACCTCCCTGATGACTGATTTTCACTTCTTACTTAACATTCACAATTACTCGACCAAATTACACCATCTAGAGCAGCACAAGAGATACAACACAGAGACAGATAGCCTTCGCATATCTCACACCTGCAAAACAGGGACACGCAGCAAACTACTGTGCAGTACGCCCACCGCTTGATCGACAGCTGGATATCAAAAGTCTGTGCACAAGTGATGATGTAAGCTAGTAAGTGCCAAAAGGTGTGTTTTTCCTTATCCAACCGATAGAAAGACTCTAGAAGATTTGAACTTCACGGACGATTCACAAAAACTCGAAGATCTACCAGCGAAAACAAAAGACGAACGATGGGAGAAGCAGGCGAGGAAGACAGGACATCAAAGAAACATGGAGAGGACGCAGTTGATGAAGATAGTCAACCAACCAACAAAACAACAACAACAAGCACCAATCACTGTCAACGGATAAATTTGACAGAGATCACCTCCTTCCTTCATTTATCTGAGTAGCCAGCATGCTTTCAACTACAGGTCGCCCCCCCCCACACGGATGACGATGTCAAAACCACCCAGAATCAGGAACGTAAAACAGACAGACCTCTCTATCAATGAGAAAAAAGTTTAGAAATCTACTGCAACCCCGAAGAAAAAAGGAATTTCAAATTTTCACCACCAATGTCAAGTCAGTTAGTTCTTCTATATAAGTCAGTAATTTGGCAATGTGCACCACGAAAAGCATTTCTAAGACGCCATGGCAGACTTTTATCAACAACTGCCACCTTCCCTGACCTCACACACTGAGGATCAGAAGGCTACAAAGAATTAGCAACAAGAAACTCTGACGGATTACAAACCAACAGGCGAGAACCTATTGTTCAACAAATATTCCGAAGGAAATAGAGATGAACCAAACACACACGCCACTTAGGAGACCGTCGGTTATCATCGCACACCAGGCCATCGCCTGCCAAGTAATCCACAACGGGAAACTCACAGAATCCTTCGAAGTGAAGACCGGGAGTATGACAAGCTGGCTGCCTACTATCTCCAATCAATCTCCTGACTGCGAGGGGCAGACTGGATAATGCGACAGAGGGAGGGCAACGAGGAGACAGGCATAAAATGGACCCACACAAAAATCTCAGAAAGTCTGGATTTCACCAATGATATATGTCTAATTTCCCACAAACCAGAGAGATATGCGAGCGAAAAGTAACGAATTGGAAGAAACAGCATCAAAGACTGAACTTCAGGTGAACATAGAGAAAACAGAGGTGATCAAGATTCCTGGCCAACAGCGACAGCAACAACAACAGACAGCAATCAGTATAAATGGTAGGAATATTGAAGAAGCAACCTCCTTTATCTACCTACCTGTCTACCTGAGAAGCATCGTTTCAACCACAGGCGGACGGAACTGATGAGGATATCAAGGCAGCGGGGATCGAGAATGCAAGGCAAGCTTTCGTTACTTTCAAATTTGTGTGGAGATCAACAGCACTCAGCATGAAAAATAAGATCCGGATTTTTAAATCCAATTTGAAGTCAGTCAGTGCTGGTATATGGATCAGAGACTTGGCGCCACACTGCGTCACGAAGGCCACTTCGCACAAGCTACACACCTTCATCAATATCTGTTTTCACTCAATACTATTCAAGATCAGATGGCCGGCCACAAAAGAACAGCAACAGGGATCTCTGACAATGAACCAACCCAGTAGGAATCAGTTCTGCAACAAATAAGCAAGAAGAAATGGAGGTGGATTGGAGGAAATACTCTGAGAAAACAAACCATCAAATGAGTGACATCACACACCAGGCCATAGCTCGAGTGGAACCCGACCGAATGGGAAGCGGCGAGTTGATAGTCAGTGCGATGGTGACATGGAAGAGGAGGAGGTTATGAGAAGAGGAGATGAAAGCATGTGGGCAGACGTGGAGCCAGGTGATGAAAACGTTGGCAGAGAACTGAAGGCAATGGGGAAATGTGGCTGAAACGCAATGTTCCTCTAGGAACTAAAAGAAATAATAATAATACCAGGTCATTGCTAGAGTGTAACCACCTAAATGGGGAATGCCGAGTTCGGCAGCACTTCGAGGGTGTGACATAGAGGAGATTGTGTGAGAATGAGGTGAGAGGCTATGGGCATTCGTAGATCCAGCTAAAGAGGACTGCAGAGAATAGGACAGAGTGGAGGTGTTATGTTCCACTCGGAATCTACGGAAATAACAATAAAATACAGTGTCAAAGCTTCACTTCATCGTTTCAGTAGTGGTAGGGACGATTCCTTTTATGAGTGTTGGAGTTCCTATCTAACTCCATCTAACTCTAAATCATCCCCTGTCTCTCTCTCTTCAAAGCAGCTTACAATATTCCACTGCATTGGCGTAGGAATCGAAATCGGATCTCCATCGTATAGCTAGCTGGCCGGCTGTCTGGCTAGTATCGACGTACATACTTGACAGACTAATATGATCTCTTTTCTCCTGCAATCAATACGATCCAAGAAAAAAAATCATTAAAACACTAAATACGCTTTCATTTTAAGAATAGATAATTGTAATATATAGCAACGGCACCAAAAACAAAGAGAAAAACTTACCCGATAAATATGATCTCGACCGTAATCTGTTAGTTCAATACTCACCAAATAAATGGCACATAGACTAGAATTATCAAAATCTGATGTTGAACTAACTCCAGCGCCGAGATGAACAGCTAAATTCCTTGTTAAAAAAAATGAAATAAGTGGATTAATTTTAGATAGGAAATCATATCAAATCAAATCAAACATAAGCTAAGTGTAGCAGTGTTATATGCAGACATGTGGTGAGAGCTGTCTACTAGCCAAATTGGTAGACAGTAATTTACGTCAATATTTACGTTCCCAAGATTTGTCGTGAGAAAATGTGAACAAAGATTGATTCAAAACCGACCACAGCAGACTTTGCGTAGGCGGATGCAGTTAACATATAGAGGATTTGACAGTCAAGAAACAGTCACAAATAGATGAAAGATTAACTTTACGTGAGAAACAACCAATCGGAAGACTGTGTTTGTTTGTTTAAATAACTCATAGTAATGTACATGAAATATATAAATATGCATTGATTTCCTTAATAAATGATCTGTTGCCTGACTCTTGCCTTCTGTCGTTACAGTCATTCAATTTATAGCTCAGTACAAATAGTAATTAGTTTATATATACATATATTTATGTATAGACTTACAGGCGTAAACCGACAAGTTGGCAGAAGAAGCAAGCAGAGAAGACAGAACTTCAAACAACCATAGAGAAGATGGAAATAATGATGAAGGTAACCAACCGACCAAAACAACAAGCACTAATCACTATCAACGAGGAGAATTTGAAAGAGGTTACTTCCCTGCTGCTTCATTCATCTAGACAGACAGTCAGTCAGTTATCCTTTCAAATACAGGCCATTCCATAGATGATGACGACATCGAAATCAGAGTTGGAGAGGCATGTCAGAGATATTTTATCATTCTGAAATCAGCTTGGAAATCTTCTGAACTCAGTGAGTCAGTCAGTGCTTCTATACAGGTGTGAACGTCGTGAAAAGCACTTCCAATAGTCTGCTGCAGAATTTTATCAACAGCTAAACACTTCACTGGCTGCTCTATACTGAAGATCAAATTGGCCGACTGACCAGAAAGAATTAGCAACAAAAAAAAACTTTGAGGACAAACCCTACCAACAACTTATTACTCAACAACTATGTCGAAGAAAATGTAGATAGATCGACAGACAACACACACACACTAAGGAGACTGTTCAGGGATATCAAGCATCAGTCAGGAAAACGCTCAAGTGGATCGCGAATGGGAAACAACGACTCTGACCTGGGGTTCAGTGGTGACATGGAGAAGATCGTGAGAAGAGGAGACGACACATTATGGACAATCATGGAATCAGATAAAGAGGACTACAGACAAGCGGGATGAAATAGAGATGTGTTTTAGAAGCCCTATGTCCCAAACCAGAACGAAAGAGCCACCCAGTGCACCTTTTTTTATTCCTTTACGTTCCCAGTGGAACATAGCGAGCACTTCAAGCTAGAGGCTTGAAGTTTCTGTGGCACTGGTGATTATTTTTACAGGATTGGGGGTCCAACCTTCCCTCTTTAGCAGTCTTATTACTACTGGCTTAGTGAGGTAAAGGAGTATGTCGGCCGGGGATCGAACCCCAGACGACCTACGTGGTCGGTGAGCACTCTACCGCTGTGCCACCGACGCAACCAGTGCACTTTTGTCTTCTTTAACGGTTCTCTTACTGATACGAACACTCATGATTGAGATATGTTAGTTTTTCGTTATGTATTTTTTTATATCTCACTGAAGAGTAATACACACATTTAACTTCTGTGTGCGCGAAAGACGTGTATTTAATGCACGTTTGTGTGTGTGTGTGTGTGTGTTTATGTAAGCGCATTTGTAACAAAAACTTGAGTATTTATAACGAAATGCATAATTCATTCAACACCAAATAACGCATAATACATATTTCTTGAAATGTGAGTACATTTCACATATATATGAATTATTTATCTTTTTTTAATTTATTTTAATAAATAAAACAAAAAAAAGAATCGTAAATGACAGGACGATTGGTGTGTAAGTAACACGAAGATACACAGATAGCTTTGTGTTGATATTATAAAGTAAACTAACGAAATTCATAGAATAACGATCAGGTCGCATCTCATCTCATTATATGACAAGCATTAGATGAACAAGGATTAATGTACATCTTAAATCAAAATATATTATTATATTATTTAACAAAGAATATACATATGTAATATAATAGGTCACTTAGAGAAGAGCTTAATCAACTTCAAAATGTTTTCAGCACAGTCTGTGATTTAACACACGGTCTTTTAACATGATTATTATTATTAATATTATTTTTCAATAGTTGGTTTGTAAGGATTATATTTGTTTCGACAAGTTTGACCACGGATTGATATCTGTTAGAGAACCATTGAAAACCAGCAAGGGAGTACGTGGTGTCAATAAGGGATGCCCAATATCCCTATTGCTTTTCAATTTCATCATAGATGTACTAATGGAATTAACCTTAAGTGACTTCAGAGACACAGGGATTGACTTGTTACTATAAGGGAATAATCTCGTTGACTTAGAATATGCATGCGATTCGCTCCTGCTAAATGTAAGATGATGTTACAGGACTGACTGCACCACACTGACTCCTAGTTTAGAAATAGGGGGTGAAGTGGTAGAGCAAGTTGACCGCGTCACTTATTTGGGAAGTTGCTTCAGCCAACGCCAACGGGTTGATCGCTGACAAGATCTCAGCACGGATACAGAAGGCTCGTTTAGCATATGCTAGTTTGCGCTGTCTCTGGCTTAGTAGATATGATATCCGACTGGCTGTCAACCAAAGAGTGCGTTTACTGCTCAGTTGTCCTCATCGTCCTACTTTATTGCTGTGAGCAAAGCATGGCCATTGAGAGTGGAAGACATGAAAAGACCAGCTAGCTGATTGTAACCATAGGTGCCTGCGTTTTATCTCCCGTGTAGGGTGGTGGTTAGGCTTCAGAGAAGTGCTAGGTAGGTGGGAGGGGAAATCAATTGACGAAGTTGTGAAGCTACATCGACTGAGATGGTTAGGACGTGTGTTACGCATTCATCCTTAGCCATCGCCTTCCTCGACAGACGGGCAATGTTAGGTGACAAAGGGTCAAGCTGGAAAAGAGCTAGCGGTGGTCAAACCAAAACATGACTTCATCAGTCAATGAAATCCACAACAGTAAATTTAAGCCACGTAAGAAGATGTAGACTTCGTGGTTCGGGTCTCTGAGACGTAAAAGCTAATAGCAGCAGGAGATAATCGGTGTTATGGCTCAAAATCATTCTCAATGACGCAGATGCATCCACACCTTATGGCTTATAATATCCAATAAAACTACATTGTTCTTCCATATTACTGTTTTTTTTTGCCTCATGTCTCTGTTTACTGTCTATGTTTTGCATTTCTCTTTACTTATTTCTCTTGCTTTATGTGCTACATAAAGTGTGGCAACTTGAACTGCTGCACATCGGTGCAAAGTTCTATGTCAAAAACAAACCAGGGAGTACTACCAGACATCTGGTTTCACTAGCCTAGTTTGGGAAACATCGGAGGTAGGACCCCACTGCCAGGGTTCGAATCCAGGACCTTCCGGTTACAAGGCAAGCTAGCTCGTGTACCATTCAGCCACTGGGATTCGATCCAATGACCAACTCATGAATTCTAACTTCTACCAGTTCGTGATTCAGCGTGACAGGCACCAACCAATGTCACCGGTGGGATATCCATCCTCAAATTTGACCGGATGGTCCTCACTGGTCACGAATTCTCACTGGAACTCCAGGAAACTCCGTCCTGTAGCAAGTCCCTAGCGAGCGTCAGATTAATATAATTGTTCAGATTTTTAAGTTTGTTCGTAGGGATTTGAATTGTTTCAAGTGTGACCACACACTGATATCAGTTAGAGAACCACTGGAAAACCAAGAAGTTCTAGACAGCTGTTTCATCCTCCTTTGGGACTCGTCGTTAATGCAAACACAACGCACCTAGGTTCGAACCGAGGACTTGTTGGTTACAAGTTCAACTAGTGGAGCATTTTTATCCACTGGGACCCGACTGAATAGCTAATCCATGAATTCTAACTTCCACCAATTCATGATTTCAAAGCAAGGTGTTTGAATTGAGATCTGTATTGATTTCAATTTTGATCACGAAGTGACTAGACACAGAAGAACCACTGAAAACCAGAGACTACTGAATAGCTGTTTCGCTCTTATTTGAGACTGTCTTAACCAATACGCAGCCATGACTCCATTGGTAACTGAACCCAGGAACTTCAGGTTACAAGGTGATGAGCTCGTGCACCATTCAAAACTGTAGACAGTAAAATCCCAGTAGACTAACATTTATCTAAATTTACCTAAAGTTGCCTGAAGTTATTTTTTGTGGGAAGTTGTGATCGGACAACAGGGAGTGCAACAAGTCTGTGGTGAGAGCTGGCTGCTAGCCAAAGTCGGCAGACAGTAATTGACGTCAGTGTTTGTCCCCAATATTGGTGGTGAAAAAATGAGAACAAAGTCTTTACGTAAGCGGATGCAGTTAGCATATGGATGATCTGACACAGTCACGAAGAGATGCAAGGTTAACTTTCAATGAGAAACAATTAATCAAAAGACTGTATTTTCTGCTAACAATAATCTGCAATAATGTACATTAAAATCTATAAATATGCGTTGATTTTCCTTAATAAACGATCTGTTGCCTGGCCCTTGACTTCTGTCGTTACAAGTCGAGCATGCGAACAGAAACTCACCGATGACATTAGCTAACAGTCGCGCTGCATATTGTGAATTTGCAGATTTCAGGCACCGCCGGCCATTGGATTCCCTCCCATTGGCTGAATGGTCAACGATTTTGCTCGTGACCAGAAGGTCCCCGGTCGGATCGAATGTGGGTGGAATCATGAAGGTATAATGATGAGGAGTTCCAAACAAGGTGGAAACATCTGTCCAGTACTGTTTAATTTTTATTTCTATTGTTTCTCTTTTTTTTATTCCTTCACGTTCCCCAGTGGAACATAGGGCTTCAAGCTGGAGGCTTGAAGTTTCTGTAGCAGTGTTTATTTTTCCAGGATGGGGTTGCTAGCCACCTCATGCACAACCTTTCCTCTTTACCAGGTTTATTTCTGGTTTAGTGAGGCAAAGCAGTGCGTCGGTCGGATATCGAACCCCAGACCATGTGCATGGTCGGCGAGTGTCCTAACCGCTGTGCCACCGACGCACACATTGTTTCTGTAACTGAAGTCAATTCATTAACGAAATTGTTATCAATCAGTCAAATCTCTGCAAACCAATACTTGAAGATTTATACTGATTTATAACTTGGAGCGATACAATACTAGAATAATGAACTCCCGAAGAACCAGTAGACCTGTAATGAAGTCGACAGTCCCATACAAGCGAAAAATAAAACCTGATAAAACGCTTGAGTTACAAGTGGAATGAATGTAGAGCTTTAAAGTTTGAATATTTCTGTCGCAATTTTCTTTTTACAGGGTGGAATTGCTAGCGACCAGGGATAATTATACCAGGATTTGACTAGGATGCTGAAATACAATTAGCAACACGGCTGCAGGTCGAATACGACTGTTCTCCCTGAAATACCTTCTGTTGCACTTAGCCCAAAGGAGAATCAGAGGATAAAATTGGAGCCAGTGTCGATGAGAACAACTTTATTAGATTAGACAAACATTAACACATATAAATATACACTACCAATAACTGATTTGATTGCTTGCATAAAGTTGGGATATTGAAGACTGTCCAATCAAATTACTGACTAAATCTGCTCAATCAGCAGCCAACTCCGATTTAAACCAGTTTTATAACTACATACTGCTGACTGATTTAGATGAGTAGATGCATACCACTTACACCAACGAGTAGTGCTTGCTAGTCAGATTGAGATGATCTGAGCTGATGTCATCAGGGGTGTACCCTGTTTAACTCAGCTCAGAGAACCAAATCATTTTGAACCACCTGATTTCTCGCTGGTTAGCTTCTTGGGCGAACTGATCATATCATAAATCAAATTTACAATTCACTAATTGTCTATAATTGTTTTAACGAGTTGATCACGGATTGATATCAGTAAGAGAACCATTGAGAACCAGCACGGAGTACTGCCAGACAGCTGTTTCCCCAGCCTAGTTTGGGAATCATCGGTAGTACTCAACCACACCATGGGGTTCGAACCAACAAACTCCCGGTTCAGGCCAAGCTAGCTCGTGTACCATTCAGCCACTGGGACCCGATCCAGTGACCAGACCATGAATTCTAACTTATACCAATTCGTGATTCAGCTCGACAGACACCAACCAATGTCATTGGTGGGAAATCCATACTCACACTTGACTAGATGGACTTCACTGGTCACGAATTCTCACTGGAACTCCAAGAAACTCTATCCTGTAGCAAGAGTCACTAGCGAGCATGAGATTTATTTCCTATGGTTGGTTTGTAAGGATTAGTTTTGTTTTTACGAGTTGATCACGGATTGATATCAGTTAGAGAACCATTGAAAACCACCAGGGAGTAATGCAAGGCGGCTGTTTCATCCTAGTTCGGGAATCAATGGTTGTACGCCGATGTGACTTACATGACATGACTTCCTAATTATCAATGGTTCTATAAATAATGTCGTATCGGTAGTGCAATGGTTAAGTGTCTACTAATCACGCCTCATATGGTCCGGGATTTGATTCCCGGCCGACGCACACACACACACACACACTTCTGAACCTTGACTGGTTGGTTTTGAGCGCGGTAAAAAGGGAGGATTAGATGTGGGACTAGGCTAACAACCTCCCCGAGTAAAAAAAAACAAAAGAGGATACTTACTCTTCTTTAAGTAATGCCAGTATACTTCCTTCACCTTCATGACCAATAAGAGAAGCTAGAACACCCATTGGAGTTGATCTGAAGAGAGTAAAATTAAAAGGAATACATTACATATGTAACAAATATGGTCCTACACACTTTTAACAGCTGCTACCTAGCCATCAAGTTTTACAATTGAAGCATGAACCAGACAGACAGACAATCTCCTTTCTGGACACACTAACTAGACTAACAAGAAGACTGACAGGAATTATGTGGAAATAATCTCAAGTGGAATTTGATAATATCTCGTGCGACTAGGATCCGAAGAATCTGCAAACCTGAGTCAATAGATGAAATAAAAAAGAGATCACTCTTTTCAGGAAGACATTCCTTGAAACTCGCCTCCCCCCCCCAACCACCCATCCGCCCACGCTTTATAGACAAACATTAAAAACTCAAAACCAACAAAGAACACTCCGACTTTATACCAAAGAAAATGCTATACATGAATGTCGCGTTCATTGGCGACCTTCTATAGCCAACACCCGAAAGAAGAGAATATCTAACGCCCGAAAAAAAACATTCTTCACTGCTTCATTACAAATGATATTCTCTTGCCACCCAATGTTCCTCTTCAACAACTCTAGAGATGAACTATCACATTTAACCATTTCTATGTGTATCAATCAAACCTCTACCTCAACTTTATAGACATTGAGAAGGCCTTCGACAGCGCTGACCACGAAGTAATTTGGAAACTACTCAAGTACTACGGCGTACCCCAAATATTCATCAACCTTATTCAACAGCTGCACAACAACGGCACATGTCAAGTGATCCACAACGGAAAACTCAGCGAAGCCTTTGGAGCAAACACAGGAGTCAGACAAGGGTGCTTATTATCACCAATGATATTCCTAATTGTGGTGGACTGGATTATGCGTCAGACAGTGGGAAACGAGGAGACAGGGATATCCTTGACCGACATGAAGAACCTAGAACACCTAGATTTCGCGGATGATTTATGTTTGACGTCACACAAAATCGAAGACTTACGAGCGAAAACCTACAAACTGGTCGAAGAAGCAGCAAAGACAGGACTCCAGGTGAACATAGACAAGACGGAGGTCATGAAAATAACCAACCAACAACAACAACAGCAACATCCACCGCCAATCACCATCAACGGGAGGGATTTGAAAGAGGTTACTTCATTCACTTATCTAGGAAGCATTGTCTCAACTACAGGAGGAACGGACGAGGATATCAAATCGAGAATCGGGAAGGCGAGAAACACATTCATCAACCTGAAACCAATCTGGAAATCTTCGTCACTCAACTCAGCATCAACAACAAAATTCGAATTTTCAATACAAACGTCAAGTCAGTTAGTTCTTCTATACGTACGGATCAGAAACTTGGCGGGTCACAAAGAATATTTCCAACAGCCTGTTGCAGACCTTCATCAACAACTGTCTTCGTTCTATACTGAAGATCAGATGGCCGGAAAGAATCACCAACAAGAAACTATGGGAACAAACAAACGAAACAAGAACCAATCGCCCAAAAAATATGCAGGAGAAAGTGGAGATGGATTGCACACTCACTGAGGCCGTTGGATGACATTGCGCATCAGGCCCTCGAGTGGAACCCAAAAGGGAAGCAACGAGTGGGATGTCCCAGGGTGACATGGCGGAGATCGTGTGAAGAGGAGTTGAAACAGTATGGACTAACATGGATGCAAGTGAAAAGTGCAGCAGAAGACAGAAGCAAGTGGAGGCGTGCAGTTGAATCCCTATAATCCACTAGGAACCCAAGGGAACAATAATAATAATAATGTGTATCAACCAATTGATTTCCTCGTGTGGAGAGAGAGAGAGAGAGATATATAGGGGTCGTTCAATGTGTGTTGTGTCTAAAAGAGTCAAAGAATATTATTTCGCTTGGTAAAGGGAGTTCTGTAATTGAACGCATATACTCAACACTGCTCACTCAATATATAAATGGCGAATTCATTCAAAGTTATCTGCAAAATGTCAAAAGAAGCCTCGAGAGAACAGTAAGCTTCTGAGGCCTTGTCGATTTAGACGGAAAACCCTGATTCATGAATTAAAAGACACCACCACCAGCAGTAACAACAACAGTAGCAAAAGGAATGAACAAACCTGATCAGTGGCTAGTTGTGTCGAAAACCGAATGGTCAGCAACCCTGTGTTGGGTGCCTTGAATAAATCCTAAAAACAGCCTCAATTTTTTTATCAGCCCTCTCTAATAATAATAATAATAATAATAATAATAATAATAATAATAATATTTAATAAATTATCATCACTTACTCATAATTCTCAAGTTGTGAAGGTAAAATCCAGATAATGCGTAGCTTTTCTTTTGCACTTAAAGGACAAACTGAAGTTTTAAAAAAAAGAGCAATAAAGTAGAAGAAGATTAGAGAATATAATCGGAATACAGCCAGTATACATATATAAAACATCTTTAAACAAACCAACTACAGAAAATAAATCTGATGCTCGCTAGTGACTTGCTACAGGACGGAGTTTCCTGGAGTTCTAGTGAGAAGTGACCAGTGAGGTCCATGAAGTCAAGTGTGAGGATGGATTTCCCACCGATGACATTGGTTGATGTCTGTTGAGCTGAATCGCGAATCGGTAGAAGTTAGAATTCATGGTCTGGTCACTGAATCGGGTCCCGGTGGCTGAATGGTACACGAGCTAGCTTAACTTGTAACCGGAAGGTCGGTGGTTCGAACCCCATGAGTACTACCGATGATTCCCAAACTAGGTTAATGAAACAGCTGTCTGGCAGTACTCCTAGCTGGTTCTCAATGGTTCTCTAACTGATATCAACCCGTGGCCAAACTCGTAAAAACGAAACTAATCCTTACAAACCAACTATAGAAAATTAAACAAAATCCGTTAATTTAGCTCTACTGTGCATCGAATCAACCAAAAACATATCGCCCAATAAACGTGCTAAAAAATGTGGACATCGGATTGACTGAAAGCCAACACTAAGGAGACTGATGAGTGACATCACGCGCCATTTAGACAAGCCCTCGAGTGGAATCCGAATAATAGGAAACGATGAGTTGGGTAAGCAGGGTTCGATGGCTGACATGGAGGAGATCGTGTGCTGCAGAGATAAGAGCTTATAGTGAATCATGGAGGAGGGCTAAAAGAGGAGTGCAGAGAACACATGATAAAATGCAGATGTGCACCGTTGAAGTCCTTCCTATGTTCCTCCGGAAATCCAAAGGAGTTATAATAGCATTCTGAAATCAAGAAAATCACATTACAGGATTTCATCATTGAGATAACAGCAATTAGAGAACCATTGGAAAACCTGGAACTCCTGGACAGCTACCTAGCGTGCGACTCTTCAGCAGTACGCACCAATTACAAAGCGACCTTGCTTTTAGACCACTGGGACTTGTAACCAGAAGGTCCTGGGTTACAACCCCGCAGTGTGGGTGTGTACTAATGAAGAATCCCATTCTAAGACGAAACCACCAGCTGTCCAGTACTCCCAGCTGGTTTTCCAATGGTTCTCTAACCAATGTCAGCTCATGATGAAATCCTGTAGCCAATCAATCAAAACCCTACAAACCAATACTGGAAAGTCACAATATGCTCATTATTTGCTTGAAAACACACTAACTCTGGTGTATTAGTAATAACATTAATAATAGTGATAATGATATCAATATTAATAATAATAATAATCACCTTTATAAAGTCCAGCAAATGAATCATCAAAGCTTTTGGCCGATAAAAAGTTCGGTGCAGGTACTCCGCTGTAAGTAAACGAGAAAAAAACAACTATTAAACGTACACTGAAAATTGGAAATATTGACAACAATGTCGACAACCAGTCAACCAACTAGACAGATGGGTAGGAGGATGCAGAAAATCTGCGGAAAACGAATTCACCTAGAAACTTATTGACCAAAGTAATATAATTAATCATAGTAATAATAATCTGCTTTATTCCAAAAACAAGTAATTATAATACAGCAAGGAATTTTCAGAACTTGTCACAACATTGCATCTAATTCACCCCTCCAAACGCCAAACAGTCAGTTTCACCTTTGGGCATAAATCCGACCTAAAGAAACTGGTTAGCTCTCACGAGGTGTGCAACATAGATGGCACTGAAATAGAAACCAAGTCGGAAATTAAATACCCAGGCATCAATTGTATCTGCTAATCTTTCCTCCTCGTCTCATATCTTGACGATTTCTAAGAAAATATTCCGTCTTACCCTCTACATCAAGAAGTTAATAATAACCCAACCCTTACTCCTACAATTCGTTAATTCTCGCATTCTGCCTATTATTCTCTATTGTTCCCCTTAGTTTATCCCGGGCTACTGAAGAAAGACTATAACATATTACGCAGGATGTTAAAGGTTGTCAGCAGGGTAAGCAACGTGCCACTTAACCAGCTTGTTAATACTCTGGTCGACAGGCACATGGACTCATGTGAGAAATGGGCCAAATCCATTTTATCTAACTCACACCACCCTCTTCACTCACAACTCTCCCCTTGCATCTCATCAGGTAAAACCAGAAGCCTATATAGAAAACTATATGCTCGCACCAGCAAGTACAAAAACTCAACCATACCCTACTTAGCTCGTGTTCTGTGTGATAAAGAAAGCATTAGACGTGACACCTATAATTCATTAAATAGTCAGTAGAACAAGTGGACCTCGTCTTTCCAACTCATATCATTTATAGGTACAACATTTTCTTTCTTTTCCTTTTCTCTCTCTCTTTTTCTCTTTTTTTCCGTTATGTGCTGCTTTGTTTCTTTCTTCCGCTTACGCCAGTAAATATGATAGCACTTACTTTTCTAACACCTTCAAACACTGTTTCAACTTTGGCTTTGCTACCGACATGCCAATATGTTGTTGTCATAATGAACTGAGATTTCCTTAATCTATGTAGAATTTTATTTATTGATAATGTACTAACTGGATCCAATACTGTAGTAAAAATGCTGAGAATTCCATTCTGTATCACAAGTACTGTTTTGGAATAAAGCAAATTATTATTATTAGTAGTAGTAGTAGTGTGGTGAGAGCTGTCTACTAACCGAATTGTTAGACAGTAATTTACGTCAATATTTACGTTCCCAAGATTTGTCGTGAGAAAATGTGAACAAAGATTGATACAAAACCGACCACAGCAGACTTTGCGTAGGCGGATGCAGTTAACATATAGAGGATTTGACATTCAAGAAACAGTCACAAATAGATGAAAGATTAACTTTACGTGAGAAACAACCAATCGGAAGACTGTGTTTGTTTGTTTAAATAACTCATAGTAATGTACATGCAAATATATAAATATGCGTTGATTTCCTTAATAAGTGATCTGTTGCCTGACTCTTGCCTTCTGGTGTTACAGTAGTAGTGTTAACGAGAAACTATATAAATAAGATTAATCACAGGAATTTGTTCACATTTACAGTAGGGAATAAAGACAAAAGTGTGCAGAGTACAAAATGAGAATAATCACTCTAACAATAATAATAATAATAAAAATAGTGGGTTTGTCTCAAACAGTATTGTCGATACAGTATGGAACTTTTAGCATATTATACAGTATTGAATCGAATGTTCTCTCGATACAGCATCGTGAAGGGAAAAACAAAAAATAACAATTATTACAGAGCTTAAATAGTGTTTACAATTAGGAGAAAATAAAAAAAAAACAAGAAATTGAGGAGATTACAAATATAAGAAGAACAATAACAATTAAGCTTGGTGGAATAAGGATGGAGAAAATTGTTGATTTACTTGCGCAAAGAAAGCTAGTTAGTCCGTCCCTGACACTGTTTTCATCACATAAAATACGTACCAAATATTGTATCGTGGAATTTTTATACTTAAAGGTGCGCGCATAGAGTCATTTGAAATGACTTCTTGTTTTACCTGAGGAGAAACAAGTTGAAAGCTGCAAGTAAAGTGGACGCTCGCATTCTGACAAAATTTCTTTAGCAAATTTCTTGAACGAAATCAAATGCCTATCAGTGACGAAGTCAACAACATGGCCCAATGGTATAACACCTGTTCTACTGACAATCTTCAGAATTCTAAGAAGAATGACAAAGTCTTTCTTAAGGAACCCAAGAAAAAATAAGGATGAACAGTAAAGAAGAATACTTAAGATGCAAGAGTTGACAAACTGTGAGAGGAGGGGTTGAGTTACGCCTGATTGCCTTAACTTCTAAAAGTGAAAAGTCAGACGATGAGAAGACTAGGATAGGTCAGAAGAAAGAATTAATCCAAGATACTTAACTTCAGACTTGATTTCTATATCACTATCATCTATTTTGCAACGGTCATAGGAATTAACAGTTTCATTTAACTTTCTTTTACATCGAAAAGTGAATTAACAGTCTGACATTTGGAAGGATTTAGTTTAAGACAGACAATTAGACGAAGATTATTTGCTAACTCCCGATAGAAAGCTGTTCATCTTAGTACAGTCTAGCTGGGAGTTAACAGACCTTGAAATAGTTAGATCGTCAGAGTGAGGCAAGTCATACAAGAAGAAATAAAAAAGAAGAGGAGAAAAGACAGCGCCTTGAAGGACGCCAGCTTCAGTAAGCAATCAAGTATATGACTTTTCCTGACACACAGTGTACTGCTTTCTTCTTGGGAAATAAGAATGCAACCATTTGACAACCCAACAGTCAGTTTGAGTTTCAGCAAGCTTGTTTAACAAAATAGCCCTAGGTACTAAGTCGAAAGCAGATGTGTAATCTAGGATGGCGTAGAGAACAAATTTAGCCCCCTTGTCTAAACTGGAGACAATGTTATGATACAAAACTGCAGCTGCATCTAAACTCCTTATACTATGTTTGTAGGCGAATTGTTTGCGATCGTTAAAGGCTTTGTTCGAAGAGTCCCAAACTAGGACGAAACGGCTGTCCAGTACTCCATGCTGGTTTTTCAATGGTTCTCTAACTAATGTCAGTTCATGATGAAATCCTCCAACTAATATTTCTCTCCTTCACTTTTTCTGCTTATATTATAGTCCTTTGTATGCCTGCAGTTTTAGTGAGAAATCGTGACCAGTGAGATTCTATCCGATCAGGATTGGGAACAAATACTCGCTGTGGATGACATTGGCAGGTAGTCAGAATTCATGGGCTAGCCATTGAGTCGGGTCTCAGTGGCTGAATGGTCTCTACAAGCCTGACTTGTAGGCGGAGGGTCCTAAGAGTTCAAGCCCCAGAGAGTGTGTACTGATGAGGAACCCCAAAGTAGGTCGACACAGACATCTGCCCAGTACACCCTGATTGGTTCTCAAAGCTTCTCAATCAATCCGTGGTCAAACTTGGAACAAAAATCAATCAAAATGTCATGAATACCAACCGATAAGATAAATGAATAAAAAGGGGACATGAAACGAGATTCTTATCATATATGACTAGATAGATAGATGACTTACCTTACTGGTATATCGGAGAAAAGTTTACGCACTAACGTTTCCAAATCATCTAGAGTGTCTGTTAGGAAAATATTTTTTTAAAAAGAAAAAAGATTAATCAGTTTTAACGTGATCCAGGAAGGAATTTTATTAGGAATTACAACAAGAAGTATCCAGTACTGCGTCAAAGTAATTCTCATAAATTATGAGTTGGTGGTCCACTGTGATAGAATGGTCGCGAGCCCCCTTTCTTCACACACACACACATACACACACAGAGGAGATTCGAGTTCAACTCCCGACCATGGACGCATTCATAAGCCTCACCTGGTTTACTAAAACGGTAGAATACTCAGAAAAGAGATAAGATCGGGAGTGAGGCTAGCAACTCCAACCCACAAGAAGAACAACACCAGCGCTACTGAAACTTTACAGCTAGAAGTCTTAGCTTTCACCTGGAACTCAAGGAATGTAAAAATGCATACACTGAACCACATTCTTTTACAGAGTTAATAATAATAATAACCAGTTGTGATAAGATTGTATATGAAAACTTTGATGGTATTGTGCTGATGTTTCTTTTTGTCTTATGCTCGCCAGTTGATCACCAATCGTAAGAACTCAGCTCCAGTTGTTAGTCAGCAGATGTTTATCAGACAAATCTAAAAATGAAGACCACCAAGCTAGGAGACATGGTTAGGTGATTGAGGTTATGTATGCATCGAGTGTGTTAGGCAAAGAAGGGAAGTCAATCATTACTGGGGTTGTCGGGGTAACATCGATTGTCAGATGGCTAGAACATCCAGATGCTTATGCAGTCAGAGGCACCGCCTTCCACGACAACTAGTGTGTTAGCTGACATAGGCTTAGGCTGGAAAAGAGCTAATGGTAATGGGACTAAAATCTGGAATCAGTTAATGAAATCTTTGACAGGTGGTTTAAGCTAGCCACACACACACACACACATAGGACTGATTGGTTGGTATCTGTGAGATTTGAACAAAGCAAGAACTACAGTTTTAGCAGAATAAAATAGTACCATCTTTTATTTCGTCGCCTTCTCGTCAGCTGCTTACAGGCCAAAGACATTATTAAATGTATCTATAAAAACAATTTAACATACTCGCACAGAGTTCATTTTAAACAAAAATCAATCGATCATTATACTCATACACTAATAATACATTCATATATATGTGCAATATTAAACACTATTCCGAACAATAATAATCATACACAATGAAAACTTTTCAGTATCTCGCATTCGGATGAAAGAGAGATGGAAATATACAGTTACCAGGGCAAAGGAAGACTGATAACTGCTTCTTTCTGAACGCACAAGTCAGGTTTTAGGCGCTTGATGGAAATGGCTTCAGCAAACTTAAGGAGAATTGAGCTCTTTTGTTTATTGATAATTTTGAACGACTTTTCGACGTCCACCTCATGACCTGTATCAAAGAGATGCCTGGCAATGGCACTGTTCAAAGCATTTGTTCCCTTTAGACGTAAGCTTTTTGGTATATGTTCAGAAAATCGTAGATATGCCCTTCTTCCTGTCCTTCTAATGTAACTGCTCCCGCAGATACATGTAAACTTGTATATACAGTTGGAGTTCACATGAGAAGGATATCTATCGATTTTTGATTGCACCAAAGAGCAAGTTGTTCGATAGACGGGAACGAGCTTAGCTGCAGAGTAGGCTATAGCTAGTGATGTACTCAGCCTTCTGTTGATCATCGCTGTAATGTTCTCACCTTTATAATCAAGCTGAAAGTAGATTGGCTTTTTTTCCACTGTGATTTGTTTTACATTTGCGACTTCAGATCTTCCATACTTGTTGATGAACTTTTGAGGGTACCCATTGCTCTTCAATGTCTTTTCAAGAAACTCAAATTCTTCCTCTAGATTCTTTGTAGAGCATATTCTTCTCGCTCTATAGTACCGAGTCTTGACCAGTATCTGCGGGAGCAGTAACATTGGAAGAACAGAAAGAAGAAGGACATATCTACGATTTTCTGAACATGTACCAAAAAGCTTATGTCGAAAGGGAACAAATGCTTTAAACAGTGCCATCGCCAGGCATCTTCTTGACACGGGTCATGAGGTGGACGTCGGAAAGTCGTTCAAAATTATCAGTAGGCAAAAGAGCTCAATTCTCAAGTTTGCTGAAGCCATTTCCATCGAGCGCCTAAAACCTGACTTGTGCGTTCAGAAAGAAGCAGTTATCAGTCTTCCTTTGCCCTGGTAACTGTATATTTCCATCTCTCTTTCATCCGAATGCGAGATACTGAAAAGTTTTCATTGTGTATGATTATTATTGTTCGGAATTGTGTTTAATATTGCATATATATATGTATATATTATTAGTGTATGAGTATATTGATCGATTGATTTTGTTTAAAATGAACTCTGTGCAAGTATGTTAAATTGTTTTTATAGATACATTTAATAATGTCTTTGCCCTGCAAGCAGCTGACGAGAAGGCAACGAAATGAAAGATGGCACCATTTTATTCTGCTGAAACTCTAGTTCTTGCTTTGTTCAAATTCATTAAGGGGAATAAATGTATGAAATCTGTGAGATTCTCAAGACCAATCAATCAACAACTGGAGACAATTGAATATATGGCTCAAAATCGTCGTCCTCTACTGGCCAAAACCCTATTGCTTTTCCATGTTACTATTCCTTATTCTCTACATTTCTGTTGATGATTGTTTTTCCCCCTCTCTTTTGCCTTCTTTTCTATGGTGTGCATGGAGTGTGGGAACTCCAACTGCTACATTTTCTATTCGAAGGTCTATGCTGACACCGGTAAGTAGTGGTAGGACAAATGTTAGTTAGTTAGTTGGCAAGAAGTTTTAGCCAAAATATGGTCTTTTGCCAGTGCGGTTCATCAACTTGAGGAATTAAATGTCCACCCTGAGATAAGAGCATGTCTCATTCAATTCTTTATCGCTAAAGGTATTTTGGTCCCTAACTACTTTCCACCACTTTATGCAGATAAACCCCTGACTGGGAAATATTACACTGGCAATAAACTAACAGGCGAGTGCCGACAACTCAACAAATATGTAGGAGAAAATGAAAATGAATCGGACAGAAAGTTAACCTTGGATATCTTTGTGGCTGTGTCAGATCATCCATATGCTAACTGTATGCGCCTACGTAAGGCCTTTGTTCTCATTTTTTCACCACCAATATTGGGGACATAAACACTGACGTCAATTACTGTCTACCAACTTTGGCTAGCAACCAGCTCTCACCACACCTTGTGTTCCGAGTTGAACATAGGGCTGTTCTGTTTTCTACCGTCTTCTTCATCTGGGTCCACGATTGACCAAACTCTCTCGCCTCTTCCTCACACGATATCCCCCATGTCACCCTTGCACCGACGACCCACTTGTCGCTTCCCATTGAGATTCCACTCGAGCATTGCCGTGGCGTGCGATGTCATTCGACGGCCTCCTCAATGGCGTATGTCCGATCCATCTCCACTTTGAGCGATCAGTCTTTCGTTGGTTTGTTCCCAACCAGAGTTTCTTGTTCCTTTTTCTTTCTGGCCGGTCATTTGATCTAGAGTATGGAGCCAGTCAGCGAAGGCAGCTGTTGATGAAAATCTGCAGTAGGCTGTTGTAAATCCTTTTTGTGACACACACTGCAAGTCTTTGACCTGTATCGAAGAACCGACTTTACATTAGTGTTGAAAATGCGAATCTTGTTCCTTACACTGGCTGAGTGTGAAAGATTTCCAAACTGGTTTCAAGTTGATGAAGGCGTATCTTACCCTTTCGATTGTGGCTGGCTTTGACATCTTCGTCCGTTCACACTGTCTGTAGTTGAAACGAAGCTTCCTAGATAGGGGGAAAGATGCAATCCCTGTTAAATCTCTCCCCTTGATGGTGGGTGGTGTTTGTTGGCTGGTTGGTTATCTTCATCACCTCCGTCTTCTCTATGTTCATTTAGAGTCCTGCTTTCGCTGCCTGCCAGCCTCTTCAGCCAGTTTGTTGGTTTTCGCCTTCCTGCCTGCCTGTAAGTCTTCGAGTTTGTGTATGTTTGAAAATTGTGAAACTAAATAATAAACTATGCGACTATAACACACAGTATGATATTTGGTAATGTAGCTGACATTACAAATAAAATAAAGGAATTCACCAAATTTCTTATGAACACAGAGAATGAATTTTGCAAAGAAAACTTTATGGAAACTGCTTCAGCTACACTTAGCGATAGGAGGCGTACACCTTGTTATAGATACAGAATTGTAAAGGCTGAATTTTTATCAGTCTTGTGCTCCATATCCACACTAGGTATGCCACAATATGGAACTTCTGGATGACTTTACAACTCCTTTACTTGACCACATTAAATAATGCTCAAGAAGGCAATGTTGTTTGTGGGCTAGGGGTAAAGGAGTCGTAAAGTCAATCGGAAGTTCAATATAGGTAAATGTGGGTGGGTGATACGGATCACAAGATTGATAAAAGTTCAGTTTTTACAATTCTATCTATACAAGGTTCCCTGCCTCGATTCCCCTAGTTTGTACGCCTTCAACTGTAAAGCGTAACCTGAGGCAGTCGCCGTACAACAATTTTTGAACCCAATGTATATGTTCAGAAACAGTTTATTCAATCCCTCTCCCTCCTATGGCATTCAATGCTGACTTAGAGTAGCTACCCCAGTTATTATTTTCACATTCTCTCTCTATACTGAAGATCAGATGGCTGGAGAGAATCACCAACAAGAAACTATGGGAACAAACAAAACAAGAACCAATCACCCAACAAATATGCAGGAGATAGTGGAGATGGATTGGACACTCGCTGAGGAGGCCGTTGGGTGACATCGCACGTCAGGCCATAGCTCGAGTGGAACCCGAAAGGGAAGCGGCGAGTGGGACGTCCAAGGGTGACATGGAGGAGATCGTGTAAAGAAGAGTTGAAACAGTATGGACTAACATGGATGCAAGTGAAAAGTACAGCAGAAGACAGAAGCAAGTGGAGGCGTGCAGTTGAAGCCCTATGTTCCACTAGGAACCCAAGGGAACAATAAAAATATAAAATAAATATAATTTGATTCGATTGATCGACATTGTTTCAGACGTCTATGACTGTTACTCTTATGTAATGGTAAAACCTGATGAGAATATACCTAAAAACACGTATTTGCTTACTTAAATGGTGTTCAATAAATAGCGATTCAACAGCAGTAAACTGTTTCCCTCGGAAGAACAGTAAGCCGACTAAGTTGCCTCTTAGAAAAAGTCAATCCCCTGAGAACTGTACAGTCTGATTCGCTATGAAGCATCCCATTATCGGGCAACAAGATCTTCACAGATCACACAGCGCCCTCCCACACACACACACACAATCGGCCTCAAACAGTTTACCCAACTCAGAGTTGGCATACAAACACCCTTCCATAAGGCATACATACACAAAGCTTTCCTAAAATCATTCTTAATAAAAAAAAAATTAAAGAAAAAATAATAAACTAGCCCTATTTACAAAACAAAATGTTTAACACTTACGCTTAGATTGTACAGCCAATGTCATACGATCAGCAGAATACGCCGTTTTTCTATGCTTACTTAAAAGTGTGTAGATATCAGTGCCGTTCTGATTTGGAATATCATGCAGAGATTTTCGATTGCCTAGATAACGAGCAAGAAGAAGCAAGAGTATGATTTTTATTTTATTTTTTTTAATTTTCTTTCCTCGATAACACTTTATTCTAAAAGCTGACCAAAATGTTAACGAAAGTATCCGTGTATTTTTGTATAAATAAAGAGTTGCTTGATTAATTCGTTTAGTGATGACATAGGTAACTTGTTACATACTTGCTGAAATGATAACAGATGACCTGATTGTCTCTCATAGTATATCTTAGTTGAGGATATACAATCTATGAACCAGTTCAACAGTTTGAACAAAGAAAGAAAGAAAATATTACCAGACAGGATAATATGACATCGCTTCATTTTGTAAAATTCTCTTCAACTGCATACATCCTATTCACAGTGTGACATTGAGTTACCAGGGTAGTGAGAGATTAGTCATCACAGCATCTTTCTGTATCCAGAAGTGGGTGTTCAAAGTCTTTTGATGGCAATGGCTTCTGCGAACCGAAGTCACTATGCTTACTGATTTGCGTATTGATTATTTTGAAAGCGCAACTAGTTCCGACAGTATGTTGTGTGTGTGTGTGTGTGTGTGTTAGTTAGGTGTCTGACAATCCCAGTTGAGAACACTTTGCTGCCTTTCGAAACGAAAACTTTTAGTAAACGTTCTCCTCTCAGTGCCTCCTATGTACTTGTTGCCCCAATTGCAGGTGAATTGGTAAATGCGGTTGGAGTTGACATGAGTAGGATAATTATCTACTTTTGACTGAGTTAACGAGCATAAAGTGGAATGAGTCTGGTGGTGGGAAATGTTCTTGCTAATGCATCTTTAACTCTGTTTTCCGTTCTTATGGATACTTCTTCGCTTCTGTAGACTAGACAGATAGAAACCGGTTTCTTTTCAACTATTTCGAGTTTCAGTCTAGGTGGTTTCTCCTCCACATATTTTGATATGAACTTCCGGGCATATCCAATAGTAAGGTGCCTCTTCAGTAGAATTCAACGAATATGCACTGAAGACACACTTGATGAAGAAGAAAGAAAGTTGACACTAACTCTGGTTGATAACAATTATCCAGACAAGTTCATCAGGAGATATTCAAGTATTGGTTTGTAGGGATTTGGTCTACGAGCTTGCCTTGTAACCAGAAAGTCCTGGGTTCGAACCCCAGTGGGTGCGTACTGATGAAGAGTCCCAAACTAGGACGAAACAGCTGTCCAGTACTCCCAGGTTTTCCAATGGTTCTCTAACTAATATCAGCTCATGATGAAATCCTGTAGATATAAAGTAATCAGAACACCAAGATCCACTCTCCATCTCGCCCCTAAGAAAGACGTCTACATCAAGCTACCCTATATGGGGTATCAAAGCAGCTTGATAATTAGACAAAGACTGCTGTTCAAAAGACTTTTTATGCAGCTGATATCATAATAATTGAGAATGTGAAGCCAATATATCTATCTAAGCCCTTCGAACATGCGAAAAATGACGTCACATCCCACTGTATTTACCAATTTGAATGTACGTGTGGACACACATACACAGGAAGAACTCATCGATCTCTGCAAGTAAGGGCCAGCTTCATAGCACACTCCTAAATGGCTCCAGAAGCAAATAAAATCTCCAAAACCCATTAATGGTGAGAACAGGCAATGACCTAGCTCCCCTATTGCGAAACATATTATAGAGACAGGACATAAAATTGACGTTAACAGATCCTTTAAACCTATCTATAAAACGTGTTTGGGGCGTATCCTAAAGTTTGTGGAAGGCCTAGCAATTAGAAAGTTTAAACGTCTCATTGAATTAACGGGGGAAGGGGGAACTCTATCTGTGATAATTTTGGGTTGACAGAGTGTGCTATTGATAAAATGGACTTCGTTGCTTAGCTAGTAGAGCGTTGAAACTAGCAGGAATTTGGAGGCCACTGGTTCGAGTCCTACCACAACCCAGGTTCTAATTTTAGCGTCTTCATCAGCAGCTACTACTACACGTCAATAAGAGTCTACCAACACCCAAGGCTACCTTAGATAGCCTCAAGAACAAACAGTTAATAGACAACAGAAAGTTCTAGCAAAGAATATACTTTTCGATAAATTCCTCTTCTGGCTCCACAATTATATATATATATAAATATTTACATAGAATATTCCAGGATAATCGTCATTAACAATATCGATGTTTTTTTTGTAAAATAATATCGATTTGCTAACATCAATGGAATTACAGTTCAAGACAGATGCATAAATTATAATAAGCATCAAAGTGTAATAGTAAATAGAATATCAAATAAAATTAAGGAAATTTCCACAACTAATTGAGGATCATCGAGACCTTCATGGCCAAGGTAATGACAATGTCTGAACCAACCAACTTCTTTTGGATACATCATAAGTTAGGTTTCTTAATGTAGATTCCAACAGAAGGCCTCAGCAATGTGTAGTAGACGAACTCTTGTGTGAGGTAAAGTTAAGATTAGTTGGTACACGGTAGATAACTTTGAAAACCGCCTTGTTTACATTAATCTTGTGTTCTGTATCCACGAGATGAGATAAAATACAGCTACAAATGGATTTTGTTTATCCCTTACTTAACCATTAAGCAGCATGATGTTCGGAAATCCGACGAGAAACACGCCTAATTGTGCGGTTTAAGCAGCTAACTGTCTCCACGGGAGTAGTCAAATTGGTAGATACACATAGAAGAGGCGAAATTAGGCAGTTTATCTTGTACTCCTGAGTGTAAAGTAGGCACTTTAGCAGCAGCACTGAATGTTTTTTTTCCCGGTGTATTGCTAAGGCGTTGTGTTAATATACCTCACTGATATTATCCCTGAGAAGCTGAAGTTGTAAGAATATAAGGTCTTCCTTTTTCGGAACTGTTGATACTTTGGTCTACCTGCCTTGACTTTTGATTCATATTTTATCGGTAAATTTCCCAGAGCGACCGTTCTCACTCAGTGGCTTGTTTAATAATACTAAGCTCTTCATTCAGATATATTCATCAGAGTAGATTGCTCTTGCTCTGTGGACCAAACACTTTATCAGATTGTGTTTGTATTTCAAAGGAAATAGTCTGAAAAAATGAGTATACTGACCAGTTGATTTAAGTTTTCTATACCCTCCCCTTTTCTAGTCATAAGAACGTCTAGGAATCAAATACTGGAGTTGCTTTCTTTCTCAATGGTAAAATTTATTGCAGGATGCATATCGTTAATTTCGTCAAGGATGTTCTTTGCTTCATCCCCAGTCTTCATAATCAAAAATGTGTCATCCATGTAACGATAGTTAGATTCTAGTTCCCTAATTACATCTTTCAAAGGCCTATTTGTCCAGTTTTGCAAGGAAAATGTCAGCTAGAATTGATTCTAATGGTGACCCTATTGTCACAACATCAATTAGTCTGCATAATTCCCTATTAAATAAAATATGAACGCTCATTGTACATCGCAAAAGAAGCTGTTCCATAAAACATTTAGGAATGCTAGTATCGATGTCTCGTCTAATCAATTCTTCGTAAATAAAGTCTACTGTTTCTATCAGTGGAACATTATTAAGTTAAAGAAGATACGTTAAATGACGAGTCCCAAATAGGACGAAATGCGCGTTGTCCTGGATTCCACTGCTAGTCACCATCCAGTCACCAATTAACTTCTAGTTATCATGAATTTGTTGCTAACATTTAAATCTTTTATCCTTTCAATAAATTCACAGGTATCTTTTACTTTGTAGAGGAAAGACAAGGTGTAGGGCTACAGCAAAGATCGCAGAGTACATACGAAATAAATTTATTCTTCGATGGATTAAGGAAGAATCTTCACTTGAAGGATGGACGACACCGACTGGTGATAGCCTTCGGCAAGCCAGTAGCTTAATGGTATACGAGCTCGCCTTGTAACCAGAAGGTCCTGGGTTCGAATCCCGGTGGGTGCGTACTGATGAAAAGTCCCAAACTAGGACGAAACAGCTGTCCAGTACTCCCAGGTTTTCCAATGGTTCTCTGACTGATGTCAGCTCATGATGAAATCCTGTAACCAATCAAATCCCTACAAACCAACACTTGAAAAGTAAAAGTATTCATAAAGACATGGAATATCCGCGAAATCATGATGGACTAAGGATGCAAACAGCTACTCAAATCGCAAAAGATATGGTATAGAAGCATAAGGAATCCGTGAGAGTAGATGGAATAGAAGTAGACTCTTCAAAATTGTTAAATGGAGGCAGTTAATAATCTCCTCTGATCATCCAGATAACAACCACCGTACAAGTCCCCTGAAAGTGTTGCCAACATGATATATTTCCTCAACAACATTGGAAGCTGCCATAACAACAAGATTAGAATCAAAAGGAAAGAAAATTACTCCCTCCTTATATTATTATTCCTTTAATCCTCCTAGGGGTTGCTGATAAAACTGTAAAAGGGATCTGAAATATAAAATGCTAAAACAATTTTGAAAAGTTTTTCATGTTCCTTTACTGATGCCTTAAAAGTTATCAGATATGTTATTTGAATTTAATTGGTGGATGGTGACTAGCAGTGGAATCCAGGACAATGTGCATTTCGTCCTATTTGGGACTCGTCATCAGCTGGATGTACCTGCATTCCCCAGTGAGTGATGATTGTTCCCACCAAGGCTCGAACCCAGTGCCTAATCAATCGACGGGGAAATTCAAAAAATTCAATTGAAGATACGCAATTTGATTACAGAATCTACTGGTTTCTCCAACTATCACGTCGAAGCTCCAAATGTCAATATTTTCTCAATTTAGTCAACCAGCAACAAGATTTAATCCATATTCAATGTCTACTCAGAAAAACTGTTTTAACCCTAAGTGTTACAAGATATCTGTACAGTAATGTCATCAATAACTGGGTCATTATTAGACAAGTGAACGTTACATTGAATAGATTTCTTGTCAACGTGTCTTTATGTTGTTAATGGATTTGATCGCACTTAGATTCAAAGAAAAAGTAGATATTAGCAAGAAATTTTTAAAAATACGCACATATGAAATAAATTCACAAGAATAATCAAAACACGGGAAAAAAGACTAATTCTGATAGTAGTACAATCCTAAGATTGCTGAGAAAAAAAAAGGAGAAGTACTGGACAGCTGGCTGCTTCATCCCACTTTAGGACTCATCAATAGTACACGCCCACCCACCATGGGGGTTCGAACCCAGAACCTTCCAGTTCCAAGCCAAGCTTGTAGACCATTCAGTCACTGAGACCTTACTCAATGACTCCATGAATGCCAACTTTTTACCAATTCATGATTTTGGCGCGACTCTACCTGCTGATGAATCCCACACTAGGCCGAAACAACCAGCTCTCCAGTACTCACTAGTTGGTTTTCCAGTGCTTCTCTAACTGATATCAATCCATGGTCAACAATGAAACAAATCAAATCCTTACAGTCTAATTCTTGAAATACAAAAAAACGACAATTAAACAAACAGAAAAATAAACATACCATAGCCAAAGATTCGATATGGAGAATCTTTACAGGATAAATGACTGATCAGATGACATAGACGTGAGGAATCTTTAGCAAGTGCAAGTTCGAATTCTGCAATGATAATAATAATAATAATAATAACAAATACACTAATAAACAATTCAAAGTATAGTGCAACAATAATATAGGGGGGCTTCAACAGCACTTCTAAATTTTGTCATGTTTTCTGCAGTTCTCTTCATCTGGACCCACGACACTTCTCATACGATCTTCTCCATGTTACACCCTCGAAATGACGCCCAACTCGTTGTTTCCTACTCCAGCGACAACCTGGCGTGTGATTTCACCCGACAGTCTCCTCAGCTTGTTTCCGATCCGCCTCCACATATTTCGGAATATTTGTTTAGAAATGGGTTATTGACTGGTTCGTTCCCAGAGTTTCTTGTTACCAATTCTTCATTGCCGGGCTATCTGATAATTAGCATGAAGCCAGCGAAGTGGGAAGCTATTGATAAAAGTCCTGAATAAGCCTGTTGAAAATGCTCATCGTGACGCGCACACCAAGTTTCTGACCCATACAGAAGGACTGTGAATGAGATCTATCATTCGTGTTGAAAATCCGAATTTCGCTCTTTGTGCTAAGTCAGTGCAGAAGGCTTTCACACTGATTTCGGAGTGATGAAAGTCTATCTTGCCTTTCCGATCCTGTCTGGTTTTGACATTGTCATTCATAGGGTCGCCTGTAGTTGAAATGATATTGAATGTCTAGATTAGTGAAGGAAGGAAGGAAGTGACCTCTTTCAAATTTAGTGATTGGTGCTTGCTGTTGTTGTTGTTGGTCATCGGGTATATTCATCACCTCCATCTTCTCTATTTCCACTTGAAGTGCTGTCTTTACCGTCTGTTTCTTCTGCCGACTTGTTGGTTTTCGAAGCCTGTAAGCCTTTGAATTCATGTGACCTAATCCGCAAAGTTCAGATCTTCTAGAGTCTTCTTATTGGTCCAACATTTTCCCGTCTTCTTGCTCCCCAGAGTCTTTCGCATGATCCAGTTCATCACAATTAGGAATACTATCGGTGATCAACAACACTCAGCATGAAAAATAAGATCCAGATTTTCAACTCCAATGTGAAGTCAGTCAGTGCGACTGTACGGATCAGAGACCTGGCGCCTTGGAGCACCTTGAACAAACTACACACCATCAGCAAATGTCTTCACTCAGTAAGACTCAAGATCAGATGGTCGGCCAGAAAACATCAGCAACAGGGATCTTTGGCAGTGAACGAACCAATTGTACAACAAACACGCAGGAAGAAATAGAGGTGGATTGGCTATAATCTGCGAAAACAAACCATCAAGTCAGTGACATCACACGCCAGGCCATGCTCGAGTGGAACCCGACCGAATGGGAAGAGGCGAGTTGGTCGTCAGTACTAGGGTGATAACATGGAGGAGGAGGAGTTGATGCGAAGAGGAGATGAAAGCATGTAGGCAGATGTGGAGCCAGGTAATGAAAACGCTGGCAGAGAACCAAACGCAATGGAAATATGAGGCTGAAGCCTTATGTTCCTCTAGGAACTAAAGGAAACAATAATAATACAATAATAATCGGCGATAGATAGTACTACTAAAAATTCATCATTCTTAATATGATACGCGTGAGTTGGTGGTTCACTAGTCGAATCCTCACCTACGACACATTTGTTTCGGGTTTTAAATTCCCCGCTGAACACACCAGTAAACTTCCCCTAGTTGTTAGTACACCCGGTAAAGAGGGGCGCGGTTGGGCGTGAAGCTAACAACACCCCCACACACACACTCGCCAGCGGAACAACATCGGAGAAAGCTGTGCAGCTTACTTTTAATCGAATAATATCACATCAGATGACACACTGAAGATTACTACTATTATCTCATTTTGGTTACAAGAAATGCTTAGAATTCTGTACTGTCCGCAAACCTATGTTTATATTTGGTGTACCAGATTACTTTCACGTAGGTATGTTAATATTCAGCAGTTTACGTGAAGTCAAACTCTGTGCTGTGTACTCTCTTGCAAAAGAATATAATTCATATTTTATTCCTTTGGAACACAGAGGAGGGTTTCAAGCATTGAGTTTTGAAGTTTCAGTGTAGCGATGTATCTTCTCTTACGGGGTGGATTGTCGCTAGCCTCATAATCAACCTTCTCTATTTACCACTGGATTTACTACCGGTTATCTGCGGTTAAGGAGTGTATCAGCAGGAAATCGGAGCCTGCACCAGCTGCTTTGCTGGCAACACTGAACACCAACGACACTCCTTTTAACAAAACATGCTTAAGATTATTATTCCACTCAGTGTAGTATAGTAATGAGATGTCAATAGATCTATCTGTTTCAATATTGGGAGCTGTAGAGAGCTCTAGACTTCCAACTAAAGGGTCATAGATTCGAACCTCGCTCCACTTCCCTACAGCAATATCAGCAGCCAGGTAGTATATATCACCAGACTTCGAACATAATAGGTGTGTTTGAATAAAGCAAGAACAACAGTGTGGTTTGTGCAGAATACAAGATGGTACCATCATTGTTTATTTCATTGGCTTCTCATCAGTTCAGCTGCTTGCTTACAGTCTAAATAAATTATGAGGTTTATGTACAGAAAAGTTTTAACATACTTGCAAATTTTTACATGTTGTCAGTTGACAGAAAGTCCCACAATTAGTGAACAGTGCTCAGAGAATTACACTTATGTAGTTTTTCACACAGGCACTTAAAGTTTAAACAAAATAAATGTATGCAGACAATGGTAAAGGAGTTACGTAATAAAGACGAGAGGTGAGTAAGATGCTGAGTGACTAATAAATTAGGTAACGATGTACTGGGTTCGACTCATGTCACAGAAACAAGAGACAAGCAAACTTACACTAAGGAAAAGGGGTGAGGTTAAAGCCAAAGATTACGTAATCGAATGAGAGAGAAAATAAAGACATCCAGTTACCAGCCAGAGCAAGGAAAGACTAATAACTGCTTCTTTCCGAACACATAAATCTGGTTCCAAGCGTTCGATAGAAATTCCTTCGGCAAATTTGAGGAGAATCGAGCTCCTTCGTCTACTGATAATTTTAAAGGATTCCGCGATTTCCACCTCATGAACCGTATCAGGGAGATGTCTGATAATGGCGCTATTATAAGAGGTTGTTCCCTTGACACGTAGGCTTTTCACCACATGTTCAGAAAATCAGAGGTGAGCCCTTCTTTCTGTTCTCCCAGTGTAACTGCTCTCGCAGATACACTTAAATTTGTATACACAGTTGCAGTTAACATGAGAAGGGTATCTGTCGACTTTTGGCTGCACCAAAAAGCATGCTGTAGGATAGGCTCTGACTAGTGACGTATGCAATCTTCTGTTGACCATTGCTGCAATGTTTTCACCTTTAAAATCTAGTTGAATGAAGACAGGCTTTTTTCTACAGTGATTTCTTTGCTATTTGAGCCTTCACATCTTCCATATTTGTTAATGAGTCTTTGAGGATAACCGTTGCTTTGCAACGCCTTTTAAAGAATCTTAAATTCTTCCTCTAGTTTCTCTCCAGAGCAATAGGTGTGGTTCATTGCCAACTGCACACAAGTACAAGTGGGATAACAACATCAATGGTATGAATTACATTTTTACTAAATGACTGCCGCATTGATTCAGTTGTACACTGCTCAGCAACCATGCACGTAGTCTGGGGTTAGATCCGTAGTCGACGCACTCTTAAATCTGGCTTGGTCAGTAGTAAGCCTGATAAAGATGGGAGGATGACTGTGACGTTAGTAACCTAATCCGGGTGAGAGAGAAAGGACACCACTGCTAGTGAAATTCCAAAGTCCAAACCTTGAAATCCTATGATCTACTCGTAACGCAAATCAGTAAATAAGGCAGTAATAACACGTAACTGTAGATCATAACCTGATCTACAACTTTACAACCTTAATGAGTGAATCATACTGGACTGAAGGCAGGCATATGCAGGCGGACTGACTGACTGGTTTCATCATAGAAGTGTACCAGTTCGAGTTGCCACACTCCACTTAGCACACAAAAGAAGACAAAAGAGAGGGAAAAAGATATTTAAAAGAATAATAAAAAGCAGAAGTGTAAGGGAGAAAGGGTTTAGTGGATATGGGAGATCAAAGAGGGTAAAAATGTATCTGGGCCAGCCATTGAGAATGCTTTTGAACCATATCACCAATTATCTCCAGCCACCATTGATTCTTACCATCCCGAGGGCCCTAACCAGCCAGGAAGTCAGTCTACACCTCCCTATGTGGCTGACTTAAACTAACCGTTGTGGATTTCACTGACTGATGAAGCCATGTTATCATTTGACCACCACTAGCTAACTCTTTCCCAACCTGGTTCTATGTCAGTCAGCTGATATTGCCCGTCGACGAATGCGATGGCCAGACATTCCATCTCAATGGATTCACCTTTACAACTACATCGACTTACTTTCCCTCCATACGTAACCACCCTTGACACCTAATCTCAATATTACTCACTCTATTATACCGCCTAACACAGGAAACAGAACGCATACACCTATGATCAAAGACAGCTAGCTAGTCATCTCAGGTCTTCCACTTTTATTGGACATATCTCACTGCCATAAAGGAGGCTGCTGGATTCAACATAGAACTTGGCACCGAAGTGCAGCAGTTCGAGTTGCCACGTTCTAAATAGCACACAAAGGTAGACAAGAAAATGAGTGAAGAGAATCAATAGAGTTTTGACAAGTATAAGAGTGAAACAGAATGAGTAATGGTAGAAAGGAATATGAAAGATTACAGAGATTGAATACATCTGCGTAAGCCATTGACAACGATTTTGAGCCATGTCACCTATTGTCTCCAGCATTTGATTCTTAGAGTCCCGAGGGCCCCAACCCGGAAGTCTGCATCTCCCTACCTGACTCAGATTAACTGTCAGGGATTTCATGGGCTGATGCCATGTTTTTGTTTGGCCACCACTTACTCTTTTCCAACCTGCACCTATATCAGCTAGTAATGCCCGTCGGGGGAGGCGATGGTTAGGCATGCGCAGCACGTGACCTAGCCATCTCAATCTATGTAACTTCATAGCCTCGTTGATTGATTTTCCCTCTTTGCCCAACACTGTACGCTTAACGTCAACATTACTTACCTTATTATACCACCTAACGTGAGAAAGAGATCGTAGACATCTATGATCAAAAACAGTCAACCTTTTCATGTCTTCAACTCGTATTGGCCATGTTTCAGAGCCATAGAGAAGGACGGAGCAAACTGCTGAGCAGTACACACGTCCCTTGGTTGATAGCCAGCCGGATATCACGCCTACGCCAGAGATGGCGTAAACGTTAGCGAAAGCAGCTGGAGCCTTTTAGATCCGTGCTGAGATTTCGTCACCAATCAATCCGTTGGTGCTGATACAACTTCCCAAATAGGTGAGGTGGTCAACATGTTCTATCACTTATAAAGGAGGACAGAGCGAAGTGCTGAGAAGTACACACGTCCTTTGATGGATAGCTATCCGGGTATCACTACTACTACATACGAGCCCTATGTATCCGTGGCGAGATTTCGTCAGCAACTCAAATAAGTGAAGTGGTAAATACAATCTACTAGTTTATTCCATATCTTCATAATACTCTCCTTGAACTGACACTTTGGCTGTCAAATCACTTGACATGAAATGCAACTAAAATGCCTAAAGATTTTTCTGCAAAGCTAATAAAAACAGCGAGTGTATTCACATGCGCTGATCTAACCTATTTGACAACCGTCTTCATTCCACTGGAATTGACACTGAACACTAACCGTACACAGCAATCGTATGTTTGTTCTTGTCACTTTACTAAGATAAAATTTCAGAGCACCAAATGACTTAAATCTGTTGACAATCATTTTCATTCTGAGTGGAACATAGAGCTTTGACTGACTGACTGACTGGTTTCAACAAAGAACTTTGCACCGATGTGCAGCAGTTCGAGTCGCCACCCTTCACTCAGCACACAAAGCCAGAGAATAAGAAGAAAGTAAAAAGAAACGCAAAACAGAGACAGTAAACAGAGATATGAGGCAAAAAGAATAGTAATATCAAAGAACCGTGTGGTTTTATTGGGTACTATAAGTCATAAGGAGTGGATTTATTCGCAACATTGAGAATGATTTTGAGCCATATCACCAATTGTCTCCAACCATTGGTTTTCGAACACAGAACTTTAGTAGCGTTTGTTCTATGGAGTGAAGTTGCTAACCTCATGCCCAACCTCCTTTCTTCACCACCAAGCTTACACCGTTAGCTAGATGAGGTTTACGAGCGCATAGGCTAGGGAATCGAACCCAGGACCACATGTATAGTTGGCGAGCATTATATCATTGAATTATCGACGACGCATGACTTATTGCCTTTACCACATACTATCTCCCTCTCTCTATACCTGACATTCGTATTTCTAAATTTATATTCCTATCAAATAAGTAGTATGCCTTAAAAATGTGTTGTATACCGTTAAAATTTATTAATCAGAACTAATAAATAATAAAAAAAACAACTTACCACTATGAACAGCATTTATCTCACGATCACTACTATCTTTACTCAACAGTGGTGAAATGAAGAAGTTGGCAAATTTGTCTAAACAACTAGCAAAGTGTTTACGTTTCACATCAAAGTGGAACAGGGTAAGTTCACTTCCTGTCCAAGCATTATTACTTCCACCACGTTGACTTAGATACGAATCAAAATCATTTTCTGTTGGATACTTTTCACTTCCCATGAATACCACTGTTAAAAATAAATAGATAGGTAAGTTGATTATATATATACATTTTCAAGTATTGCTTTTGTAAAGATTTTGTTTGATTGGATAGAGGATTTCATTATGAGCTGACATCAGTTAGAGAACCACTGAAAAACCAGCTGGGAGTACTGTACAGCTGTTTCGTCCTAGTTTGGGACTCTTCATCAGTACGCACCCAACGAGACTCAGTGGTTTACGAGCTAGCTCGCCTTCTAACCAGGGGGCCTTGGGTTCGAACTCCAGTGGGTGTGTGCTGATGAAGAGCCCCAAACTAGGAAGAAACAGCTGTCCAGTACTCCCAGCTGGTTTTCCAATGGTTCTCTAAATGATGTCAGCTCATGATGAAATCCTCCATCCGATTACACTAACCTGTTACTAGGTGTCTGGAAGTGGTCGGCAAGAAGCCTTTTCTGACCTAGGTTTATGCTTGTTGGCAGTCACTAGTCCTCAATATTGAAGGAACTCATGTCCCCTCTGAGACTCGAACCCGTGTCAGCCAGTGCTGCAGTCAGAGACGTTACCATTGAGCTATCCTGTAGGACTGTACTGGATACTTCGACTGGACATTAACTAGTGTCATGCGTCTAGTCTTTTGTTCGGTGCAGATTGAATTCTATCACAGTCAAGCTTGCGAAAATGTATTCATAGATGATTTTGGAGATCGTGGAACTAAGTCTTATTGATTAACTCAACTCTAAGCACATAGAGAATCATAGATTGTTACTCTAAGTAGTGGTGTACAACTAGATCCATCGAGAAAACAAACAAATAACTAAGATACACAAAGAAATACAGTTTTTTATAAACCAAATATCCCAAGCAGTATTTGTGGCTAATCAACCAAACACATGCAACCACCCATCCCCTCGTCCCATAAATGACCTAGTACGCCTGAGACTGGGTGGACGACTTCAGTCTTCCACTTGAAATGCTCTTATGTGGCCATGCATTCATACCCTTTGCCGAGTAAGTGCTATTCACTGCATTCACGCCAAAAGTGAAAAAGCGAATCTGTACTCTTGGCGCTTGCACGACCAGACCGGTGGACAAGCAGGTCTACCCAGAGTATGGGAAGCTGGAAAACCTACATTCCAAAAACCTACGGTGTACATGGGCTCCAGAATCCAAAAGGATCGAACGATATGTGAACGTGTTACTGGAAAGCAGCTCCACTGCTCTGTGCCCTGTGGATCAGACTTCAAGTCAGAGGCTCGAGGGTGGCTTCTTAGGACAACACCACTTGCTTCATTTTGTGCATTCGGGCTGTATCCCAGTTCCTGCACAAAGTATGAGATTTTTTCTGGCGCATCTCTTGGTGAACATAATGTATCACGCCTGTTTTAATAATAATAATAACAATAACATTCAAATACACTTAGAAACATGGTTCATTGGTGTAAGTAGACAGCTTTCAGTCAGTGGACCTCGAGTTCGAATCCAGCACAACCTAAATCAGACTGAGAAATTGAATAATCTCATTAGACCTCAGGAGAAACAGGTGTGGCTCACAGTCTGGAATATGAAAGACCTATTCCGGAGACTGAGTTCAACCGAACACATACAAACACCCACCCACCTATTGATCTGCCATCAATAAGATATTATCTAGTATCCTTAATATGATGAAACCGATGGTAAACTGTTTGATGAAATTGATGACGATATTGGTCATGTTAAGCGTATTACACAGGACTATGCCCTCTCAGTAACCAATCATTTAACGGATTAATCCTTCCAGTTATTGAGTATGAATAGTAACTAACACAGCACACACGCTACACACAAATAGTCGATGACTTATATGAATACGTTAGTTTCAAACTTTGGCGTGATGATGATTGAAAGAGTGAAATACTATAAGCAACAAGTACGACCTGAAAACATACTGTAAAGTTTTTTAATAAAATCACTGAAATAACTCACTGTGTTCCAAAAAGTGAGACAGCCCCTGAGCTTCTGGAGGATCCGAAAAACTTCCCACTCTGATGCACAGTGCAGCAGCCGACTAAGAGATTTAAAATAAGGACGTTAAGAATGTAATTATACAATAAAAGCAATTTGAAAAATACTGTAGCAATATGCATGAGATTCGACTAACTAACTGACTGGTTTCAACATAGTACTTTGCAAAGATGTGCAGCAGTTCGAGTTGCCACACTCCCTCTATGCAGCACACAAAGCAAGAGATGAGAGTGCAAGGAGAGATTCGTCAAAAGACAGATAATAAACAGAAGTGCGAGTGAGGCAAGTAGAATAGTAGTAATATGGAAGAACAACAGAGTTTTATTGAATATGATAAATCACGAAGAGTGAATGCACCTGAGTCAACTACTGAGAACCATTTCGGGCCATATTACCAATTTTCTCCAGCTTTAATTGGTTCTTACCATCCCGAAGACTCCAACCAGTCAGGAAGTCTACACCTCCTCACGTGACTGGCTTATAACTGTTATGAGTTTCATTGACTGATGAAGTCATGTTTTCGTTTGACTACCACCACTAGCTCTTTTCCAACCTAATCCTACGTCAACTAACATTGACCGTCGAGGAAGGCGATAACTCAGTATGCGTAACACATATCCTAACCATCTTAATCTTTGTAACTTCAAAACTTAATCCAATTAATATGAACATCTATATTCATAATGATAATATTAATTAACAACCGTATGCATGTTAAGGCACATGGCAATGAGCCACATCTGTCATATGAGGAATGACGATATTACCTAGCTACGCAAATCTCGGTGGGCAAGTCTCAGTTTGGTTGGAAGACCAATGTTTAATGCAAAGAAATACAGAGACAATGAATAAACATAAACGCCGAAAATATGCAAGGATACACAGTAGTATCTTGCTTTGAAGTTTCTGTAGTGAATAAATTGATTTTCTGTCTGTCTGTTTTCGACATTGAACTCCACACCGATGTGCAGAAGTTCAAGTCGCCACACTCCATGTAGCACACAAAGCAAGAGAAGAAAGTGGAAGAAATGCATAATAGAGACAGTAGACAGGGATATGAGACAAAAGGAATAGTAATATGGAAGAACAATATAGTTTTATTGGGTATTATAAGTCAAAAGGAGTGGATGCATCTGCGACATCATTGAGAACGATTTTCAGCCATATCACCAATTGTCTCCAGTTTTCACTGGTTTCTACCGTCATAAGTCCAACCCACGCGACCGAGGGCTGCTACCTTGACGTGGTGGTCGGGCTTGCATTTCGCAATGACCCAACAAACTATACTAGCTGGAACTATTGTTCCTGCAGGTCCTACCATGCCAGGAAAGTTGTTAGGATATCGGCATAGTGTAAGAATTTTTTCACACTATGCTGGGGGTCTGTGGGCGAAGTCATACTGCTGGGGAACAGGGGTGTAACCGCAGTAAGGTGTTTCCCTCAGATGACCAACATGCCACCCAGCTATGCTGTCTCTCCACTCTGGAGAGAGAGGGGGTTAGAAAAGGTTGACCCCAACAATTGTACATCCCGACTTACCCTACGGTGGTTCGTAACCGGTAGTGAGTTTACTAATACGGAATCAATCCAAGAAACCAGTTCATACAGGCCGTATGGCCGGCCTCAAGCAGTTATCCCCTGGGCTCTGCGGTCGCGCAATACTAACCCTCTTTCTGTTCCAGGTACCCGAAGAATCAATCAACTTCCACGGTGTGGGCAGCCGGGAAGTAACAACCACCCACACACTTCCAAAAGCACACGAAGCCTTCCTGAGCATCATTCTCCTTTACTCACATCAAGTCCAACCACCATATCCAGGTAACAGCTTTCAGTGTGACGTTATATGCAGTGGAAAATAACTATTCAGTCAACCTTAGTTACACGTTCGGTTTACACCTGTTACACAGACCGACTGTAACAGCGTCATGGACTCAACACATGCACACAATATACCATCTTCAAAGTTAGTAATGCAGTCCTTATATTTATTTACACCCATCTACACATGTAACTTAGCCTACTTTACTAGCTCGCTAGTTTTCTAGCCGGTACCAAGCTCTAGTAAAGACGGACGGATAGGTGTTGGGTTAGCGACCCTAGCCCACAAAACCAATCTAACTGATACAGAAACTTCATCTCAATCTCAAGGAAGTGGAGACGCAGCCAGGCTGCTAGACACAAAGTCGAGAAGCGGAGCAGATGTGGGTTCAGATCATCATCTAGTTTAAGGAACCTTCAAGGTGAAGCTGAGATCTTTCAAAATAACTGGAGATAGGCCACAATTCAAGTCCAGCATTCAGAAAGTGAAGGATAAAACTTCAAGCGATACCTTCACTACAGATCAGGTCAGAGCAAAGCCGGAGACACTACATGGCATCAATGAAGAAACCAGAGTGGAAGAAAATTGGAACTCTCTGAAGGTGATATTCTAGAAGGAGAGAAGATACACAGCAAGGAATGGTTCTCAACAGATACCTGGAAGCTAATGGAGGAGAGGAGGATGGTGAAAGAGATGACTCAATGCAGAGATGGACAAGAGAAAGAGAAGTTGAGTTCAATGTACACTATACTGAATAAAGAAGTGAAGAAGAGTGCTACGAAAGACAATTCTACGAAACACTGAATGGCAACTCAAACAGAACACGCTGTTGGTGAGGGTGAGACCTCAGAACATTATATTAGATAACCAGGTCTCTATCCGGGAAGAGATCAACCCAGATGATGAAACCAATAAAAGATGTTTATGGGAACCCGATTATCAGGGAAGAGAAACAAATAAAACAATGCGCTGATCACTTTAAATGACTCTTGAGTCGACCATCACCTGAAACTCGCCCAGAAATACATCACTACCAACAGCACGCACAGAAATGCCTGCCAGTGGACACCAATTCTCCAACGAAAGCAGAAATCCTAAGTGTGATCAAGCTACTGAAGTACGGGAAGGCAGCAGGACCAGGAGGAATTCCCCCCCGAAGCACTGAAAATGGACCCAGAGACTGAGGCAGGTGTGCTCGCGCCATTACTGCAAAAGGTTTGGAAGGAAGGAAAGGTAGCTACTGATTGGAAGAAACGCTGGCTACCTTGTCAAGCTGCCAAAGAAGGGCGACTTAGGCCTGCGCAAGAACTGACGTGGAATAGCGCTCTTGTCCACGCCAAGTAAAATATCTTCATGCATTTATTCCCCTTGCTGAATTTGAATAAAGCAAGAACAACAGTGGTTTGTGTAGAATAATATGGTACCATCATTTATTTCGTTGGCTTCTCATCAGCTGCTTACAGCCTAAATAAATTATGAGGTTTATGCACAGAAAAGTTTTAACATACTTGCAAATTTTTACATGATGTCAGTTGACAGAAAGTTCCACAATTAGTGAACAGTGCTCAGAAAATTGCGCTTATATAGTTTTTACACAGGCAGTTCGAGTCAAAATAAATGTATGCATACAATGGTAAAGGAGTTACGTAATAAAGACGAGAGGTGAGTAAGATGCTGAGTGACTAATAAATTAGGTAACGATGTACTGAGTTCAACTCATGTCATAGAAACAAGAGACAAGCAAAATTACAGATTATTTTACTGCATTCCACAGATGCTGAGGGAAAACATAGCATATATTTTATTTCAAACTTGCTTAAACTATAGAATATATCACTGGCGTATGAGTAGTCGGGATAAAGTTACGTCAACCAACAGTGCATACTAGCCAGATAGTAGTCAAAGCACTACAACGAGGGAGGGGTTGTTAGCTCATCTAGGGACAAGTTCCAACCTGATAGGCAAGTAAACTGCTTTTAGTGTATACTATCATGCAATTGTGTTTGCTTCTAAGAATGCTATTAATGGTGTCAAGCGGAACTCGTACTGTGATGAATTTCCATCTGAAACTACCACTTTCAAATTGAGAATTTCATTGATATCACTACACATGACTTCTCAAAATCCAATATAAAAACTCCAATTATTAAACACTCCACAGTAAATCAAGATAAAATAACCTAATGCCAATAACTTCTCGAAATTAGTGAGCAAATAGCATATATTAAATGACGGACAGCGAATTCCCAATCAGCCAAAAATGGTAAGGAATAGGTGAATAATACTTATTGCAAATAGTAGCAAAAAAAATTGCAGAATCTTCGTCACATGACACAACATTTTTCCGTCTTTACCATTATTTGACCATTATTCTTGTGATTTAGCCAATATTTTATCCAGATTTAATCGGTATTTTCCCGTTATCTGACAACTAACTTCCCATTTTAACCTATATTTTGGAAATATTTGCCTACTTTGATCATTATTTAACTAAGACTTGGCCACTGCATAACCATTTTTACCATTCACCAAAAATCGTGCACCATTTTAACTATTACTCAACCATTCTTGCCCATTTTCGTTCAACTGGGTTGTTTAGAATGATCATTCGTGGTGAGAACATACCCCACGACTCTGGTGATTGGGGTCAACATGAATTCAAAAACTGCCAAATCAGGAAGTAGCAGCTGTTATACGAGCTTTGTATATACTTTGAAAAGTCGAATGGTTAAATCAATTATGAAGACAGATGACTTTTCAAAGGTAGTGAATTCATAGTAAGACTCACTTTTGCCTCCTGATCACATACAGAATCTTCATCTTCATCATCTACTACTTCGTCATCCACGCTTTCAGAGTCATTACTTTCAAGGTCGGAACTCGACAGTGTGTCCTCAGGCACTTCTTCACCGGGCTTTAGGTTGCACACCAGTATTGCCCTCAATCCATTATCTAACTGAATGTACCTTTAGAGAATGTAAATCCACCTTCTCTAACATACCTATATTTACGATAGTCGACGCGACTTTTTTCTATATCGAAATCAACGTCGAAGGTCATACTGTGCGGTTTTGAAAATCAGTTGAATAAGGCGCTAACGGTATACCAATTTCATTCGAGTTATCGTGATGTATTGAACACTTTTCAAGCATTCAGTACACATAAAATTTAAATCACTGGATCCTGGTTACAATAACCTCTTTTTATAGAACTAAATTTTTTTATTATCAATATCTTCTCACAGTATTTGTCCGATGAATATGTTGGGCTAACTTATCAGATTCAGATTTATTGATTAGGGATACAAGGCTTTAAGCCTACGTTAATCCTTTTCTCTGACAATATGAATAGATTCAGACTGTTTAGTCTTTCACCATATGGTGAAGTGGTCATGCCAAGAACCATACGTGATGCCTTCTCTGAACCCTTTCTAGAATATGTGGGTCCCCTTTGAAACAATGACTATCTGTCTGGATACAGTTTCCCACTAGTTACCTCACCAGATATGTGGATAAAGAGGTAAACATATCTCTAGTTAACAAATTCTGGTAAAGTCTCTGAGAATTATCCATAAATTTCTGACACTACTTGCAGCCAAAATGCAACGATATGCTGTAGGTTTTAAGTCGTGACTAACAGTGACACCTAAATCCAAATGAGTCTGAACTGACGGCAGTGTCATTCCCTCTAGTTCGTAGGAGTTGATGCGTGTGTGTACAATGCACGTGGCAGCAAATTCTTCTACGTTGACTAGGAGCATCCATTATTCGCACCACTCTAACAGTTTGTTGAGATCTCCTTGCAACGTGAGCGCATCATAGTCGCCCTTTAGCTTTCCGCAAATTTAAAAATCATCTGCATATAGAACTTTAGGGGAATAACTGAGCACAGATAACTCACTGATACACAAAAACAAGTAAGAGAGTCCCAAGTACAGCGTCATCTGGCACTCCACTAGGTACTGTCGTCTAGGAGAGGAGTTTTTGGTTGATTTTGACTCTGCCTCTTATTATTATTATTATTGTTCCCTTGGGTTCCTAGTGGAACATAGGGCTTCAGCTGCACGTCTCCACTTGCTTCTGTCTTCTGCTGTTCTTTTCACATGCATCCATGTTATTCCATACTGTTTCATCTCCTCCTCACACGATCTCCTCCATGTCACCCTTGCACTGACGTCCCACTCGCCGCTTCCCTTTCGGGTTCCACTCGAGGGCTTGACGCGCGATGTCACTCAACGGCCTCCTCAGCGAGTGTCCAATCCATCTCCACTTCCTCCTGCATATTTGTTGGGCGATTGGTTCCTGTTTCGTTTGTTCCCATAGCTTCTTGTTTGTGATTCTTTCTGGCCATCTAATCTTCAGTATGGAGCGAAGACAGTTGTTGATAAAGGTCTGCAACCTGTTGAAAATATTCTTGGTGACCCGCCAAGTTTCTGATCCGTAAAGCAAAATTGACTTGACGTTTGTATTGAAAATCCGAATTTTGTTGTTGATGGTGAGTGACGAAGATTTCCAGATTGGTTTCAGGTTGATGAATGTGTTTCTCGCCTTCCCGATTCTCGATTTGACATCCTCGTCCGTTCCTCCTGTGGTTGAAACAATGCTCCCCAGATAAGTGAAAGAAGTAACCTCTTTCAAATCCCTCCCGTTGATGGTGATTGGCGCTGGATGTTGCTGCTGTTGTTGGTTGGTTATTTTCATAACCTCCGTCTTGTCGCTGTTCACCTGGAGTCCTGTCTTCACCGGCTGCTTCTTCGACCAGTTTGTTGGTTTTTGCTTGTAAGTCTTCGATTTTGTGTGACATCAAACATAAATCATCCGCAAAATCCAGGTCTTCTAGGTTCTTCACGTCGGTCCAGGATATCCCTGTCTTCTCGTTTCCCACTGTCTGACGCATAATCCAGTCCACCACAATTAGGAATATCATTGGTGATAATAAGCACCCTTGTCTGACTCCTGTGTTTTCTCCAAACGCCTCGCTGAGTTTTCCGTTGTGGATCACTTGAGATGTGCCGTTGTCGTACAGTTGTTGAATAAGGTTGATGAATATTTGGTGTACGCCTTAGACCTCGAGTAGATTCCAAATTACTTCGCGGTCAACGCTGTCGAAGTCCTTCTCAAAGTCTATAAAGTTGAGGTAGAGGTTTGATTGCCATTCCATGCTTTGTTCTGTGATGATGATGCGTAGAGTTGCAATTTGGTCAGAACATGATTTGCCTTTCCTGAATCCAGCTTGTTCTGGTCGGAGTTCTGTATCCAGTGCGTCTTTTATTCTCTCCAGGATGATGCGACTCAGGATTTTACTTGGCGTCGACAGGAGCATGATTCCTCGCCAGTTCTTGCAGAGTCCCAGGTCGCCCTTCTTTGGTAGTTTCACCAGGTAACCTTTCCTCCAGTCAGTAGGCACCTTTCCCTCTTTCCAGATCTTTTGCAATAATGGAGTCAGCATATCTGCCGTCGTTTCTGGGTCCGCTTTCAGTGCTTCCGGGGGTATTCCATCTGGTCCAGCTGCTTTCCCAGCTTTCAGAAGCTTGATTGCATTCATGACTTCAGTTTTCGTTGGAGGATTGGTGTCAACTTGCAGTTGTGTACGTGCTGTTGTTGGTATTACTGGACGGGTTGTAGGTGGTGGTCGGTTCAAGATTCCTTTGAAGTGGTCCGCCCATTGTTTAATCTGTCTTTCTTCTTTGGTAATTGGGTTCCCTTGGTTGTCTTTTATAGGTTTCACTTGTGTTGGTCTCTTCCCGGATAGAGACTTGGTTATCTGATATAGTGTCCTCAGGTCCCTTTTGCCTGCTGCCTTCTCAGCTTCAGTGGCCAGACTGTCGTAGAATTGTCTTTTGTCCTTCCTGGCACTCTTCTTCACTTCTTTGTCCAGTGCTGTGTAAGTTGAGTTCAGCGTCTCTTTCTCTTGTCCATCTTTGCATTGAATCATTTTCTCTTTCACTTTTCTCCTCTCCTCTATTAGTTTCCAAGTGTCTGTTGAGAGCCATTCCTTGTCTTGTTTCTTCTTTCTTCCTAAAACCGTTGAGCACGTTTCGTTGAAAATTACCTTCAGAGAGTTCCAGTGGTCTTCCACGCATGATTCCTCGGTGGTGCCACGTAGTGTTTCCTGCTTTGCTCTGACAGTTGCAGTGAAAATATCCTGTGTGATTGTGTCCTTCAGTTTTTGCGTGTTGAACTTGCATTGTGGCCTACCCCCAGCTGTTCTCGAGGCTTTCAGCTTCACCTTGAAAGTCCCTTGTACTAGATAGTGGTCTGAACCCACATCTGCTCCTCTCCTCGATCTTGTGTCCAGTAGGCTCCGTCTCCACTTCCTTGAGATTGAAATGAAGTCTATCTGGTTTTTGGTGTGTCCATCTGGTGAAATCCATGTTGCCTTGTGTATATCCCTGTGTTTGAACACACTGCCACCAATCACCAAATCATTGAAGGCGCAGAAGTCTGAGAAGAGTTCACCATTTTCGTTCATTTCACCGAGGGCCTCACGACCCATGGTGAGTTCTCTTCCTGTATTGTCTCCTCCCAGTTTCGCGTTCATGTCACCCATCAGGATTTTGATATCGCTCTTTGGGACGTTGTCCATTACTGTTTGTAGTTGACTGTAGAAATCCTCCTTCTTCTCTTTTTCTGAGACGTTTGTAGGCGCGTAGCATTGAATGATTGTAACCTTTTTTCCTTTTGAGTTGAACCTGGCTGTCATTATCCTGGAGGAGATTGGTTCCCACTGCATGAGAGCTTTGGCCACTGTTAGTGACATCATGATGGCTACTCCCTCGGTGTGCTCGTGATTGTCCTCTGGGTGACCGGAGTAGATTATTGTCTCTCCAGTTGATAGTTGGCTCCTTCCACATCCGCTCCATCTGCTCTCACAGATTCCCAACACTTCTATTCTATATCTCCTCATTTCTGCGGCTACCTGAGCAGCCTTCCCAGTTTCGTACATTGTACGAACATTCCACGTCCCCATCCTTATTTTCGCTTTCATCGAAAGAAGGCACATCGGCTGACTGGCTTCCCGAAGGCTTTCACCAGCCCGCGTCATTTCACTTCCCCGATTCCAGCGAGAAATAAGGTCACTATTTGTAATTTTAGAATTTTGAATATATTTGTGCGTCGAAGTTTTAGCAGCAATTTGGTTAAGTTTTGGGGGTGGAGTTGCTAGCACCACGCCCCAACCCTCCCTCTTTATCCGGGCTTGGGACCGGCTAGAATACTAGTGACCTAGTAATCTAGGCGAGGTTACTCTGCCTCTTACCAGTGAAGAATTCCCCAATACAATTCAGTAAGTCGTCTTTGATTCCAGGACTTTCCAATTTCGTGAGCAGTCTCTTATGAGGCACTTTATCGATGACTCTGCTGAAATCAGTGAAAACGATATTGACGGGTTTTCTCTTGTCCCTTGCCTTGAACAAACTTTCTTTCAAAGTACAGTTTGTCAAAAGTGAGAGTTCCCCTAGGAAGACATGCTGCAATCTAGACAAGTTGTTGTTTTCCAGATATGCCATGATAGGTCCCCTGGTGATTCTTCCCAGTATCCTGATTTAGGCGCTGGTGAGAATGATAGGCCTGCAGCCTGCAGAGCACTGTCATGATCCTCCTTTGTGGATGAGGGTCACTACGGCCTCTTTCTCGCCATGCAGTGACACCACTTACGGGAGAGATGGCTTGAAGATTGTAGTCAGAGGGGCGACTATGTCGGCTAATAGCTCCCGAAGAACCTTTGGATGAAGGTCATAGGATGCCACTGAGTTCCCTGCATCCAGTTTGTTTAGAGATGTCAAGAAGGTGAATTGCTAAAAAAGAAAACGCTGGTTCACAAGATGCGTACACAAGCGTCACTCTGACGGGAGAAGACAAGAAACTTGGTAACGGAATTTGCTATTAGGGAAAAATACACCATACCTATACGTTTTAAGCCACACATAAGGTCAGCTAGGTCGCCGGATAATATAACATCCTGGCTGGATGTCAATTTTTAGAAGGGAAACCTTGCAACTCGATGTTGTTCAGCGATAGTATTTCCTGACCAGGACGTAAACTAAATCTACTTCTTTAGCCATTGACCAAAATGAATTGGTCTTGGGGTGTATTT